AAAAAAAAAAAAAAAAAAAAAACAATTTAGACATATCAACTACAATATACTTAAACGCAGAATAATTCAGAAGACGTTGTTCCTCTAACACGATAACACTCAAAGTGTCAAGTAGATTAGTCTTTGCTTCCGTAGAATATCTCGCTTAAAAATAGCGAGATGCCAATGCAGCCATCTCCCTCTCTTTTGGTTCGCAGTTGCAGATACCTGCGTCAGTCCGTTAGCGTAAAGATCTTACAAGCGAAAAATATCATATCGCAGCCGATGATTAGCAGAGATCACGCAAGAATATCTGTCGTACCATAATCCTGCCGCCACCAAATACTAAGTGGATAGTGTTTTCCGAGACGATCACCAATGGCTGAGTATTCCAAGCTGCGTTCACCCCCTGTTGCAGCAGCTTGCATATCTTTACGCTAGCTACTGGGCGTGCGTGTATGTGCTGTATGTTTTTATGGAACACTCTCTGCATGTCCCTAGTCGTGGCGCTTCCGAGGTTAACACTGATCAATGAGCGCCATAAGTCGTAGCTGTCCTTATTTGACTGGCTCTAATATCATCACGCTAGCCTTCGGGCATGCGTATATGCGGCAATTAGCGTGTTCCAGACTGTTGGGTTTCCGATACTTGTCTTGAGACGAGAAGGGAAACCCCCACACACTCTGCAGAGTTAGAGTAGGACTAATTCTCCCAGGGATTACAATCAGCATATCACCTTAATCGGTACATATAATTTGCATTCTACTGCTTCACTTCGAACTTGTATGTTGTACCAATCAGAATGAAGTATCAACGGCCAATAAGAGAAATGTTCAGAAGGGGTATGCTTGATCGAGCAAAACTCAACGAGATATCAAAGCATATCTGTTCAAAAATGATTGGATAAAAGCCTACAAAACGAGAGTCTATGGGGTCTCTCTCTTCAAAGGGATGTCGTTCCAAATATCCAATTACCCTGTAACGTGCTTCTTTGATATCTCATAACACTCGTTAAGAACTATAGCAAGATGATAGGACAAAAGCCGATCCTATATCGCCACTGGTATCCACTCACTCAGTGAGCTGCTGATCAAGTATTGCTACGTGACGACAGGCTGAGGTGAGAGTTGGCTCGTGCAATCAGAATGCTACAACACTGCAACGTCAAAACTGTGCCGCATACCAAAAGGGGGGTGAATGCCTCACTGGAAGGTTGCTATCTGATTGTAGTACATAGCAAGTGAGTAATTAATCAACAACAAGTAATCTAGCTATAGAAAAGTCTCCAGAGTGAATCCCATGGTGGCCTTCTCGCATATCCATGGGGTCATTGGCCGCCCACTAAAGCCATATATCGCCACCGATACGTAATTATTCACATATGCCGTGTTTCCTTGGCAATCCACGCCTTTGGTAATCGGTTAGGGGATGAAGAAGAAGTGCCGATTGGTGCTGTGGCCCACCGACGCAGGTCCTTATTTGCTTTTCCCTTAAGCTCCCTGCAGCATGAAAACTTGCTCAAGCGGCTGAAGTATGAGATGCTTTTACGCACAACTTTTACTGCTTTCACCGACTCCCCTTGATATCGTTGCGGGAGCTGCGGCTAACGCGGATGTCGACAGCAACATCGGCTCCAGCCCAGTGGCCGGCTAAGTCCGCATGTCCACTGAATGTATGATCAACGACATGTGAGCAGGCGTGGCTTGAAAGTGACACGAGCTACGTTTGTGACCAAATTTCCCTTGTCGAGGCCCGGCGCATGCTGCCACGGTTATTATTAAAGCCACTATGCACGGAATCATACGATTCTCTGCATATTCATGCATACAATCTGACAGAATATGGCTTTCATGGCTACTGTAACAGAGCTGCTGCGTGGCGAGCGCATAAGGGAGAGCTCCAACATCGGACTGGCAGGTTGGCAAAGCTGACAGCCCATGAGGCGTTGAGAGATGCCGGGTAATCAATGGATTCGAACTGATCTGCATGTCATCTCGTGGCACGAGCAAATGAGGTAAATGCCAAGATACATGGCCATTCGGGAGGACCTTCTCGCTATCATAGATGAAAATACTTATGCCTGTACGGGGAAGCTACATACTTTCTTTTCAGGAGGTCCACTTAAGTTGTCTTAGATGAAATTCCTCAGCACTTATCTAGACTTGAATGAATTCCATGAGAAGGTCTTCCGTGATAGTACCTTAAATGTGGGGCCTTGTTGTTGTGTCCATCGGTTTTAACATATCCGGATATGCAAGCCAACCAAAGCAGTCGGACACGGAAATAACCAGCTACAGATAACACCGCCATTTGCCGGGCTTCCAGCCAAGGCGGCTATGTGGATCTGCCAACAAGGCTCTGTTTCATCAACCGCCAGCCCACGTTCTAATGAACGGACAGTCGGGCGGACAAGGCAATGGATACTGAATAACACGCGTCTCAAAGTTCCCCGCATAACGTTTTCATTCTATATGTCCACTCCAAGCAGAGGCCCTATAGTGTTGTCCTAGTAATAGGTCTTACCCGTTTAGAGCAGTTAACTCGTGACTCGGGATAACATGCCGAAACTACAGCCAACTTCTATCATAAAACATAAGAATAAGGTGGGCTCACGCCGCTCCCAACGGAGCAGATTCGGCGACTTTCTTGTCCAACTTATGATCGCTAATTGGTGCGAAATTTCTCCCGTCATTGATCTGCGTTCATGCGTACGTGCCTCGAAGAGGCGTCTTAAGGCGGGCCACCCAGGGCGTGGACAACAAAGCTCTACCCATCTACTCGGTTGATGGAACAAAAGAGGTTAGATATCCTCGAACAAAAATGTTGAGAAGTCATATGGCGTTCACGGAACGCGTCCCGCCGAAGGTTGTCTTAAATTTGTGCTCTGGAATCGCGCGATCAATGCATGGCTGCCCGAAAAAATGTAAGCATAAGCCCAAAGCAGATTCTGTCCGACGTTTCAGGAAGCTCTTTGTTGACTTTTACTTTGTTTTCCGTGTTCGCTTCGGTATACGGAAGAAATGCCACAAAGGGGCACAGTGAGTTCTTCAGTGATTGATAATCGCAACATCATAGAACAGCGTCACCTCTGAAACACTCAGTGGCATCTATGGAAGAAACTTATGATAAGAGTTTACAACACTAAAAACGGAGCTATTCACACGAAGCAGGCGAATCTTCACTATATATCACCTCGTAGGCTGTTGAGACACTGTAATGATAGTCGAGAGAAAGGACACCACTTAACCCAGGGGTTAAGCAGATGCTCATCGAGGCCCTTCCCCATCTAAAGAGCCGACAAGACAAGAGAAAGTTCCATTAGTCTTTCTTCACCTCTAATGAAGAGCTCGCGACGTCCTAATTCCTGCACTGACTTCCTGCCTTTTCGAACCTGGCTCTATCTTCACATCTTTGACAATCTTTTGATGCCTACAAGCACTGTCGCGCCAAAGAAAAACAGTGTCAACCAGGGTGTTCGACTTTCCAGTTCTTGTCGCAAGAAGCCTGTTATGTGGTTTCCACTGCCCGTCTCGCTTATTCAGGGGCAGCCAGAAGCCACCCGAGGTGTTCGTCAGGCTACTCGATTTATCTCGGTCATGAAAGGAACAACCATTTATCAAAAAATCAAATCCCTGGAACAACTGGTAAGTCTCTTAGCAATGACAGAGTTTCCGATTTCACTCACGTTGTTTGTGTTTACTGACGAGCTCTCCAAATGTCCCACTATCTCGGACCAACAAAAAACAGTTTCAAACAAAGCTGCTTGTTGACCTTTCAAGCACTTTCACGGAGCACCAAGAACCCCACGTTGGAGAAGTGCAACATGATGCACTGTCTCTCAGTAAATCCGACTCGACAAAGCCGTATCTAAAATCGATGGGTATCTTCTTCAACCAGTGAACATAGACAAGAAAGTTCGACTGGATATTCTCGGACCCCAAAAACGCTTACAGAGCTGTCTGACTCATAAAAAGGGGGTTCTGGCAGGTCTATATACACGTTGGGGACGGCAATCAGGTGTTCTCGCTTCGTGCCGTCCCGGAAAATATACCGGGATCGAAATAGAGAAAAAGCAATATACCCAGGCGGTGGGTTGACAATCTGGAGAGGCATAAAAAGGGGGTGTGGGCACCAAGACACTTCGGTATGAAAAGGAGAGGCTTCAGGAGATGATGTGCCCTGCATACTGTCATCGCCACAGCCCGGCGCCCTGCATGCTGTCATTATCACAGCCCGGTAACCTCTCTCCTCCCAGGTCCGTTAGGACCAGGGCCAAAGCCATATTATAGCACTCAAAGCCTCCCCGTTAGTGTATGGCAGGGTCCCGTTCACACTCTGTGATCTTATAACTTGTTTGACCAGAATGAAACCACAAACAACAGCATATCGCAGATAGCCTCGCGAATACCGACGACGAAAATCAAACACGCCCGCATATTTTGCAGTTCTAACTGAAAATTTAGATTTTCCTTGACTGAATGATAATCGAGGCTAACTACCAACTTAAGCAGCCCTCTCGCAATCGCATCAGCACCACAAAAAAGAACACAACTCCACGACAACCACCAAGCCTCAGATGCACAAAACCCTGATATCCTTACCGCATACACCGAAGGAAGCATAGCGAGCAGCGTCTACCCAACTTCGCCAGACACGCCTCAGTCGACCACGAAGCTCTCATTCACCCCAGCCTCATCTTAACAATATTACAACATTTCCATTTGCGCGTCCATCACAAGACCATGCCGGCGCAGTTCTAATGGCTTACCTCCTGCAGTACACACCAGAGATATCGATCTAATACCGCAAAGCCCGACGCCCAAACACACCTTTTAAGAACCAACAAAGCGTCCAGGAATAGCGAAAGCCCACGCCGCTCAGACACCGCAGCACCATACAGCATACTCAAACAAGACACACACACACAGCCATCAACAACAGCAGGCAAACGAGCGATCCATCCATTACAGCATCATCTACATACCTAGGCAACACAACCCCCATCCCCCCTCACCCAACCAACCACAAGACCCCCCAACCGCGCAGAAGCTAGAAGCGACCGAAAGCGCACAAAAAGCCCGCGCCCTATTTCTCTCCAACGCACATCTATCCCTCTACGCGCACCCGGCAAAGAAACTCGTAACTATCAACTATCAACTATCAAGGTGAACCTAAAAAGAAAAACATAACAACGTCCTAGCCACATGACCGTAACCTGCTGTGGCGGAATATGTGCTGCGACGGCAGACTCGCGCCCGAACGGCAGTGTCCGGCAACCATGTCGGTACGATACGGCTGCGAACAGTGCAAGCGAGGCAACGAGGCCGCTGTCGAATGTGCAGTACTAAAAGCAGAGCAGAGCAGAGCAAAGCAAAGCAAAGGAAAGCAGGCAAGGAAGAAAAAACAGCAAAGCTTGAGTAAAGCAGAGCGGGGTATTGAAACACGGGGTGCGTGACCCCGCGCGTGACGTGAAAAAGAGAAGAGAAGAACAACGGCAACGACGACGGGTACTACCGTATAAGACCAGACTAACCCGCTGGGGATACTTATTCAGGTTCAAAAGGAAGATCTTCCTCTCGAATGCCTACGCTTCCACGTTTCCATCTCCATCCGAACGCTCTAGCCAGGCATTACCACCGAAAGCGCCGGTGTGCAGATGTGACGGAACCCGATATCGGTGATAACAGGGTGCTGATCCAGCAACGCTGTGACACCCTTCCAAACATCCTAAGCCTCAATGGCAGGTGCCATCATCGCCGGTGAGCCCGGCACGCTGGGCGACGGGCCGCTCTCGTTGATGATGAACGCCAGGCTGTTCCTCCGATGTTGGACAAAGGGGGGATGCTCCGTGGTCGGAGTGGAGGGGGTGGTGGAGCTTTTGAGGGAGTCCTGCAGCGAGTGCTTGCGCCCGGCTGATGGCCGGTGGATAAGTGATGGCAGGATCACCATGTCACTCCTGTTGATGGATGGGTTGTTGGTGCTGGGAGGTGGTGCTCGCAGCTCTGCATCAACAAAAGGTCACTTAATTAGCCGGGGATTTCGTTACGCGCCGCGGTATCCTCACCGAGATTTCGACCGCTCGTTACGTCGTTCTCGTTGCTGCTATTGGCACTGGGTGTGCTGCTATGGCCGCTGCTGTTACCGGTGATGCTGTCCTGACGCAATGCTTCCGACGCGGAGATGTCAGTACTGTGGCGCTTGTCAGCAGCCTTGAGGACATTGAGGACAGATGCCATGTCCAGCTCGTAGGCAGACATGTGTCTCTTCTCCCTTGCTTGTTGGGCCTGTTGGTCTTGCAACTGCTGCAGGCGAATGGCATCGGACTTGCTCGGCGGCAGCGTGATGAGTTCCTTCATCCAGGCAGGGTGTTCTTGGTCTACAGGAAGGTTCGAGTTACGAAAAAACCGCTGGTATGCTTCACCGCAATCGATCGTAGGGCTCTGGGTGCCGTTGAGACGTTGACGCTTGACCGAATGTTGTCCCTCATCATCACCCTTGGAACTAGTAAAGGAGGCTTGACGAGTGACAAAGGAACGGTTGAAAGGCCGCTCCCTTGCAAGGGTTTCGCAGAAGCGTTTCTGAAGTGGATCCTTCATACAGGCATCACAAGTACCGGGCTTGCAAGGCGGCTCCATGGCGGACGGACGGCTGCTGGGGCCAGGGCGCTTGGAAAGATACGTGAAGTCCATCTCCATCTCCTCGTAGTTCTGCTCGGGCTCCATGCGTGAAGGCTGCGAGTCCTTGATGACATCACGGGCAGGTGGCAGAGGCCGGGCAGGGGCCCCAAAGTCGACCAAGGAGTCGACACAGGGACAGTCGCCATTGTCCGCGCACTTGCCGCAACCATCCTTCGGTGCAGACGTCTCGGACCGCACGAGTGGTGGAAGCGTGATGGCCCCCTGAGGTACGGAAGTTGTGCCGGAAGACACATTTACATCAGGCCGAGAGTCAGAGGTTGGGGCCGAGATGGCCGAGGGTTCGTCTAGCTCGCCCCGCCATGCCGGTGGCGTGAGCTGGTCCTGAGGTGGTAGCCGTCGTTGGAGCTCAGCATCACGCTCTAGCTTGAGCAGTCGCTCCTGCACCTGAGCAAAGTCGCGACGCAGGTTGTCGTTATCAGATGTCAATTGATCGACCTTTTGCTTCAGACCCTCGGAGCGAACTCTCTCCTCGGCCAGGATGCCATTGAGGTTGGCGACTTCCCGCTGATGAGCTTCGGACTCTTGCTTGCGTGCTTCACAGGCAATCTGCAGGTCGCGGTTGGTCTCTTCCATCTTCTGCGTCTTCCGCTGGCGGAAGGCCCGCTGAGCCTCACGGTTCTGCTGCTTCCGCTTGGAGGGTGGGTCGTCGGTGGCAGGCTTGCGACCGGGCTTTGGGCGCGGAGGAATGACATAGTTGTTGCCGCAAGGTCCCTGGCTCATGGCGGGCGTGATATAAGCAGAAGGGCCGGGAGTGGGAGCGAGAGCGATGGGGGTTGACGGGCCAGCGGACGAGGGTGCGGCAGGCGAGCCGGCATTGAGGGGGGAGGCGGAGCCTTCGGATTGGGGAGAGGGAATGGCGAAGGGAGAGGTGGTCGAAGCATGACCGCAAGCTGGGCTCGGAGCCGGCGCAATGTCGAGCTTCTTGCAGGCCATCATTGATTGGGCGGTGATGGTGTCTGGAGATGTCGAGGGCGATGGACCTGATCTTATCAGATTTTTCGGGGGGGTCCCCTCTTGCCTTGTCCGAGTGTCGCCGAAGCCGGCCTGCGATTCATCAACCTCCACGGAACTTGAGTGTCTCGTGCCGAGAGAGCCAGATCTTGAGCCACTGGGGCCACCGTGGCCTACGGACCGCGCGACTCTGCTTCGTCCCTCCCTGATCCAAGAGGTCAAGCGTCGTCGTCATTGGACACCCCGTCTCCACATGGGATGATCATCATCGCATATGGTGGCCATGTCCTTTGGCTCTCAGCACCAGTGCTGTGTGTTTGGTTAAGAGGCTTCGGTTTGGAATTCTGCAAGCTTCTACTCGTAGATTTCTCCCCTCCGTCATTGCCTGACGCTGCCTGTTCAGTCGGAGAAAATCGCACAAACCCCTCTAGCAACGCAACCATGGCAGTGTTGAATTATTGCCCGCCTGTACAGCCTGCAGACGGGGCGAAAGGATCACTCCGCTCGCCTGGACGCAATCTGCCTGTCGCTGCCCACGACGCCTGCGCATCTAGAATGGGAGTTTGTTCCACCATCACTCTCTGCCATCCGAGACTCACCCACGGAAGGAGCCACAGCCGTTGGGCAGCACCAACGGCAGCAAGCTCAATTCAGAGAGGCGTGTACCTAACCTAAGTACCATCGCGTCGCGCTCCGGTTATGCCCGTCACGAGACCACGGTCAGCCAATCGACGTACCACAGATTCTTATATCCCACCACCGCAATGACATCGGTATTTCTTGCCATTCATTAAACTCGAAGAACCAGACGGTCGTATCCGGGCCACGGTTTCCTCAGGCACGGCAGTTTCATCTTTCGCGAGCCGCCGCGGCGATACCGACGCTGCCATCTAGCAGGCGTAATTTCCTCCTCTCCCCAAAACACCACCAAGTCCGGCAAAGTGGAGACCCTAATTTGTCGGCACAGTGAATGCAGGAGCTGAAGAAGTCTGCGGCCGTGATTTTTTCGCATGTGAAGCTGAGCCTTGGCTTTGGTTGAGCGTGTTGACCGCAGCGTTGACACAGGAACGTCCGGCTGCAAACGGTAATCCGCTGACGTTGTGTTGATAACTGTATAATCTGGGGCCTCGAAGCAAGGGTTGTCAGAATTTTGAGGCTGTAGCCTGTGCCTGGATGCACCATAACCGCCGCTGCCGCTTATGCATCAACAGTAAGCCACGAGGCGAAAATGCGCAAGTGTGGGAGCCAAATTCCAAGGTTTTTTGCTACCCTGTTACAGGATAACCGGAGTCCCGTTTGTTGCTCTGAGCGCGCATTCCGCGGGACTCAAAGTTAGGCGCTAATCGTCCGCTTGCTCATTGGTCCAGGGCAAACGTCTAAACCCCTCACGATTCCCAAAGCGGTAACGGGACTCGCTCCGCATCAAAACCCCTCCAAATCGACGTCAAGGAAAATAGGAACCAGGTTTGAGGATTACAGAACCCCCACATCACACCACGGTGCTGCTACTTTGGTACTAACGCATAATCACGCGGTCTGTCCATGGAAACCATACCTGAAGTGTCTCTTCAGAGCCCTAGCCCAAAGGCACATAAATTGCTGCTGCCTGCCCATTGCTACTGACACCCATCAGCAAGAAAGCGCTCAAAATCTAAAACTCTACCCCAAACACACGCAAACGAACAAAGCACCATGGCCACCTCGATCCTGAACCACCAGTTCACCTTCGCGCAACCCATCGCAGGCCTGCCCTCGTCCAGCCACAATGCACACCAGGAGCACCACCACGAATGCTCCACAGGCGATATCCAGCGGCAGAGCGCATCTCGAGGCAGCTGGTTCCACTTCCACCGGACGCCCAGCCCCGCGCCCGCTAAACACGCAGAGCAGGCACCGGCGCGCCCGTCCTGGACCGCGCCGCGGCATTCCTGGGGCGCGAAGTTCTGAATCGCAGCCGCGGCGCACCGCCTGGCAGGGAAGGGCGAAGGCTACCAACAGCTGCGCCCAGAGCGCCGCCGCATCGCGATTGGCTTCTCGCGCTCCCGGCGCGCCCGAGCTACCTAGCTAGCGGCGCAGCACCCCTTGTCAGCTGAAAAATAAAAAGACTCCGACTTCTGCCTTGCGGCGCGAGGCTGAGAGAGAGAGAGAGAAAGAGCTGAATGAGTGCATGCGCGTTGCGCGTTGCGCCTTGACCCACTCTCACTGGACGACGAAAGATACATCCCCCCAATCACGCACGCACGCACGATTACCTTCCCCCCATCTCATTCCCAAGCCAGCCTGGCGCTGGCGCTCCTACACCGGCTCGAAAACAGAAAAAATTGCATTTTTTTAACGAGAGGGCGAGAGGGCGAGAGAGCGAGAGAGAAAGAGGGCGAGTGAGTGGGTACTGGAGCACCGCTGCCGCCTAGCGAGTGCACCGCCGCAACAGCAACGGGGCAGCGCATCCGCGCATCCGGGCTTGCGCGTCTCGAGACTGCTGCGGCGGCCCGTCCCGCAGCATGCAAAAGCACTGACGGCGCTATAAGTGGGGCGGTATTGGATGGAGCGGTGGCGGCGAGATCGTTGTTGCTATCGAGGGCGCTGTTGGCTCGCGCGGCTTTGCTCGCCTGGAGGGGAGCTGTTACGGGTGGTGATGCAGATGCGGGTTGATGCTGTTCTTGTGTGGAGGATCGCTGGGGGTGCTGTTTGATGTTCTTGACGCGTAGCCGTATAGGGTAAGGTAGACCTTGTTGATCTATATGGATTAAGTTGATGGACGGGGTCGTCTTAAATATGCTTTGCCTGTCTTTGCTGCTGATGCGTTGATTGTCTTGCAAATGATTCGTTCTCTTGCTGTTGTGACTGTTCTGACAGCGCAGCTAGCGTCTTGCACTTGGACCAGAGATGCACCACGCCGAAGCAGGATCAACATCACTGGCGCATGTTTCGCTTGTGGGGATGCAGATCCAGTGCCGTTTTTGTATAGCTCTGCGGCTTTGTAGTACCTGTCGCATTTGACGTTCATGTCTGTACAGCGCTGACAATATAAGAATGAAGCAGTCTAGAAAGATCGAATATATACTGAACTCTATTGGATGGATGCGCTGCGTACCTATTCCGGTTTTATTGCTGCCCCAATCTATACTCCCAGATTCCCTTCTCTATAACGGTTTCTCTTCCCCAGTCTTCTAATTACCCCAATCCCAGCTCTCAACCCGATTCCCTACAGCTTCTCCGTAGAGAATTCTCCGCCCCAACAGAGTCAGATTAAATATCCCGTAGGGGGATGTTGATCTCCTTTGCCAATGTCCCAGTTGGTTCCAAAGGCCCATTTCCAAACATCCACCACTGTACACCCAGATAAGCGTCGCAGCAAGCCTGCAACAGACCACAGAACTTGAACGCCCAGGGCACCTCTCCGTCACCGCTGAGGAAGAAGAAGGCCATCTTAAACACGTCACCGACCAGCCAGTTCAGCAGCACGCTAGGCCTGAAACCCTTGGTGCTCCTACTGCGCTGGTTCGTCATGATCTGCGGCAGCGGAAGCGTGGCCTCGATCGCCAGGCCCAGGTATCCGAGCATGTTGGTGTAGGCGGGGAACGAGGAAGTCGGCGAGATCAGAATGTGCAGGACGAAGAGGCCGCCGGTGAAGTAGGCCAGGAAGACCCAGTAGGTGCGGTGCGGGCGCCACTGCCAGAAATTGTAGGGGCGCGGCGCGGGAGCCGGCGCAAACGGCGTGTGATGCGCCGCCGACGGCGGCCGGTGCGTCAGCGCGACGTGCAGCAGCAGGCACTGCATGATGATCATGAGAATGGCTTGCGTGAGGAGCGACAGCGCAAAGTGCGCGCCGAACCAGTAGAAGATCCTGCCGTGCGCCGTCAGTGTCTGCGCTCTGGATGTATGCGTCTTCGCGCGAAGGCTCTTACTTCAATATCGAAGCCAACAGCATGATCAGAGGGATGTCGAGGGAAAAACCGCCCGAGGAGCGGTTCTTATGGATAGAGTAGATCTGGTCGGCATAGGAGGTGACGGGCGAGGTCATGATGCTGTATAGCCAGTCAGCCACTGCTCAGTGTCGTCGCAGAGAGGAGGATCGTACAATATAGGAGCGATGCTCTTGATCGCAGCGGAGAAGAACCCCATGATGCCGGCCTCCGCTGAGAAGTATTGGGAAAGATAATCGATGAGGGGCATATGCACCGGAAAGCCAGGGAAGCGTGTGAGGGGCGATGTCGACAGCAGCGCAACTCTATATCATGTCTCGGCTGGGAGAGCGAAGGACACGATGAGCCAATGCCTGAAGCCAGGGACGAAAGGCACGGTCGCCAGGAGACAGCGAGAAAGGTTGGGACTCTTCGCGTGCACTAGCGACGCGATTGCGGGTAAGGCTGATGCGTTAGCGCGTGTTGTCCTTATCTCCAGCCTAATCTCCATAGCGGCAGGCGTCATTGCTCTCTTCCCTCAATCACTTACTCGAACAGCTCCTCCAACATGGGCGATCACAAGGCCTTCTTCTACGGTACTCGCCAATGCCCCAAACCATCAGCCCCCGCCTGTCTAACCCCGCCATCTACCACAGGCACCCTGATGGCGCCCGCCGTCCTCCACCGAGTATGCCACGGCACCCCTACTCCCAATGACTTCCAAAAATCGCTTCTCACCGCGCGCCCCGCCTTGCTCCCCTCATACCGCCGACATAAAGTCCGCTTCGCCGACTACCCCGCCATCCTACCGGACGTCGATCCCGCAGCCTGCGTGCGTGGGACCTTCGTAACCGGCCTGACGGACGGCGACATATGGCGGCTCGATCTGTTCGAGGGCAGCGAGTACAAGCGGGAGCGCGTGCGCGTGAAGGTTCTGGCCGCAGACGGCGGGATTGATGCCGCGGGCGTCGCGCACCATGACACCAAGGAGACGGGCGAGGAGGTCGAGGTCGAGACGTATGTGTGGATCGCTGGCAAGCACAAGCTGGAGGACGAGGAATGGGACTTTGACGAGTTTGTACGGGAGAAGATTGGGCGTTGGGTCGGCAGGGGCGCCAACGAGGAGTATGCTGGTACGTGTTTTGGTTTTGGTTGCGGCTCTCGGCGCTGCTTGGCAATGGCTTCGTGTGCGCAGGGACAAGACAATATGCCGGATACCCGGGTATACCTACCTACTTCTAGCGCTAACCTCTACCTACACAGAAGTCGACGACGCTGTAGCTGCACAAGGCCACGACCCGACTGGTGGCCGCGCCGGAGATGGGTGGCGCTAACCGAAATAGGTAGTCACATAGAAGAAACCAGAAAGCGGTTCCGAACGTCACTCGTCCGCGTCCACTTCACCACATTCTGTCCGCGCTGCTTGACTGTTCCAACGCCCATACCAAAACCTCTCGCGCACGCCCAAATAAACCGATAGTACCACCTACAGCTATGGGTTCCGTCGTCCTTCCCCACCTTGTCACCGGCTGGCACGTCGACCAGGCCATCATGTCCGAGGAAGACCGCCTGGTCGTCATCCGCTTCGGTCGTGACTGGTACGCGACACTCCCGAAACAACAAGCCTCAGCACAGCTAACGCCGAAACAGGGACCCAGACTGCATGCGCCAAGACGAGGTGCTGTACCGCATCGCCGACCGCGTCAAGAACTTTGCCGTCATCTACGTCTGCGACCTGGACCAAGTGCCCGACTTCAAGCAGATGTACGAACTCTACGACCCGGTCACGATAATGTTCTTCTTCCGCAACAAGCACATGATGTGCGATTTCGGCACGGGCAACAACAACAAGCTCAACTGGGTGCTCGAGGACAAGCAGGAGCTCATCGATATCATCGAGACGATCTACCGCGGCGCGAAGAAGGGTCGGGGTCTCGTCGTCTCGCCGAAGGACTACTCGACCCGCTACCGGTACTAGGCGCGCCGCTGGACGCTGGAACACTTTGTCGGGGAAGATTGGGCCACCACGGTGCAGCCTGAAGCAGCAAGATCCAGTCGCTCAATGTCTCCCTGCTGGTGCGGGATGGCGACCGGCCGGGGACACGGGAGAGGGTTTAGGCGTTGGTTGGATTGGTTGGTCTCACTTGCTTTCGTGCAAACCTGTGACGAGCAAAATGCTAATGCGATAACATGAAAAGATACCATTTTGTTTATTGGGACTATGAGTAAGTGATGAATGAGCTCGCCCGAACTAACTCCCATTGCATCCCCAAGGGTTGCCGTCAAAGTCTACTTCGCGTGAAGGTATTGTGACTGCGTCTTCTCGAGGCTCAGACAGCAAGCTAAAGGCTTCAAGACCTAACTATGCATGGACATACTTTAGACTTACAGTAAAAGCCAAACATAAACCAGACAGAGAGTATATCATATATGATAAATTATATTCAATGCCGCAAGGAATATACATATATATATCAGCTCGACCACAAAATTGCTATACCAACTACACCAGAGCTACTCTACTCACCTCATAATAATAACAAACCCGCATGTACACACAGCCTATCTCCATACCCTCCTACTCCTATCTCCACCCTCCCAACCTACAGCATACCCACCCGCAAACCCAAAGCCACCCACATCCACGCAGCAAGTTGCCCACCCCACAAGCGTAGCACACCCAACCAGCCAGCCTAGCGCACAACCAAACCGCACCCAAAAAGCCCACAGGTAAAGGCTGAACAAACTGTCCAGCGCAACACCTAAAACCAAAGTCAGAAAGGGAGAGACGAAGCGCCTGCTCCGCTATGTAGTTTATGTATTACAATCTTAACAAAGTAAGAAACCCTGTTCGCAGTCCCGGGATGGTTGACTTCAAGCTTCGAGCTCGGGGGAAGCAGTCTTGCGCTTTGGGGCTTGTTATAGTGGTCGTGAAGGCGTAGTTGTGATGAGTAATATTGAGTGAGTGGTGAGGTTTGCTGCTGCTATGGTTGTGATTGAGGTTGTAGGGGTTCGGTTTGGCGTTTCTTAATTGCTCGGGTGGTGTCAACGAACTATCGAACGCATCCTTGTTGCGTTTTGCTAAGGGTACTTGTCCAGATGGAACGGCATGCTGTGCATACTTCCGGTCCTGGCAATACGTGGGTGGGCTTGGAGAGGTCTTTGTACACACGCGCGTTATATGTATGTATCAACGCCGACAATGCGTATGGCCGCAAAGTCTCCACGAATAAGACAACAAAATCCACAGACGCGTTCACGGGCGAGCAGCAACAGCAACAAGTTAGACAAAAGGAGCACTGGAAGCATTAGACCCGGCTGAAACCCCTAAGCAACAAACCATGACCCATCTATGATCGCGCGCCCAAAACTCCATTACCGCCCCATGCTATGAGATCGACCACACCTCGTCAACTGGCCACACATTCAGGAAGAGAAGAAGAAGAAGTAAAAGAAAAAAAGTCTCCCACCCCGTTCCCTTTCTGCCGAATGTACTCCAGAAGGTTATGCACTCTCCGGCGGCTATGCATCGATAAGGAGCAAGTGAAGCAGAAGCAGATAAAATAATGATGGGAAGGGAAAGAAAGCAATAATGTACTTATGATACCCGGCATCCATCCTTTTCCCTTTGCAACCCATGCATGGCCGTGGCATCTCCGAAATACTGTCCTGTCTGCCAGTGAACCGAGATAGCCTTTGCACGTTCTTGAAATCTGTCGTCCGTCACTCTTGAGATTCTTCAATCTCAAAGACCTCGTGGGTTCCATAGTGGTGCTTCTTTGGTGATGCCTCCCGCAGCTTTTGCTGTCTCGGTTCCTCCTCTCGCCAAGCGTCTTGCGCTTCGCGGGCCTCCTGCTCTGCTTGGGGTTGGCTGTCTGGAATTTCGATTGGAGGCTCATCTTGGGCTTCCAATAGCATCTCCGCATCCTCAGCAACCTGTTTGCCTTTTCGGTCACTCTCAATCGAGGATCTTGCCTCCTTACGTTCAGAAGCCTCGGCGGATCCCCGCTTTGTTGGACTCTTCATCCATATCTCCGGGCTTACTCTCCTTGAAGGAGGCGTCGGCTGTCTGGGGTTCGTCTGAGGCTCTTCGGGTTCCTGTGGGGAAGATTTGGGTTGTTTTGCATCCTTCACTGCCAAGCGTCGCTTTTTCTCCTCCCGTCGTTGATGCGTCTGCTCCTTTTCGATGCCTTTGAGGAGTTCGATGATATCAATCCTAAGTTTGCTGGGATCCATGTCTGGCCAGTCTGTTTCAACAGACATTTCTTTTGTCAGAATTTTTCGGATAAAACTGTCCGGGTCCTCAAGGAATTTCTTGAAATAGCCAAGTAGGAAGACGCCACAGTCGCAGTAATTGGATTGCTGCGGTATAAACTTTGATGAATGCATGGCCTTGATATCCTCAACTCCAAAGGAAAGGCCATGTTTTGACTTTCCTTCCTCAACCAGATATTCCTTCAAATGACGCGCTGTTTTTCCATGTGGAAACCCAAGGGAGTCGAGAATAACGATGACCGGTTCGTTCAGCGCATACAACCGTCCAGGTGGCATTGTCCTTTTTCTTTTGTGGCCTTTTTTATTGGTGGGGCTACTCTTTGCCGATTGTGAAGCCATGGCAACGTTGACTGAGCAGTCATCGCCCTGGGGCTCCTCCACATTAATGGGTGCAGAATGACCTCTAACATCGTTAGGTTGTTTCTCGAGGGAAATCATTTGTTTTTGACCGTCGATGTCGCTATGATTCGCTGATGGTATGTCATGATCAGCATTGGACGGGCTTGGGGCATCGATATCCATGGCCTCTGTCGTGTTTTGCTCCGTAGCTGGTGATGTATCGTCTGATTTTAAAACTTTCTTGACCCGTGCAGCCAAGCTTTCGGCATCATCCTGTTCCGGCTGGTCCTGCTCTACTCGCTGCTGTGATGTTTTGTTGATGTTGGACATGTTGCAGACGATTGCCAGATACCAGTGATTCTCCTCATTGACCGGGATAACCACATAATCATAACTGAAAAGGTCGAACTTGGCCGTCCAACGCTGCACAGCGGCGTAGTTGATGCCCCTTTTCGTGGTTTGAGTCAAAGCGGTGTAGAAATAGGTGTTGAAGTAATAGACCTTTTCTTTTGGTAGACCTTGAGTCTCCGCTTGGATTGCTGCCCAAGTCATATAGAACGCTATAATACTGTCGTTCAGGAACTCACCGTCGTTGAGACGGAGCATGTCTTCAAAAAGGATGGTTCCCCTGCGCCGTCCAGTTGGCGGATACACTACAGGATGACTCCAGGGAGTTCCAAACCCGTACTTCTCCGAATATCTCTCAGGTTCTGGAGAATGCTGATCATGCTCAATCGCTATGTTGTCTGGTCGGTTTCTAGAACGTGTAGATCTGTTTGCGGGGGGGTTGAATGCCTCTGGACCGTTGGGCATAGAACTTTCGTTAGTATTGGATATTCTTGAAGTCCTCGTTGTAGGGACGGACGGATCGGAGATTCCAAGCTGCGACACCAGCTTGCGCTGGTTTCTGTGATTGTGCCCGTGTGATTCATGGCCGCGATCAGGAATCTGGCTTAGGCGTCGTCTCTGGCGCGCCTCAAGCAAAGCGAGCTCTTCACCACCATAGTCTGCTGTCTGCTTTGGCACATAAAGTGGTAGATCGCGCGCAAGGATTCTTTCCATTTCTTCCGGAGACTTCGAGTGGGATTTCAGGGTGTGTTTTGTGTCTTCTTCCAAAGCTTCGAGAAACTTTTTGCCATGAATCTCGTGAGCAAATTCAATATTACGTTGATATTTGCCTTCCGTGGCCGTTGATGAGCCTAGAATCTGGAACCTCGTGGGGCAAGGATTGCTGTATGTCAAGCTGTTGATCTTTTTGGGGTCGATTTCCAGCTTGCCACTACCCTGCAGTATGGGCCCGTCATCGTTATATGCGACGTATGTGGATGTCCTAAGATCTGCTATAAGACTCAAGCCCGGGCCTTTGAGAACATCGCCAGGAATCACCAATCGCTTTAATTCCCAAATATAGCGGGCCGTTTGCTGAGGCTGGGGTTGCACCCTTGTCTTGTTTCCTTTAAAGTTCAACCTGGATTTGCCATTGTTTGATCCTTGAGCTCGCTCTGGTATGTGAGCAAATGATTCGGGGCCAATTCCAGCAGATCCTTTTGCCAGCGTATCGATGCGCTTTCCTTCGGAAGCTTTAAGATTCCATGGCGAAGTGAGTTGTACCTCATCGTCGCTTTCTTTGATTTCTGTGGATTTCGGCATCCGCAGAGCTTTTCCCGGTTTGACCCCTTTAGGATCGAATGCGCCAATGTCAACGTTACGTTTTCCAAATGAGATAGGCTGAGAGTCTGTCAAAGGATGCAAAATTTCGCCGATTCTCTTTGTTGCGGATCGACTTTTTTCATCATCCGCACCAAAAGTCTGATAGGGTGGCTCAAACACATCGCTTCTGTGGGTGTTTGAAGGTGGCGGTGCTGACTCATCATGCGCTCTAGTAGGCGTGGAGAAGCTCTTTAAATTTTTGGAATGAGTCGTAGGGTTCTGCGACCGTGGATGATCTTTCGTGACGCCATTTTGATGGGATTCTTGAGAGCTCGTAATCCTTGATGGTTTCATTCTTTCTTCCACGGACTGGAACTCACTGAGCTCAAAGAAACTCGGACGAGGCCTTTCTTCCGAAAATTGCTTAAAGAAATGATTGCTTGCATGAGGCACTCTGCCAACACTTGAAGCTCTTTTTGTAGTTGAGTGATCGTCATTGGTGAGGTCTACCTCTACTGGGCTAGAGCGAGAATGACCTGCAGGCACCGGGTGATCAAGCTTTCTCTTTTTTTTGGGAGTTCTTTGGTCGTCCGCCGTCTCGAACAAGTCTCTGTGGCTTTCACGCCTAACGTTATCGCCAGTTGTACCTCTAAGCTGGAGTCCCTTGTATGGTCCGCGTGCTTGCTTGCCGTAGTGGGGTTGATGCGACCGGTGGTGATCGGCGCGAGAGGAGTAAGCGCTTGGCTGATCCATCGTGTTGACCGGCCTGAAAGCTCCAGATGTACGAGGCTATAAAATAATCAGTTGGTTGGAGTACCTGCGCTGTTGGGCACCGTTTAACACATACCTTAGACATGGTGTCGAACGGCGATGCGCCGAGTCTGTTTATGGATGAAGCATCCGAGTATTTCCTGCACCGAGCTCAGCAATGTACCGCGCAAAACCCTTGTCTGGCGTAACGGTACCTAGTATCGTGGTAGGTCAAGTGTCCGTCCTGGAGCTTTTGTTCGCGACTGGTAGCGGCGCGCGGGGGACTGACAATGGCGCGTGAGCTTGTGTTTGAGAGCAGTCTCTGCGGAGAGTCGAGCGTACTAGATGTCTTCGGGCGCGGGTCGCAATCGGTGGGTAGTGTTGAGGTGTGTGAGAGCATCCTCCGTCTGCATGTGAAGCGGTTAGCTATGTTGCGATGTCGCAGAGGTGCAAACAGCAGAATTCCGGATAACTCAGTGGCTCACTGACCTGGGGAGGTGCTTCAGCTCTCTTAGGTTCCTGCGAAGAAGGGGAAGAGGTGAAGAAGGACTGGGCTGCGCTCTTGATGCTCTGGAAGCTCGATGCGATCATTGCGGTGCCAAGTCCTCGACAGAGTGTTCTGGGTCGCGTCCTAGGGAAACGGCCTGCTGGGGCGAGCGGCGAGTGCTGTCAAGATTTCACGAGTTGTAGTTTCCATTTTCCGCAGTGATGGGTTGCCAGAACTGGAGGGTAGTTACTTTGTCCCCCGCTGGGCGCGGTGACGTTAGGAAGCACGGCCAACGCCATCTGAGAAGCACAATCGTTCGCGACAAAAGCACCCATGCGCACTGCCATTTCCGGAGGCGCATCGTCCTCTGCGCGTCGCGCCGCTTTCTCAAAACATTACATCCTACAATTCGAGCCCTTGCTGAAGTGCGCCGTCTCGCCGGTGGCGGAGGTTCGCGTGTGTTCCGACAAGGGTATACGACCAGCGCGTAAAGCTACAAAGACCGGGAGACCCATGGCCATAAAACGCTCCAAGGGCGCAAGCACTCGGCTGATCTGCCCGCTAGGTACTAGAATACAGATTGCAAGATGCGCGCTGCACCGCGGCCTCTTGCTACGTGAAGTGAACCCAGAGAAGCACAATGCCGTGAAACCAAAGACGCTAAAACCCAGTGATCACTCCACACCCTTACAATGCATGTAACAGACCGCCCTAGGGGGATATGAGAATCAATATGCAATCATGAAGCGGAGTGCTTTTCCTTCTGCGGCGTGGATTCTTCTGGCACAGCGTTCGTCCGGCGTCTGTCGTGCTGGTGCTGTTGGGCCTTCTCTTGGCGTTGTTGGTCGAGGACTGTCCGCTGGGCGATGCTGTCGTCGTGGCTCTTCCACTCAATGCGCGTGTCTGGCGGTAGCGAGAGAACACGCTTGATTGTCTCCCTGCGGGGTCGTTAGTAATGGCCGAGGCAGAGGGAGCTGGACATCACGTACCGTATCTTGACATTACGACCGCCGTCGTTCTTGGTCCAGACACTAAAAACATCTTCACCACTCCTAACGCTGACCACAGCGCCGCAGACCTCTTCGCCAGCCTCCATGAACTCATTGCCAATCAGTGCCAAGAGCAAATTCTCCCAGTACCGATCAGCAACGCCCTTTTTGAGGCGCATGATCCACTTTCCGCCCTTCTTGTTCTCCTCGTCCTCCCACACCGGTCGAATGCCCTCTTTGAAGAAATGATAGTCGGAGACCGTAGGGAGCATTGATGGACGCTTCAAGTGACGGTAGACGCGGACAAAGTCCTGCGCCGTAGACATGCGCAGCATCTTGACCGTCGACTTCTCATAATCCGAGTTCTTGGACGTCGGGGGGCGGTACCAGATGACCCAGGTGTACTTAAGCGGCGCCGGCACGTCCCAGCTGAGTTCTCCAGATGACGCGGTCCCTTCCGCCGCCGCTTGAGACACGGGTTTCCCGGGAGTCGCTGCCACAGTTCTGCCCGATGGCCTATCTCCTTTAGGTCCAGGTGTTGAAGGCGAGGCGGCAGCACCGGCGGCAACTTTGCCAAAGTCGAAGGCGGTACCGGGTGTCTTGGGCGTTTTGGTGGCGGAACCAAAGGAAGCAAACGCACCGGAGCCCAAGCCAAAGGCAGTAGATGCCCCGGAAGTAGGCGATGCTATGTTGCCCGTGGTTAACGGCGGGATGGCGTTGAACGGATTGGATCTTCCTCCGTGGGATGACGTCCCACCACTAAAGCGGGTCCGGGGAGGATGCTCGCTCTTGGTTTCGTTGTGCTCGGACGGGTTCATGGAGAGGGAGAGCTTGGAGGTGCTGCAGGAGACAGAGATCAGCATGGCGGCTTTGAAGTGCAGCGGGCAGAAGGCAATTGGGGTGCGCAGAGAAAAGGGAAGCTCACTTTGAGCGGCGAGTCCATAGGTTCTCCCTGTCCCGGTCCATTGAAAATCTAGTCGAAGCGGTGCCGAGGAGCTGGAGGGAGGCGGGCGGTCGGGCGACGGGCTGTTCGAAGACCGGGGGGGCAGGGCGGAGCTTTGTCGCGTGGGCTGGGAATATAGCAAGTAAATAGACGAGCTAGATGGTCAACGGGAGGATCAAGAGAGTATGGCAGGGTATCAAGCGCGGCGGGAGGGTGGATTAGCGTTGTCGGCGGATGGGTAGGTGGTGTGGCGGTAGTGGGATGCTAGATAGAAGGTGCAGGTGGGTGTGCTGGTGATGGAGATTGCGGGAAAGATGTCGATTCGCGACGCTACGTTTTGCGGCTGTCCTTGCGCGCCAAGAAATCGGGCAGGCTTAAAAATCTCTGTTCCTGGCGAACGCGACACTTCTTCTTCTTCTCCAAACCAAGACCACCAACTCAAATCATCGCCAGCCCGACATGTCTGCTCTACTCGGCTGGCGACTCCGATGCGTGTGTCGAGAGTACGTAAACCCGCTTTAAAACCGTCATCACGAGGGCCCCTTCGGGCGCGCTCCCATGATGCGGTGACGACCTGAAAGACGGGACATACCTTTCTGCGCATGGCAGCCACAGCAGCTGCCGACTGGATCGCTCTCTTCCGATCGACGATGTCGCATCGGAGACGGCTGACCAAACTGCAAGGGCTGGGGGTGCAACTCCTCACCGCGAGCTGCGCCACGCCAGCCCTAACACTTCGAGTAGTGTGAGTCGGCCGATTTCCTCTCCCGCACACACACATGGCATGATGGACATTTCACGCTCTGGTAATCCAACTAGCAGCACAGCCGCTCGTCTGGTCGTGCATGAGGTCAAAGGCACAGTCTGAGCAAGGCAGCCCCCGGTCACAGCGTCGCTGGAGGTCGAGGCGGGCAAACTGACTGATCATATAGGTGCTGGCGGGCGGGGTGAGGGACTTGTTTGGACAAGGCAGCTGGCAGAGGTGGTGGCTGGTGGCGTAGAGTAGGAACAGGGTCTCTGTACATGCCAAGACATTCGGTGAAGCGCAGACGGCGTGACGGAAAGTGAGCTGATGCGCGCCGTCTGCCGGAGTATTTAGGCCGGCGCGCGCGCATTCCCATGGGAAAAGAAAAAGGCCTTGCCGTACTGTGTTTCCACTTCCATCTGCTCAGCCGTGATTGCCGCTGCATATCGCTACGTCATTGGGTCGCAAACAATCGCTTTTGGTGGGGGGACAGCTGCTGTCTCACCCGGCAACGACCACGACTTGAGCACCATCACCGCCTTGACCAGCCTGCCACCTCAACTCCCTGACTCCACACGCTTCGATCGCCATCTTTGCCATCGTGCACTCTTCCAAAGCCGCTTGTCCCTCCACGCCCACGCCCACGACCACGCCACCCTCCAAGACTTCTAGCAACCATGACGCAGCATTCTCCCACCAGCCAGGTGCTCCACTCCCCTCCGCAGCACCATGCCGACCGCCCCAAGGGTATGCACACCGCACTTTCCCGTCGCTGAACCGTCGCTAACCCTTCGCAAGGCATCTTGAAGAACCCTTCCTTCACTGCCACTTCGCCCGAGGCTGCGCCCTTGCAGAGGGCGCCGTCCGTCGAGAGGCCTACCTTCGGTCGCGAGTTGTCCGAGAAAGAAATTGTCCTGCAAAACACCCAGATCAATGCTGGACACCGTCGTTCGTCTTCCAACGCGCGCGGCCCTCCCTCTAGGCGCCAGTCTGGCACGCCCAGCCACTCTCAGGCCGATGAGAACAGTCCCCGCCTGAGGTGGGATGAGGCGAATCTCTATCTCGCTGAACAACAGCGGGACAGCACCATGAAGATCACGGAGCCCAAGACGCCTTTTGCGAAGCAATATGACCCGACCGAAGACGAGGAAGAGCTGACCGCGCTGAACGCGGAGGATCTGATGGTGGACGAGCTTGACAAGGCCAAGCCTCAGCAGAAGCCGGTGAAGGAGGACGAAATTCCAGACTTTGACCTTGGATCGCCTGAAATGGAACGCCTTGAACACCAAATGACTCCTGATGGCGAGAAGCGTGTTCTCGTGGACCCTGAGACTATCGAGGACGGAGGTAGACATGGCGAGGAAACCGCTGATATGACGGTCGAGGAAAAGGAGAAGCATCGCCAGTTTGAGCAAATGCGGAAGAAGCATTATGAAATGAAGGATGTCAAGAGTTTGCTTGGGTATGTTACGCTGCAGCTGGTTGAACCAAGGAAAGTTTTCTAACATTGAACAGGCACCCGGAAGAACTGGATGATGAGGATGACGAAGAGCCGCCGCCGATGCCTGCCATGCCCAACATGAACAACGGTCAGAGATAGTCCAAAACCATTCCGAGTTCCTCGAGACAAGTGTCGAGTATGACGTCTGTCTTTTGACGAGAACAAGTTACCTACGATCACTATCAACATTACCTTTTTTTCCCCCGGTTTCAATCTATTTCCCTTCCCGTATACCCAGCATATTGGAGACGAGCCCCGGAGCTGAAATCCCGGTCTGGCAAACATTCACCAGGTATCAAAGGGCTTCGTCTCCTGATCGCATCAGGTGGCGTTTGGTGTGCTACGCGATGGGAAATAAGAAAAAAATGCGCACTTCTTATGGAAGGCGATGCCCAACCCTCGCTTTTGGCAAGCACTAGATATTACTGAGTAGGACAACTTGATTATCTTTTTCTTCAAACCATCTATTGTTACTTCTGGCTTTGCTGTTCACACTCAAGCAGGATTGGCTCTCAACCCGATATGCTCCCTCAGCCGTTCAGCTTTCGATTCTTTGGTTCCCATGCGATCGGCGTCGAGCGCGAGTAGCATCGCATCCACGAGCGTGTCTTACAAAGAAAACAATCATCAGCCCAAACACCCTTTGTCTCAATTCCGTTGTCCAACTCCATCTCGGCGAGTACTTACCCGTCAGCTTCGCGATGTCCTTTGGCGTACTAGGGAACCGTTCAATGGGACGGTTCGTCTTGAGCGAGTGCAGTACGTGCAGGTGGTCATCGGCGGATACGAGGTGGCTGTTCGCGATGCGGGCGACGTTGTTGTGGTTACTGACGGGTGGCCAGCAGGGTTAGTTGGGGAGAAGTGGGGTGGAGGAGTAGGAGGGGCAGAGAGGGGTCTGCGTACGTCGCTCTGAGGCGCGTGTCGAGCTTCTCCAGCTTGAGCTCTGTCGAGTCTTTCGAGGAGGCTACGGAGTTGGCTTTGGAAGCGGCGGTGGTGGTCGCGGGCTTGGACGTGGAGGAAGTCGTGGACTTGGGCGTGGACGAGGTCGTGGACATGATGGGCAGGGACGCAGACACGCGAATTGACGGATGGTTGTACAGACGGACGCAAATAGGCGGACACGAAGCGGAAGAAAGAGGGAGAGAAAAAAGGAAAAGGAGGAGGTAAGCACATCGATGAGCAGCTCACGCAGTTGGCTTTAAACCACCGCCATCGCCTCAGCAGTCAGCAGAGAAGGACGTAATACCACGCGTCCCCCTCAGCGGCGCATGGGAAACCCGCGAGCAGTTCCAAGTTTCGAGCCGGGCCTAGCTAGGCCTTCAACCCTCTCTGCGTGCAATCGCAGTCGCCAGCGCGTGCATGGGTGGTGCGATGCACGCGGTTATGACTTCATCGGCTTGCAGGGCATGCCCGGATCTGGTGTTGTGGCTTGCTTCAGCGATCATCCTGGTTGGCGGGCAGGGCAGGGCATGGCGAGACGGGCACGAAGGCCACAACGACGAGATGGAGTGCTAGAGGGGTGAGAAGGGCGAAGGAGGAGGGGAGGTGTACGCGTGTGTGCTTATGCTTGGTGTGGTGGATGCGATGGGGTGTTGGATCGATCTGTAGATGGATGGAGGGATGCGATGGCGCTCCCGGTCGATCTGCCGAGGAGGATGCAACGGGCGCTGGGCGAGGTGGACAGGCACAGGTCTGTTGCACGTTTCGTTGCGCTGACAGGTCGCTGCTGCGGCTGGATGCTTGACAGTCGTCCAAGTCGGCGTATGCGTATGTTACGCGTGGAAGAGCGCGCAGAACATTTCTCACGCCCTGCAGCACATCTTCCCATTCGAGCTCACGCATCAGCAGCCGTCATCAGCGAGCAGCCGTCATCAGCGAGCAGCAACACATTGCGTAAACTGCGCAGCAGCTCACCCCGCACCTACACAAGCCCTCGACCAACCCAAACATAGCAGGAAGGTAGGAGGAAGTAGGTAGTATGTCGGGTCCCTCTGACACCGCCCACGCAACAGTAAAAAATGCGCGGCCAGCTCTTATGGCACCCCAGCCTATGGCATCCGTCTCCGCGCCTCTGAATCGCAAGACAGCAATAGGTAAACCAATGCGAGGACCGACAGAATGCCGGCCGCGCGTGGCTGCTGAGATGAACTGTCTGTTGGGCGCGTGGAGAAGGAAAAGAAGAAAGTTGCGCGTGCGGCGTCGAGTTTTGTGTGGAGGAATTGGTGCGCTAGTCCGGATTGGGGATGGTGTGCGTGGGTGCGCGGTTAGAGACGGCGGGGATGTCGTGGCCGGTGCGTATTGCCGTATAGGGGGCTTTGTTGACACTTGGGAAGTTGGGGTGCTTTTTCACGTTGGAATTTCGGAGTGTTGCTCGTGGGAATTTTGCGGCTTTGAGCACACGCGTAGAGTGGGTGTCGCTGCTGCGTCTGTACCTACGGTCGAAACTAGGTTTTGACGCCGCCTTGTGCTAAGTTCCGACCGCGCTGCCTGTGTTGGCTCCCCGTGAGAGTGATATCAGCATGAGAGCGACAGCAGAGTCTTGCCAAACGCTTGCCGTCAGATCAGAGGCGGTTGGATGTCCGTATTCCATGGAATAACGTCCAGAGCGAGAAGCCCAGGATGGTTTGTTGCGTGGTGATGACTACCACTCATCCCGACGCAGTGCCTCTTCATTTGCTCAGACGCATCCAACAACCCTCAGTTTGTGCCTTTTCTTCATCCCAGAAACAAGTATCGCATGTGTTATGTCGTAGGCGTACGTAGGAGATTTCCTTATCGGCGTTGGTCGATCGTGAGTCTGTGACAGGACTTGGATGATGGGGCGGACTGGGCTCTTCTTTCCGGGCACAGTGACGCAAGGCTCGTTCTGGGAGGACCGGAGGGATTCGACGAGGGACATAGCCAAACCGGCTTGTGACAGGCAAGAGTTTGACGAGGTCTGGCAGTGATTTCAGTTATCCGCGGTTCTGGTCCATGCCTTTCGGCCGGGTCGAAGGGGGGTCCTTTGCTGGACGCGACAACCGCTCAGTGTGCGATTTGCTGGAATCAGAACGGACTGTCACGGCCTACGCGTTCTATGGTTGAAGATAAGAATAAACGGGGCATACTGAAGATAGATATGGCGTCTACCGTGGCGTGACAGCCTCAGGGGAGCATCTGTGGTACGGAAACGAACCGCAAATCCACTACGCGGGACTGGCGTGATGTCGAGACTGGACTGGGCAACTTCTTTGGCTCATCAAGGTGCTTGTAGATGTTCTCCAATCTCTCTTCGCAAGAGCTTATCGTAAAGCCCACGCTCAAGAGCAAATCCCGTAGACTATGGACAAAGTTCTTCACTCCTTCGGCTACTGGCGGCATTATGCAAGCACACGGCAAACCCACCCACCAGAAAAACTTCATGCGTCAACGAGGCTGCTGGATGATAAACTCTTTTCCTATCAGTCGTCGTAATCGAATTACTGTTGCTCCCAGCAACCTTTGCCTCCTCTCTATCTTTGTTCCAAGCTCTTGTTGTAGGTACTCCGTACATGACGTCCGGGTAGCCACCACGGCACGGGGCGGGTCAAAATTCTACGAGGCTGAGGCTGTCGCCCGCACATCGTTGTCTTCCAGCCAATACTACGGAAAATCTCAGCAAACCTCGAATCCGCGAGTGTATGGGGGCTTTGCATGCAGCAAAGCAAACAGACGCTTGTAGACAGTGTATCTAGCTGCCCAACAAACGAATCGCGACGGCTCTTTCACCATTTCTCACCGCCCCTTGTTGTCGTTCGTATGCTGGGTAGCCTGGTATTTCAGCCAGAAAGTCAGGCGTCCTGCTCCCATTATTGAGTCTACCGTCGATTGTTGGTTCATGCGACTTGGATATCGATATTTGTCCGCGACTCCCTGGACTCAATTCCCCCTCAAGTAGATTACAAAGCTCTAGATCAAGCGGGACCCGTAGACTTCAGACTTTCGTCTCGCCAAGGGTTTCGATAGAGGTCCAGAATGTTGTAGCAAAGTGTCGAATTGCTCTCATCAGCGGTCGAGAACGGGCAACGATGCACGTGAACGGTGAGCCCGTCAGCTAGCGCTGCCAGTGGGTCTTCAGGAAATCAAAGGCTTTTGCCACCGTGTCGGCCTTGGGCCTTCTTGACCGCACAACAGGACCATCACTGCTGGCAATTTTCGGAGCTTGGGAGTCATGCCTCGCTCGCATACGTATGTACTCGTAATTACGGCCGTTGACTGTCACATGTCGCGGATGACGCTTGTTTCTGTTGGTTGCTCAGCGCGGCGAAGAAGCCTGCCGGGTTCCTGATAACGGCGAGGCTTTGCAATCCGTAGATATGAAGGCGCTGAAGTCGGCTGGATCACACCACAAGATACCAGGAGGACGGAAGCTTGGAGAGTAGCGTGCGCGCGACATGGCCAAGAGATGGCCTTTCATACCACGGAATCTGGGGGTCTCCGCTTTCCTCTGCCAAAAAACCGAGAGGTACCCACTGGGTTTTGCAACGGTGTTGAGGATGTGCCCAGGGTCAGAGATTCTCTAACGTAACCCGATACCGGAGTAGGGAACTGGCGGAAGGGCTACGCAGTGGCTACGCGTATCGGATCGTCCGGGCTCCGGGGCTCCCGGCTCCGCGAAAACCATAATCCCGAAAGCTTGCGAGTGCGCCTGGGCGCCGTCGACATCACCGTCGCCTTTTTCAGGATTCGATACGCGCTTACCCTCCTTCCCGACGTCATCCTGCCATCCCACGCAACCACATACGACACGTTGATACAACCAGGCCCAATTCTGGTCTCCGCCCTTGCCGCACCGCTTCAGCCTCCCCGCGGTGGTTCCGTGGATCAGCCGTTACATCCGCCGCCTCGCCAAGCCCCTGCACCAGCGCACCTGACATGGATCTTCACCCTTGCCGACACCTCATTGCCTGCGTGCCTGCTCCGCCCCGCGAGGATGCCCAAAATCTTCATCCGCCCTCCCAAAACGTTAAGGCCTCCACCTGTCCGCCAAGGGTTGCTCAGATTCACTGCTGAACAGGGTTCTCAACACTCCGGTCGTATCTTATCTCCTCGCTATCGCTGCCTGCAAGGGTTGCTGTCGGCTTAAAACCGCCTATAGCAGCTGCCCAAGGCATGGCGAGCCAGCCAATGGCCGTTCGCGGCCGTCAGCGGCGCAAACGTTTGCAAGGCTTTCGTCCGCCGCTCACATCCGCAAGGGGGGGCGGGCAAGGCGGCGGGAACAGGATTTCGCCCAGCGGAGGATCTCTCGTGGCGGAAAGGTGTCCGCTGGACGCTGGATTTGGGCGTCTCGGCTTGGTCCGAAGCCACGTCGGCCCGAAAGCGGCAAAAGGAAGTGACTTTCTTCTCAGCCCTATCCGGCTCGTGAGGCACGTTGTTCCTTGACGTTTTGTACGGGGCGGGCCTTGGATAGGAATACCAGTCGGCGCACAAAGACCCTGGATTATAGTCACGCTTTTCCCCAGCTTGTTCGTGCATCATCCGAAGAAGCTGTTCCCGAGACAGCGGCTGTTGGACCGTGTGTACGAGTTGAACCTTGCACCCTGGATTCTTTTACATAACGTGAGTAGGCTAAAACGTGGAGGTGAAAAGGATTCTCGCTCGATAACCGTGCAAACAGTGCTAAGCTCCTAGCCGGCCCCAGTCCCGATTACGTTTCTCGGACCCATCTGGAGATAGGCACATCGGCCATTTACAGTAGCGTCAGCAAGGCCTTGGAAGCGGGCCATTGGCCGCCTCCACCATTTAACGCCTTTTGCCCTCTTGCTGGAACCCTCTTCTCGACCCCGTTGCCAACTTCCTTCTCTCCCGCATTCCGCGCTTTCCTTGTGGCCTGTGGGGTCTGTGACAAACGCGATACCCGTTCCTTCAATTGCTCCAGCATCCCCTTCAACAGACCCAATTCGTGGCAACAGCGGCACCATGGCGGACATGAACGAGAAGATTTACGGCGAGGACCGCCGCGAGGACAAGGTCTCCGACCTCGAGGATGTCCCGGCGTTCAAGGTCGACGACAACGCGGCGGGAGATGTGTTTGGTAACGAGGCTGATGCAGAGATCCAATACAAGACCATGAAGTGGTGGTAAGTTTGAGGCGCAAGGGATTCAATCGCTTCTACAGAATGCTCACTCGTTTTCAGGCAAGCCTCGATGGTTATGATCGCAGAGAACATTTCCCTCGGTATTCTGTCGCTACCCGCCGTCATGGCCAAGATTGGCCTCATTCCTGGTATCGTCTTGATTATTACTCTTGGTCTCTTCGCGACGTACTCCGGATACGTTTACTACCAGTTCAAGATGCGGTACCCATTCGTATGTCGCCAAGTCCACCTACCATCTCGCGCAATGAAAACTGACCTCCAATGTGAAGGTCAACAACCTTGCGGATGCAGGCGGCGTTTTATTCGGACCCATCGGCCAGGAAATCTTTGGTGCCGCGTTCGTCATCTTCTGCGTCTTCCTCATGGCTAGTCACGTCTTGACTTTCATGATCGCCATGAACGTTATCACCGAGCACGCGACTTGCACCATGGTTTGGGGTGTTGTGGGTGTGATTATCTTCTTCATTCTCGCCATCCCGAGAACGCTGAAGAACGTTTCGTACCTCTCCATTGCCTGTGAGTATTTTCCCAGGAAACAGCAGCGGCTGCGTTTTCCAAAACAAAATATTTCGGGGCTCCAAAACTGACAAATTAACAGCCTTCATCTCCATCACCTCGGCCGTTCTCCTCACCATGATCGCTCTCGGCGTCTCCCCCCTGAAGGGTGCCCACCTCGAGGGCACGCTCAAGCCGGCCTTCTCCGACGCCATGCTCGACTCGACGAACATCGTTTTCGCGTACGCTTGCCACGTCGGATTCCTTAGCTTCATCAGCGAGCTCCAGAAGCCCGAGGACTTCCCCAAGTCGCTGGTCATGCTTCAGGTTGTTGACATGACGCTGTACATCATCGTCGCTGTCGTTGTCTACCGCTACGCCGGCCTCGACGTTTCCAGCCCCGCGCTCGGCAGCACCGGCCACCTTGTGCGCAAGATTGCGTACGGCATTGCGCTGCCGACGATTCTGATTGCGGGCGTCATTTTCGGGCACATTGCGTGCAAGTACATCTACATCCGGATCTTCGCGGGCACCAAGTACCTGGGCAGCCGCGGCATTGTGGCGACGGGCACGTGGCTGGGCCTGGGCTTCGGCATCTGGGTGATTGCGTACGTGATTGCGGCGAGTATCCCGGGGTTCAACAACCTGCTGGGCTTCATTTCGTCGCTGTTCGCGTCGTGGATCAGCTACGGCATTGCGGGCTGGATGTGGATCCACATGAACAAGGGCAAGCTGACGCAGAACTGGAAGAAGATTTCCTTGCTCGTCGTCAACCTCGCTTTGGTCCTGCTCGGCGCGGCTATCTGCGGTCTGGGCCTCTATGCTTCGGCTAAGGCTATGCATGACCAGACTGGCGGCGCCGTCTGGAGCTGCGCTGACAACTCGACTTGAGTTGCGCACTGAAGACTTGAGACGACCTTTTGTTTTTTGTTGCTCGCGTGCTTTTTTATACCAGCTGCTTTGTTGGCGTCGTGTTTGCGACGGCTTGTTATGATGTGTGTATAGATTTAGCACGTTTATCTCTGTTTTTTTCCTCTAGATATTATGTAGGCAATGCCGACGACCTGTTGATGACATGCTTTTTGGCCCTTGAACGAGTGCTTTCACTATGATGGACTTGGGATTCGAGATACTGCTGTTTACTCTAGGTGTGCGGCACACGACGAATCCCCCCACTGCCCCCTTTACGGCGCATCTCGTACCAGCGCATCCTCTACCTAGACACCCATAAACAAACAAACAAGCACAGCACGACCCCTCCCCTCCCCCTCACCATCGCAGGCGGGATCACTCCACCAGGCACCACCAGCAGCACACGCGACACAAACGCAGACGTCACCCGCCAGGCAGCGCCGCTCCCGCGCAATCCACGCAGTGGCGTCGATCCGGGGCGCGTCCAGGCTCCAGGGCGAGCGAGTCGCGAGAGTCAGAGTGCGCAGGGCAGGGGCGAAAAGCCCGCACCGCACCTCCCCTGCCCGAGGGGATGTGCGATGTGCGATTTGCGCCGCGGCTATGCGCGCTGAGGGGGCGCGCCGATTGCGTTCGCGCCGTACGGGATGTGCCTGATGATCGTGGAGCGGGGGTCTGCTGCCCGCGGAAGCAGGGTTGAGGGCAGGCTTGCAGGGCAACAATGGAGTCAGGGCCCGGGGCAATCTTCTACCTAACCTGGCCGGGCAACTTTCTACGTAGAGCAGGGCCTTACGGTACGAGTAGAGTGCGTGGTAGGCACGCCTTGCGCCTTCCCTTTGCCTTTGCCTTTGCCTTCCTTCCTTCTTCGGGGTCTCGGGTCGGGGTGGCGCCACCACAGCCCTGGGGCGCAGCTGCCGCGCGCGGTGCCGGCTTACCTACCTACGGCTGGCTTTTTCGGAGAGGAAGGAAGGATGCGAGGATGGGTGGCGCCAGCGTTGAGCCGCCGCGCCGTGAGCGCTACTACGCGTAGAGTAGTGCGAGTATGTACCTGGGCTAGTACGGCGCGCCTTTTTTTCGGTGGTGGATGCGCGGCAGTGACGTGGGAGGAGAAGGGGGACTCGCGGAGCTGCTGGTGGATGGTGGCTGTTTGGGGGGATGCCGCTGGTAGCCGAGCGAGCTGCTGTGGATGCTGGATGTTGCGCTGGGGTGTGGGTGGACTGTGGAGGCGTGGGGGCGCTGGGGTTGGTTGTGGGGTCGCGAGAGCTTGGCTTTGCGTGTTGCTTGCTCGCGGCGGCTTTGCGGGGGATGCTTGCTTGCTTTGCTTGTTTGCCTGTTTGCCTGTTATTGGGCAGCAATGGATGGTGTTGATGGGCCATGTCTTCGCCGTCCGCGTGTGAAGTTACGTAGGCTGAGGCTGATGGTTGACAGGACAGGACAGGACAGGCCGCCGTCTCTCCATCAATCCATCCCTCTGTCTATCCACCTATCCACCCTCTTCCGTCCACGCCGTCCGTGTCGAGATAGAGTCCATCAAAGTATCTACGTCGCACACACCGCACGAAACTCCGCGCCGCGTCGTCAACCTCGCACGTCCGCACATCAACCTCCGCGTTCACGCCTCACCTCCTCTCCAGCCAGCAGCGCGCAAGTCCCCCCTTCCAACCCAAGCACAGAGACGAGGCGAGACGAGGCGAGACGAGGCTCGGAGCCACCATCTCCCCCAGCGTAACCACCGCACACGCACACGAACCTACCTACGTACCTACGTACATACGTACACACCCACGCAACACGCCGCTCGCCATCTCCGTCTCCGCGCACACGCCCGCCCTCGTCGGAGCCCGCTCGCTCATGATCGCCATGGCCGTCCACGCCGTCGTCGCGCCTTCTTTCTGTTGGGGCCGAGAGCCGCTTGCCACGCCTCGCCTCGCCTTGACACATGGTTTCGCGCCTTGACACATGATCGGCGCGCGTTTCGGAGCGGGGCATCGGGGGTCGCCAAGGTCGGGGGCAAGGGGCCCCGTGGAGGGGCCGGGTAGGGGCGGGCCTGGGTGTGGCGTGCGTGCGGAGCGGAGGCACGGAGGGTGATACAATATTGTAGTTGGGTTGGGGTGGTGATGTGCTGGCGCGGTTCTTCGGGGCCTGAGGTCACTAGGTGCTGAGGATGGCACGTTTCAGTGTTGCTCGCTCGCTCGTCGGAGCGGGTGCGGGTGCGTGTGCGCGCCGGAGTGTGAAGTCATGCCCGCTGTTTCGGAGGTTGTGATTGACTTCGGTTGTGGCATTGTAAGGTGGTGGGATGGGCGTGTCGTTCTGTTTCGGGTGCTGCTGCGGGTACGACCTTGCGGATGATCTTCTTGGGTGCGAGGACGCACGTCTGGTCTGGGCTGCGCTGAAGTCATGGCCGGAGCGATCTCTGCCCGGGGTGCTACTCTGCTCTACCACGGGAGACTGCGACGAGGGTCGGAGGAGTGGTGGGTGAGTAAGTCAGTGAGTGAGTGAGTGAGTGACTCCCCGTGGGTGCTGCTGCTCCCTCGCCTGCTCCCTGACCCGGCACCCATCTACCTAGAGTCCAGACCAGACCCGAGAGCGTCCTCTGCGTCCCTCGAACACAACACAGGCACAGTCAACAGCAAGACTTCCTGCACGCCCCTGCATACAAGGCACAACCCTCTTCCTCTCCCTCTCTCCCTCTCACCACCACCCCTCGCACACTCATCACCACTCCAAAGTCGCCACCACACACCATCACAACCACAACCACAGCCACCTCAAAGCGCTTTTGCCCTTTACTAGTCGGAAGCGAGGGGTGCGGCTTCAAGAGGCCGTCGAGGGGACTCGTACAGTACAGTACGCTACGCTATGCCCGTTGGTCTCGGGCAGGGAGGTGGGTTTGGCTGCTTGGTTGGTGAGGGTGGGTCGTGAAGATTGGGTTGGGGGTGAGGGTGAGTGAGATGTGTGATTGATGGTGGTGGGGGGTTTGTGTGGTTGTGTCTGCAATGCTGTTGACTGACTGGCTGGTTACTTTTCTTCTTTCTTTCTTGCTCTCTCTCTCTCTCTCTCTCTCTCTCTCTTCGCCCAGCGAGGCCACACCCCCACCATTCTGGCCCTGGCAGTAATAGCTATGACTATGTGGGCCCGTCGTCAATCGGCCAGCCGCTCAACCAACTTGTTGTCGATCAGGCAGTCAGAATATCGGTTAATTAACCAACCAGCTAGCGAGAAGGTCCCCGGGAACTGAGGGGAATTGAGGGAGTGGTTGGGGGAGGGCGAGGGCGTGTGTGAGTGAGTGAGTGGGTGGGTGAAGTGGACAGGAGGCTTGGGACTAGTCGCTGGTGGCCGGCTGGAGGTTGTAGAGCGAGGTTCGCGGCAGAGGGAGGGTTGCTAGTTGGGGTTGTGGTGGATGTGGTGGTAGTGGGTGTAGCGGGAGGTCTGAAGTAGTAGTGGTGGTGGTGATGGCGGGTCCCAGGTACAACTATCAGGCCGCCTATGCGTGCTGCGCTGCAAGTAGAAGAACGAGAAAACTCAAAGCGTTCGTATTGCACCGATCCCTTGCGCAAAGGACCCTCCGCAGCGATGATACAGCCGCTGTTCTCTAGATGTACACGCGCCGTGCTTCTTCCCGCATCCTGCATCCTGCATCCTACATCCAGCTTTGTCCGTCATTGTCTTTCCTCCCGGCACAATCTGTTCCGCGTCCATCAACAACCTCCCGCACCTCTTCTCTTCTCTCTCCTTTCCCGCCATTCCACAAACGCATCCCCTCCCAGCAGCAGTAGGAGCCTAGTACAGCGCGAGGCCCAACGCAGAGACAAGGCTCAGACCGACAACGAACCAGCCAGTCTGCATAACAGCGCGGTTGGTAAGCGTCTTGCCCATATCCCAAACCAAGTGGCGAATGCCATTGAAGCTATGGAAGGTGAAAGGCAGAGCAAAGACGGTCTTGAAGCCGATCTTGGCGGCGATGGGCAGAGCGCCAAATGCCGCGGCCAGCGACTGCGACTCCAGGTGCCAGCCCGTCAGCGGCGCAGCCAGGTACGCGGCAAAGAACAGGTAGAAGCTGCCCGACAGCATGGCGCCCGTGATGCGGTTGAACATGGACGCGTACCAGGTGATTTGCGGGCGGTAGATGGTCAGGTGCGGCGAGACGGGGCGTTGGGTCCGCTGCTTGGCCAGGATGGGGTAGCCTTCTTCGTTCGTCATGCGTTGCATCGCGACGGTCCTGCTGGGGGCGCGGGCGTGTTAGCGGGGTTTGTTCGATAGTTTGGTCTGCCATGCTCAGATCCGATTGATCTCCTTCGTAGTATCATCCTCCTCCTCATATTCTTTTCCGTGCTGCTAGGAGTGTGGGCTGGGGCTGCGGCGTGGGCTGGACGGCCTCGCGCGGAGGGGCTCCGTACCGAGACTGCTGCATGAGGGCAGCGGCCGGGGCGAACCTGGCGGCGCCGACCGGAGCGGCCATGCGCCGGAGGGCGAGTTGGAACGAGCGCTGGGCGAGCATTGCGGGCGGGGGCAGCGATGGGGTGGATGGAGAGACTCGCGGTCGTTGTGGTGATGCTGCTTGTTGCTGCTGCTGCTCGCTCCGGCTGCCCTTGGCCAGGCTAACCTCGGGAGCGCGTGCGGCCAATCACAGCACCGCCCTTTGTCACCGGCTATTCCTCGGCAGTGCTGTCTCGTCAAAAGTGTTTTTTTGTTTCGCCATCTTCTTCTCCTTCTTCTTCCTCACGGGACCTCCTCCCCGCCTGCGGACCCTCGTGGACTGAACCCAGGCGGCTTGTCTCTGCGGCTGGCTTTCTGCCAGTTGCTCGAGATGCCTGAGGTCCCTAGAGGGACCAACCCGTCGTTAATCGCGCATTTTAATCCTTACCAATGATTCGGTGCGTTTCATATCAGGGTAACATACCAGCTCGAGAAGATGATGTTTGTCTGTCAATGAATGAGATTCAATTGGAGTCTGTCGGGTCTGCGTTGTGATTGCAACACATGAATGAATGATGAAGCAATTCGCACTCCTACAGACGGGACAACGGAGCTCTCGCTGGTCAGACTATCAGCCGTCTTCAGGCTCTACACCTCTTCTCATAGCAATTGATCCTTTGAATTATCCAATATATCTCTTATGAAGCATGCACCTGCCTGCTTTCGATGTGACTTCATCTCAACCCAAAAAATTTGACTCGGCGACCAACAACCTCACGCGTCACCATCCAAGACAAACAGGCAGAAAGCACCACAACCCTCCACAGCGAGAGCAAACGCCGCCAGACCGCTCAAACCAAACAATCCACAACAAACAAGAAAAAGCAGAAAACCAGGGCAGGAGGCCACCCGCGGTCTCAACCTTCAAAATGCGCACAGCAACGCCTCTCACAGCAAGCAACCTCTCCCTCCCCCCGGACTCGTACATCTACGCGCTCAGCCCCGCAGGCAGCAGCGCGCTCGCGGCCCTCTCGTCCGACGACTCGGTGCGCTGGTTCGATCCTGCGTCGCTGCAGCTGCTGCCAGACGGCGTGGTCAAGAATGCGCATCGCAGCGTCACGTGCCTCAAGGCATGGGACGAGCATGTGTTGGCTACGGCAGGAAGAGACGGGGCTGTCAGGCTGTGGGATCGGAGGACGGAGGGAGCAGTTGGCGGAGTCAGTGTCCGTATGTGGATTTTATTTCTTGTCTCTATTATATATTTCTGCCATCACGTCTCTTTCCTTTTTCGTCATTTCTCTCATCTTTTCCCTCTTCCTTCCCTATTTCATTCTTACTCCACTCTCACCTCAGCACCAAAAGAACGCCCTGCTAACTCCCGCCCCTCCAAAGCCAAAAACCTCCCCCTCTCAGCCCTGACAACCCACGCCCCAACGCACCGCCTAATAGCCGGGACCGAGTACCCCAACAACCCGCCGGGCGACGCGCCCATCTTCATCTACGACACGCGGCAGCTAACCTCTAACCCCACACCCGCGCTCACCCCGCTCCTCACCCTCCCCGAATCCCACACCGACACCATCACCGAGCTGACCCTGCACCCCTCCCGCCCTAGCACCCTGCTCTCGGGCAGCACGGACGGGCTGGCCTGCGTCTTCGACATCTCGCAGCCGGACGAGGACGAGGCCCTGCGTCGCGTGCTCAACCATGCCGGCGCGGTGCATCGCGCGGCCTGGGTCGGCGAGCGCGACGTCGGCGTTTTCAGCACGGACGAGGCGCTGGCGTTCTACGAAGCGTTGGACGAAGAGGGCGTGGAAGGGAAGAGCGGGCAGGAGGGGGAGGAGGACGGGCCCAAGCCGGTCCGGATCGGCGATGTGCGCGAGCTGTTGGGGTGCGAGTATGTAGTGGGCGTGGGTGCGAAAGAGGGGGTCAGAGTCGTTGCGGCGGGGAACCATAGGTGCGTTTGTTCTTTTCTTTTCTCTCTTTCCGCCTTTTCCTCTTTCTCTGTTCTTGTCGACACAATATCTGGACAAACCCACTAACAACTCAGCAGCAACCAGCACCTCGATCTCCTCCCCCTCCATCCCCCCACCCAGGGCGCTACGCCCCTCGCCTACGCCTGCTCGCAGGCCGACTGCCTCCGCCTCCCGGGCGCGCACGGCGAGGAAATCGTCCGCGACTTCTACTTTGCGCCGAACGTAAGCTCTGGTTACCTCCACCCTTATCTGACCCCCATGCTAACGCCCACCACCACAGTCGACAACACTCTACACCTGCGGCGAAGACGGGCACGTGCGCGCCTGGAGCGGCGCCGGCGCCGACGACGTCTTCGGCACCATTGGGCACAGAGACGCGGACGAGGACATGCGCGACGATGGCGAGGAAGACGGCGGTGCTAAGAAGGCGAAGAAGGAGAAGAGTGCCAAGGGCAAGGGGCGCGAGAAGCGCAAGGAGCGGAAGGAGAAGAAGAAGGACCGTTTTGCGCCGTATTAGCTGGGGAAAGGTGGGGAAGGGAGGGGTGTAAATAGAGTTGAGAGATGGGGTTGCGTTGATAGTTTTTGTTCAGTGAACGAATGGACTTTCTGTCCGGTTGCTCAATATCGCAGACATACAGGACCTCAGAACTCACCATGACGAACGTGTCGGTGCTGTTTTCGTCTGTCGTCTATCTGACCGTGCCTAGAAAAACGGTAGCATTCACGCACACGGGAACAGTACCACCAAACAGCATAGATGCCCACTATCTTCCAGCAGCTACGGGGGGCACCACCATCGCCGTGCGCGGCAGATCAGCATCTCCATCTTATACACTGCATGTTTAGCGTATACCTACTTACTTCTCTTACGAAGAGAGAGAGTGTGTGTGTGTATGTGTGTGTGTGCGTATAAACGCCCAGTTTAAAGCGCAGGAAAGACGCACGCGCCGGCGCAGCTGAGGTTGAAGTTGAGGGGCTGGGGCGTGCTGTTGCGGGGAGTGGGTTAAGAGGCAGGTGGGTACACGGTTTGCCGTACTTCGCAGTGAAGCGTTGTGGAGTAGGCGAGAGCTTTGCGTATGTGTGTATGTGAGCGGTGGGCGTGGGCGGTGGGGCGGTGGCTGAGCATGTACGCTACCAAACCGAAGATAAGACCCGGTCTGCTTTGGAGTCGAGCAGAATAGAATACGGGCGGCGCTGCGCTGTGCTGTGCTGTGGGAAGGAGGTATATAGATGCGGATCCTGCTCTTGTTGTAAGTGCTTACTTATTGTACCTCTCGATCTCATTGCAAGGCAAGGCACGATCCGTATAGGGCTGGGAACTGGCGCGGCGCTGTGGAGGGTGTGGAGTAGGACAATGAGATATGAACATGGGATATAAAACAAGCACTCCCTCCCTCCGTCCTACGTACCGACCAACAACAGAGCAGGATTCTCTATCAAGTCACCAAACATCTTCAACGAGGTCACCAAACATCTCGTACTGCTCGGTGTTGGGAAGTTCGCACCATCAAGATCGATTCCTGACGCTGTGGGCGTGTGCTGAAGCTTAAGAGGACAAGGTATTGCGCTGCTGGTGTGGTTCCTCATCGCTAGCGAGGAATGCTGGTGTTCTTTAGAAGGTGCTTGTGGTGGTTGTCTTCATTGGCTTGGTGTGCTGTTTGGTGCGGAGGGGTTTGATGTTGCTGTTACGGTACGTTTTTCTCAGGATCTTCTTCCTTGATTTGTTCAGTACGAGCCCGGGACCCAGCCGTGTGAACATTTTCGGAGGGCTGGTCTGGTGCCCTTTTCGGTGGCATGATAGGCAGTTGGTTCGGGAACTGTCAGGTCGGCTTTCTGCTTATCAGTCTTTTAAAGGGGCATGTTTTGACATGGCAAGAGGGTTTGGTTTGTGGGAGAGGCCGTAACTGGTGACGGCGATAGTGATATACTGTGAATTCGAGAGGTTCCATGGTAAAGAAGACTGAAGAGAGGATCGAGCCCGGGGGATTCCGTAGCCGTCAGTGTCTAAAAGGTATGCGATTTGGCGAACTGTACCCCGAAGGCATTTCACCATGACCTACCCACACGAAAAAAAAGAAAGACAGCAGCAGCGACAGCGGTAGCGCATGCCCCACCACCCCAACGCCCAACACCAGCCCAGCCCACCAAAAACAAAGCAAAGCAAGCAAGCAATCCCACCCCGCACTCCTCTCCCCACACACAACGCACTACCACCAGATCCCGGTCCCCCACCCCCAAGCCAACGACCGTCTCTTCCTGCCGCCACCCCCTCCTTCACCCTCCCTCCTCGCACCCCCTTCCTGCTCCCCCCTTCGCCTCTCGCCGCCCCATCCGCGCTCTCCTGCAGCTGCGGGCGCACCGCCCCTCGCTGCTGTCGCGGCGCGCTCGATGATGCGCCGTGCTGCTGTTTGCGTGGGGTGGTCTGGTGTGCGGGCGGGGTGTTAGTGCGTTGGAACTGTGTTGTGTTGTGTGTTGGAAATGGTTGTGGATGGGGAGGGGTTGTTGTTGGAGGACGGAAAGAGAGAGAGAAAGGAAAGACGTACGCGAGAAGAAGGCGCGGTGCATGGTCGGTTGTGGTGCGCTGTGGTTGCGCTGAAGTGCTGATGCGCTTTGGTGGTTTAGGTTTGGATTTGGATTTAGATTTGGATTCGGAAGGCTCTGTGTGTGTTTTTGTGATGTCGGGTCGTGGGTGGTATAGGTTGTTGGTTGGCGAGTTGGAGGCTAAGGTAGGTAGGTGGCTGATAGCTGGTAGGTATAATGTAGGCAGGCAATCCACGGTACAGTCCCGTAGATATGTAGACAGACACTGTAGCCCAGTCGCAGTTGCGTCGCCCGGTCCGCTCCGATCCAGCAGAACCAGCGGTAGCGGTACAAGGTAGCGAAGCCCCAGCTCTTTGACGTTCTTTATCCAGCAGTGGCTGTTCGTTCGTTCGGTTGATCGTTCCCAACTCTTCCCACGCACGTAGGTAGTGCCTAGGTAGGCACGAGTTAAAACCCTGTCTTTATCCCGCACGCGCTGATACCAACTGACGCAGACGCACGTAAGGCAGGAGGAACCTAGCTAGCAGTCACTTGACCCTGCGTAAATTGTAAATTGACTCACAACTCTCTAACCACAGTACAATCCGGCTCAGCGCGCAGCAGCCTTCAGCCTTACATATAAGCCCCCCTGACCCCCATCTCGTGCAAGATCCACACATGACGATCCGCAACCCCCCTCAATGTCGCACGGCCACGGCCATGCGCGTTGTGCCGTTTCAGCGCTGCCAAGCCCCCCTCGCTGTCTGACGCGGGACGGCACGGGACTGCGGGGTACGGCTTGGCGCGCGCGCGGCGCGGCGGGCGGCGGGGCGGGCCGGGAGGGGTCGGGCGGACGCGGACGGACGGATCGGGTGGGCGGGTTGTGCGGAAGGACTCAACAGCCTACTTGGTTGGGCTTTGCACGATTGTGGGATGGACTCGAGTATTTGTGAAATTGGAGAAGTTCTCTTGCGTTAACTAAGCTAGAGCTAGGTACGGACGTATGCGTGGATTAGATGTATGTGTGTATGCGGACTGGTCCCGCCGGCCGCCGCTCGCACAGCTACATAAGTAGGCGTAGTGTAGGCGTAGTGTAGCTTTCGACAAAACAGCAGCTAACTAGGTGAAGTAGAGCAGTAACTCGCGAAGGAGAGAAAACAAAGAGAGAAAAGAGAGAGAAAAGAACGAAGCCAGATCAAAGCAAAGTAAAGCAAAGTAAAGCGAAACGAAGCGAAAGCGACAGTCCCCAACGCCTGTACCCACCGTCTCCTTTAACCCTCCTGTACCATCCATCCAATCCATCCATCCAGCCCGAAAGAAAGAAAGAAAAGAAGTAAACCCATGACTCCTTCCTCACCCCATCACTCACTTTACCTACTCATTCCTCAACCAGCGCCCCCAAAATCAAGCTCTGGATCACAAACTCATCATTCACAACCTTAACGCCCCTCCCCTCTCCCACCAGCACCGTACACACGCCCCCACTCCCCCCAGCACCAGCACCAAGGGCACGCTTCCTCTTGCGGGCGCTCCCACCAGCACCAGCACCAGACACAAGCGCCTCAGCGAACTCGCCCTCCGCACTATCAACATACACCCAGTCCCAAGGCCTAGCCTCATCATCGCGCTCCAGCAAGTCTCGCGCCGCGCCCGCGTCCGCGCACCGGCCCACGCGTGTCGCGCCCATCGCCCTCGTCAGGAACTCGTACGTGCGGCGGCGGTCCTCGCGGCCCTTGGCGCGGCTCTTGCCCGTGACGAGGAGCACGCTCTTGCCGTCGAGCAGCTTGGGGCGGCGCTGGAGTACGCGCGTCAGGCGCGCTTCGCCTTCGCTTTCGTCGTCGCTGCTGCCTATATCGCTGGCGTCGTAGTAGGATGTGAGGTCGGTGCGACTGCGCACTGCGCCGTTGAGGTAGGTCGACTCGCCTGCGGGGAGGAGGTAGTACTGCCATGGCTTGATGGCCCTGGCAGCGGCGCAGTCGCGGATCCAGCGCGCGGAGAGGCATGGCAGACCTAGCGCGAGGGCCTGGATGTACTTGGTGCGGCGGGAGTGGCGGTCACTGATGAGGGCCGTGAAGCCAAGGCGTTGTGCGGACGAGGTAAGGACTAGGCCCTGCTCGTCCGGCGCTGCATCTGTGGACGGGCTATTGGCGGCCTTGGGTTGGGGCGTCGAGAGTGCTTTGTTGGTGACGGATGTGGAGGGAGGCTTCATGGGGCTGTTAGTGTCAGAAGCGTGGCTAGAAGTGCGGAAGAGCGCCTCGAAGCCTGCGTCGAGAATGATGCCGCCATTGTTGGTTATCAATCTACAAACCTCGTCACGTTCGGCAGCCGAGTCTCCAAACGTGATTGCAAAGGCCATGTTAGCAAAGATACCGGTGGCAGTAGGCCTTGGAGTAGCCGGCTCGGTAATCGAGCGCTGAACGGACTTGGCAAGGGTCGAAGGTGGCTGACGGCGAGATTTGGAGGTATTAGGTGTATCAGGAGCCGAAAACACGGTTGAAGGCGTTTGCGGTCGTGCGTTGTTCAGCAAAGCCTCTGAGGGATGGCTGTAAGTGCGGTCCGCGAAGTGGGTCCACATGGTGCTGGTAATATAGATTTTCTCGATGAGCACCTCAACAGTCTCGGGGGCTTTCGCGGGTAAGCTGTTTCGCTGTTTGACTTCGAGGACAACCGTTTTTGCACCATGGATGTCCGTGAGCGGGAAATCATTTTTGGAAGCCTCGTTTACAGATGTGACAGCAGTGGCTTCAGCGGGCGATATGATATCTTTGAAACCGCGGACAATGTACGACTTTGTACGCATCTTGTTCAAATCGACCTTGACCAGGTCGCCCTTGCGAAGGTCGAAGCTGCGGATATGGTTCCTTTCGAGATTGTCTATTGCACCATCGTCGAAGCGAATTCGGTAACGGAAGTTGTCTGGAGACAGGCCTAGACATGTCGCCGGATAGAATACCATTGAGCTGCCCCTGAACCATGCCAAAACCCGGTTGGGCGTAACCACATTTTTAGGCGTGCTTGTTGCGGAATCTTCGACCATGACTCGTTCAGCGGTGTTATCATCCACAGGGATAGGCTGATCATCTGTCGCGGGTGCTGCCACTTCGGGTTCCTCTTGCAGAACCCGAGGATGGGGCTCTTCCCTGGAGGGCCGGGGAGGTGCTTCTGTAGTCTTCTTCCTGACATCTTTGGGCAGTCGCGTCTGTGGCGCCTCAGCAACCTCAAGGACCCTTTGTGCAGTCTTCTTTGCTGCTGCTTCTTGAACCTTTCCCGGCGCAGAACTCTTTTTGCCATAAAATTTAGCAGTAGGCCGAACAAGCTTGCCGCTAATACCACTCTTCATAACTGCCGGCTTGATAAAGACTGCCTCTTCGGTGTTTTCAATAGGCATAGCTCCATTATTTTCAGTAAAACTGTTCGTATTTGACATCCTTTCCTTGTCCGGAGCAGGGGAGGGAGAAGGTATGTGATTAATTTTCCTTGGTGACTCCTGAAGAGCGCGGGCGCTATAGAGCTTCCTGCGTTTATTTGGTCGCGTAGGAGATGGTCCAATGTCGGACATCACCTGCTGATACTCCTTGTCGTTCTCGGTCAAGACGCTTTCAGTGAAAAAGTCCAAATCCAGATCAAAGGGCTGTGCTTGTGATGGATCTTGGGCGATGTCTGTAAGCTTTCGGACATGCGTAGAGGCAGGTGTATGCTGGCTCAACGTTTTAGTCGGTGCCGGGCTTCTCGTCGGACTCGACAGCGACTTCTGTTGACTAAGATGTGGCCTGAGAGGGGATGCTAAAGCTGAGATACGAGGCTCAGCTGTCTCATAGGGTTGCATAGTGGTTGAGTGTTCCGCTTCCCCTGTTGGCTCGTTCGCATGTCCTTCGACTGGTTGAGCGTTGTAGACCGGGGAGTTGGCTCCCGATTGTTCAGGTTGCTGTGGTCGTGGGTTTTCTGCATCATCCTCGTCTTCTTCCATAGGGTCCGTTTCGGGTATTGTCGAGTAAATCCGTTGCAGCGTGGCACGGAACTGCGGTTGATTTTCGTCTTCAACTGGAGCTCCTCGTCCATCCTCGTGCGCAACATCATCTTGAACTTGATTAGCCGTTTCATCCTGGACCTCGTCTTCTCCATCTTCGTCTTCGTTGTTTGACTGCTCGTCATCTCCGTCCCTGAACGGTTGGCTAGAATCGACGAGATCGGCTGGCAAGTCCGGTTTATCGTAGTCTTCATTGTACGAAACATGCTCGGTTTCCTCAATGTCATGCATATCTTCATCGGTCCCAGAATCTTCATCCACTGTCTCTTCACCATCGTCAGTACCAATAGCATCTACAGCCTCATCATCTTCCATTGATTGGGCAAGCAACGGAGGGCTGCTCGGAACGTTTCGTCCCTCTTCATCGTCCGCAAGGGCAGCATTTGGCTCTACAGGCAGTTGTGCCAGACTCGAATCCTCTGGCGGCCTTGGCACAGAGGACGTATTAATAGCTCGTTGTAAATATCGGCCCCGTACGCCGAGACTTGATTCGCCTTCATTTATGGAGTACTGAGACTGTGCCACGCGAGCATCAGTGGAAGAAACATTAGGAAGGCTAGGCGGTGCTTCGTTGCCGTTTCCTCGTTGTGAGAGGCGCGGTTGAGAATCTGCGACTGCGATATAATCTGTTTCGTCGGACTGATCATCTTCTACAGCTTGCTGGTAGTCCTGCTGCATCGCATTCGTTCGACGGCGACTCGAGTTTGCTTGACTTCCTGGCACACCGTGTTCTTCTCGTTGACTCGAATGCGCGCCAATTTTCTGTTGTCGACCGGAACTGTTGTGCGGTCGAGACGACGTCATAGGCACCTGAACCGATTGCGACCTTCTTTGTAGCGCGGATGTCGGTGGCGGCGAGGACAGCTCGTCTAGAGAATCCTCGTCAACATCCTGAGGAGCGTCAAGTCCATCTGAGAGCTCTACAACGCTCTTCACTTTCCTCAGACGTGCCGGAGTGAATAGTGCCGTGTCGCTCATCTGCCGACGGGCTTTCTGGCCTGATTTAAACTCTCCCGGTTCTGTGAGCACCGTCATGGTGATATCGTTGAGCTGACCCTGGATCTTGCGTATCGAGGCTTTTCGCATTTCCGCAGTCACTTCGTCTTCAGACTCGTCGGTATCCTCGGCCTGCAGCCGCTGCAGTTGATCCTCTAGTTCAGCTCTCTTCTTAGCTTCCCGCTGCTCTTGCGACTCCTTCATTGTCATGTATGTATCTCGCGGCTCGGTCGCAGCGCGCAGAGGATCGCTTCGGATGGGTTTTGCAGGCGAGGAATTTAGCAGAACCGGGGACGAGTAGCGCATGTTGAACCCTGGCGAAGGGCGCTGGAACATGGGATCAGAGCATTGGTTATCCAGCTGCGGAGAGGATTGCCCTTGGGACCCGTTGAACAACTGGCTCATAGAGAGCATCTTGAGTCCTGTACCATTACTGAAAAGTTTGGCCGTAGCAGAGCCCGGCGTGCGCGTGTCTGAACTCAGGGCTTCGTCACGACAGTTGCACATTTTACTGACCGTTGCGGGAGTCTCCGGAGGCGCAATGAACGAATGCGAGGTGAAATCCGTCCCATGCTGCGATTCTCCATCAAGACTGGGCTCAGGACTATTGCCTTCCCCGTAGGCGGACGAATCGTCATTCTGCCCGTTCTCTGGACAATGACTGACAATATCGACGTGCCCGGTGTCGCCCTCCTGCAATGTGCCATTGCCGTACGTATCGCCCTGCGTGGATTGGTCCTCCTCGTCTTCGTTATGCTCTGGCGCCGCGACAAACGTGTTTCCGTTGGTGAACTCTTTGTAGATTTGCGAGTCCATCACCTGGGTATCTCCCGGACCGTCGCCTTCGCCGAAGCCAGAAAACGAATTGTACATCCTGGACGGCGGTGTCACCTTTTCAGTAGATGTGAGCGTAATTGGAGCAGTCGTTGCGAACTTCAGGCGCGGTGGAACGGCATGAGCGTGGTGGGGAGTGAGCTCATCGCGCGTTGCGGGCGGACGTGATGGCGACGCGCCTTCGTCGGTTTGTGGAGCGGAACGGTCGCGTCGGGAGATAGCAGGGGGCGAACGTTTCGAAGTCTGCGTGACAGCTCAGTCAAAAGCTGTTTGCTTTTTCATAAACCTTGTCTGGAGTCCGCGGCGACGGGAAGCAGTCCACAAGACGCATGAGAGTGGGCGGCAAATGCAGGTCGCAAGAGTCATGGGCGGCAAGGAGGGTCGGCATACCAACATCTTGATTTGCGCTATCCTCTGCGTGTCGAGGCTGTCGGGCTCGTCGTCGTCTGCCATTGTTGCTCGCTGAATGAACTCGACCAAGTGGAGCGGTTGTTGGCCTTAATTGAATTCACGATACGCGGTCTCACCTTCTCGCGAACCCACGTGCTGTTCCAAGAAGAGACAAAGGGCCGAAGCGCTCGTGATGACGCCACTCATTGGTGCACGGATGTGCCCTCAATGGATTGAATAGCATTTAAATAAAGGATTTAGATAGCATCTACTTATGTGTATATCAAAACCGAATGTGCAACTCTTAAGCTATATACCAATCAGCTCGCAGCATCATGGCTCCAAGGCTAGCCTATCCTCTCACCTCCGTCCAATGGCTCTATTTTCAAGCACCTACGCCTCCACCTCTTGTGAAATTAGGTTTACGTTGACACGCGATACATCTGCAGCCCCGTCTTGATATCCCCAAACCTCGCCTGCCAGATATCCGAGATGTAGTTTCTGCGGGGGCGCCACTGGCCGCGATCACCAGCTCTGGGCAAGTCGTTCTCAGCCCTCTTCATGTACGTCGAGCTCAAGTTCAAGAGAGGCAGCCTTCCCAGCGTTTCCGGGTCTTGGAGGCGCGGCACGCACGCAGACATGCCGCCGGAGCGCATGGTGTTGATCAGACGAGTGGCGAGCCGCGCTGTCGCGTCGGCGCCCAGCGTCCAGCTGGCGTTGGCGTAGCCCAGCACGAAGACCGCGTTCGGCACGTCTTGCAGCATCACGCCCTTCCAGAAGAACTTGTCCGAGGGCTTTATCGCTTCGCCGTCGACGCTCAGCGTGACCCCGCCCGCGAACTGAACCTTCAAGCCTGTGGCGGTGATGATGACGTCGGTGTTGAGAGTCTGGCCCGTTTCAAGCTCGATGCTGGACTCTGTGACGTTCTTGATCGAGCCGGTGGCGATGTCCGCTTTGCCATCCCGTAGGACCTTGTAAAAGTCGCCGTCTGGACAGACGCAAAGCCTCTGGTCCCAGGGCGAATAAGCAGGTTCAAAGTGCGGGTCGTGAGGAATGTTCTTAGGCAGCTGTTCAACCGTACGCTTTCTAATTATGTCCCTTGCCTTGATGGGAAACGTTTGGCAAAAAAGATAGAAAAGCCAGGCCATTATAAGATGACGCCAACGGATGAGCTTGAAGGCAATCCAGTCGGGAAACAGTACGTGGAGGGCATCGTTCAAGGGCGAGATTAGAGGACGTGAAAGGATGTAGCTTGGCGAGCGCTGCAGCATCGTGACATGCTTGGCCTTTTCAGCAAGGTTTGGCAGAAGGGTAACAGCGGTGGCGCCGCTCCCAATGATGACCATATTCTTTCCTGCGTAATCGAGATCCTCTGGCCAGAACTGGGGATGCACGATTGTGCCCTTGAAGTTCTCCAACCCGGGGATGACGGCGGGGAGAGGCTCCTGATAGTCGTAGTACCCGGTACCCATGATGAGAAAACGGCTATTGAAGATTTTCTTCTCGCCATTGGCCTCAAGTGAAAGCTGCCAGCGCTGCACATCAGAAGACCAATTGGCGGCACGCAGTTTGTGCTGGAATTTGATATGCTGGTCGATACCGTGGATGGCCGCAGTTTCCTGCATGTACTTCTGGATGGAAGCGCCATCTGCTATGCTCCTTTGCTCGCTCCATGGGCGCCATGAGAAACCAAAGGTATGCAAGTCAGAATCCGAGCGGATGCCCGGGTACCTGAACAAGTCCCAGGTTCCTCCTATGGCATCGCGGGCTTCCAGGATCGCGTAGGTAGTGCCTTCTGGCAGCTCCGACTGCACGCGGTAGGCAGCATTGATCCCAGAGATGCCGGCGCCGACAATAACGACGTCGAAGTCGGTGCTTGAAGACTTCTCCATGGATGAGACTGGGCGTTGAGGGAGGCGACTCCCAAGTATAAATTCAGATGATAGAGATAAGCGAGACGGGAAGGTGCAATTTAAGGGTCTCCTGCGCGTTGCGCCACTGGTGCCAAAAGAAAGCACGGCAAGGCAAAACGGTGCTCCGTTAGCGCTTTAAGAAGCAATTCACAACGCAGGGAGGCCTGAAAGCGCGCCGTGAAATCACGCATGCTCCACCTTGTCTTCCGGTCGAGCGCAAGGCGGTGCCAGCCCTGTAACCCTGTTAGGGAAAACGGCCAGCAGCACGGAAATCCGGGGCAGAGGCGAATAAAGAAAGTAGTACAAATACATACAGACAAATCGTCTAGGCATATTTCCTCATATTTCAAAGCCAATGCAAGTCTTCTGCTTGCGGCCTGATACAGCCGCATAATCAGCTGGCTGTCATCTGTCATCTGTGCTCTCACATCACGACAGCTGGCCCCCCGTACGGAGCAGCTAACTGTTGCGTCAGTCTCGGGAGCATCGACATCCGACACGGCCGAGTTGCTGTTATTGTAAAAGACAGTCGATCTATCCACGTGGAGTGTTACTTGGAACTCGCCTTGCGACACACCGCCATGGTGTAGGAGTAGTACTGTCACTCCCGAGTGTTCAGTACCCGCGTGCACACCTAGTTGTTGACCAACAATTGCCCCGCCAAACTGTATCACAAACAACCACGATTCCCAATCATCAATGGGTATCCGCTCTTCTATTAAAAACCTCTATCTTCGGCCTCCGAGAACGCCATTTCATGCTCTCATGCAGATGGCGTGACTAATCTAAACTACGTCTGCGCTTATTTGCTGCGCTTGTAGATCTTCCTGAGGAACTCCTCAAAGACCTCCTTCTTCAGGCCCTCGGACTCGTCGATCTTGGAGATCAGGTCCCTGATCTCGCCGACACGGCTCTCCTCGTACTCCTGGTACACCTTCTCGAGCTGAAGCTCGTTGTACAACTCCTTGACGCGGGCCTCGCAGGCCTGGTCCTTGCGGCCATAATTCTCCTCAAGCACCTTGCGCTGCTCGGGGCTGGCACGCTTGAGCGCCTGGTTGACGAGCCAAGAGCACTTGTTGTCCTGGATGTCGGTGCCAATCTTACCCAGGGTCTCGGGGTCGGCGAAGTTGTCGAGGTAGTCGTCCTGAACCTGGAAGTACTCACCCATGGGGATGAGAATGTCACGCGCAGTCTGCAGGTTCTTGGGCGTCGCCTTGTCGCAGAAGTACAGCGCCAGCGCGACGGGCAGGTAGAAGCTGTAGTAGGCGGTCTTGTAGATGACAATGAAGGTGTACTTCTCCAGACTGAAGTTGTCCAAATCCACCTTGTCCTCGGGCGCAGTGATCAGATCACAGGCCTGGCCCAGCTCGGTCTGGAAAGTGACCTCGTGGAAGAGCTCCATCAGGTCGACGTAGTTCTTGTTCTGGCGGAAGTACTTCTTGAGAAGCAGGAATATGGCAGCCTCGAGCATGAAGGCGTCGTTGATAGCAATCATGCCAACCTCGGGCATCAGGTACCAGCAAGGGCTGCCACGACGCGTCTTGGACGAGTCCATGATGTCGTCCGAGACGAGGAAGAAGGCCTGGAGAAGCTCAATCATCCATCCCAGCGTCGCCGAGTTGAAGTACTCGTCCTTGGAGAGGTCGCGGCCGAGGAGGAGGCTCGACGTGTCGACGACGGACATGCCACGGTTGTATTTCCCGCCGACGGTGTTGTGGTTGAGGTTCTGTGAGACCTGTCAGCGCGGCTGTGATTTGCACACATTGACCAACGTACCTTCTTGAACCACTCGAGCGCATTGTCGGGAAGGTTGTACTGCCTGCAATGGTCGAGCACATCCTCGACCAATTGCGGGAAAACGGTCTCGAACTCCTTGCGAGTAGTGGGCATTTTGAAAAACTGTTACCGGAAGGCGAGCTGCGGCTGAGGAAGGAGGAGAAGGAGGAGAGAGCGATTGTGAATGCGGCACAACTGAGTAATCTTCAACAATGCTACCACGGAAGGAGGGGGGATGATCCCCAGGGGCCCGTGCCGCAAACTCCCGCGGCCCACCAGCTCAAGGTTGGGACCGAATTTGGCCGGCGCGACTTGTGTTTACTTACAACTCGGGAACGCCAAGGCAGTTTTCCTCGCCAACTTCATGCGCGCGCAACTATGACCTGTCTTTCTAAGGCTGACAGAGCACATGCTCCCCTACAGGCTGTCGTCATTGCGTGCGCGGAATGCTGCCTCTAGTAATCGGCCAAGTGGTAAGCCGCGCTCTCTTTCCTCTCCCAGTCAAACCAGGGCTCACACTGCTCAGGGCCGTCAAGCTGCCGAATTTCTTCTAAAAACTTGACCTAACGTATAACGCATGGCCCAGATACCGATGTCGATGCGCCCGTCTCCAACTCCTTCCTGTCAAAGAACCATACCCTTAAACCCGGTCGAATTTCAGCTAGGAGCCAAGGAGCTTCCTTCTCGCCAAAACCTACCTTGACACCGCGAATATGATCGCTGCGCATATATTATACCGCCAGGTATCGACTCCACCGTGTTGATAGCGACATCAGCATCTTCGCGATCTCAGCCCAGCAAGCCGTCGCAGAAGGCAAGGCCAAGGTCACAGCCACCTCAAAGCCAATACCCGTATTTGTAGACCGCTCGTTTTATTCAGCCTTAGCCAATCTCCGTACCAGGAGTGGTATGCCAAGTATATCGCGGGAGATGCGCCGCGCGCATGGAACCGTGGGACCTTTGTCTGGCGCAGTAGGATGGGCCGGAGCCCAATGTCTTGGATGATCAGGCCAAAGTGAGCGAGTGGCTGGGCTTAGGCTGGGCTTGGGCGTGACGCCCACGACGTTTCAAGGCGTACATGTGGATGGCGCGCTTAGTCTTCTTCAACAAAGACTATGAGCACATGAGTTGGTGCAGGACGTGGTGCAGAGGGACACTGGGGCGCGGCTGGGGAGGTAGAGGCAGAGAAGAGCGATCGAGGAAGTAGAGTGGATGTTCGGTAGTCAGACGTAGCGCGGTGCGTGCAATTCCGGACGAGCCGCAGAGGCTTCCCGTATGGTGCTGACGGTCATCAGGCCGCACATGACAGGCGGGGGTCGTTCCGCGGGCTCCCGCTGGTGGCGTAGAGAGAGAAGTTGGTGGCGGGCAGCCAAGCAGCTGGGTGGACCCTGAGATCGCGAATCGCAATCACAGACCAAGGGTTTTTTCGATGACGCACTGCGGAGATCTTGTTTATATAGCAGGGCTTACGACGACAAGCAGGCTGCCGAGTCCGCCTCCGCGTCTATATTGAACGGGCCCCCAGCGTGTCCAAATTGTCGGCGCTCTTCATTTCCAAACCCGTCGACCTACGTCATCGGCCTGCATGCATGCTCACGACTCACTAAAAGCCAGGGTCTGCTAAACACGCCCGCCTCCCCGACAAACCATGGCCGCTTCCTCTACAGAAACTACTGATGGCAGCTTGACCGTCACCCACGAAACCCGCCGCACCGCCTACACGACCTTTCTGCACTTGCTTGTCCGGCCTCTCCGTGGCATCATCCTTAAACCGCCGCCGCCATTTCCAAAAGGCAGTCCGCGCCTGACACCGCATCACAGCGTGAAGAACACCTGCAACGTCACTGAGCGCCGCGTTGCTGAGTTCTGGGTGTACGACGTGGAAACGCGCATTGGCGATACCGCCACCAAGACGCCCACCACCAACGACAATGCCGCAGCCACTGCTCCGTCCTCGTCAAGCAATACCGCCGCCGACTCAACCTCACCACTGCCCTCTACCCGCTCCCGCCGGCGCGTCATCTACATAGCAGGCGGGTCATGGCGCGCGCCACCGGAGCCGCAGCACTGGCGGCTGGCAGCCAAGATCGCCTCAACAGTACCAGACACAATCGTCACGATCATCAGCCCGCCGCTCGCGCCGAACGAGACAGCCCCGGACGTGTTCCCCCGCCTGCTGACCTTCTATGACGAAATCATGCACGAGGCGGAACAGAACGGCGAGCGCGTCGTCTGGGCCGGGGACTCGAGCGGGGGGAACCTGGTGCTGGGGATAGTGGGGGAGGCGCTGGGGCGAGGAGAGGGGGGCACAGCAGACCGGGAAGAGAAGGAAGAGGAGGCGCGAGGCGAGAAAGGCGAGAAAGGGGAAAGCAGCAGCAGGCGCACAAGCGGCAATGGAGCAGTGCGCGCGCCCGCCGCCCTCCTCCTCATCAGCCCCAGCGTCGACGCCCGCCGCACCAACCCCGCCATCGCGGCCATCGAGCGCAAAGACCCGATCCTCGACCCCGACGGCAGCCGGCGCATGGCAGCCGACTGGGCCGGGACCTGGGGGCTCGACGACCCGCGCATCAGCCCCTCGGCCGCCATTCCGGCTGCGTCGGCTGCTTCGACCGGCGCGCCCACGCCTAACAACGTGACTGCTGGCGGCGAAGCCAAGGCCGAGCACACGCCCGAGCATGCCCGCAGACGCTTCCCGGATCTGCCCGCCTTGCTGACTAGGCACGATATCCCCGTCCATGGCGTCACGGCTGGCTACGACATTCTGGCGCCGGATGCGCTGGCGCTGCGGCATTGGTTTGGCGAGAGGGGCGTGCGTGGGCGCTGGCTGCATTGGGAGCGCCAGATGCACTGTTTCCTGCTCGCGGCGCCGTATAAGCTGTCGGAGGGCATGGAGGGGCTGAGGTGGGTGCTGCGGGTTTTGGAGGAGAGCACGTAGGTGAGTTGGCGAGGGTGTGTGTGATACCCTGCTTTTTGTGCGCGTGTTTTGCTATGGGGCGACCGGACTGTATTATATTGATGTATTTTCTCTATAGAGAAGAATTAGACTAATGTAAAAAACACTACGGATACAGCGTGCGCCCAACGCACTGAATACTACACTTTTGATCAAGCTACCTCTTCGGTGCTCGCTTGCTCACTCACTCACTCTTCACCTACCTACTCACCACAGGAACGGAATCAACGTCCTCGGCGTCCGTTGCTGAAAGTCCTGCCACGCCTGACCGTACTAATAATTCACAGCGTCAGTTAAAAGCCCACAACACAACAAGCGGGCACACATACCTTGGCGGCACAATACCTCTCCAGAATTGGCACCGCGCGCGTCGAGAAATCCCAGACAAAAAAGCTGCCCACAAACGCGCCCCACGCCCAGCCCGCACCCGCAAGCGCATAGCCCGCGCGCCAAAGCGTATACCCACCATAATTAACATGCCTGGCCAAGCTCCACAAGCCGCCCGTAAACGGCTTTCCGGCGTTCTTCGAACTAGCCTTGAACCCCGCGCGCTGCACCTCGGACCACCACTCCAGCGCCAACCCAACCGCATACAGCGCGCCGCCCGCGACTAGCGGCGCAGGCGGAAACGCCGTCCCGGGCGCGCTGGCGGACAGCGCCGCGCACGTGAACGCCAGCGCGTTGACGCTGTTGCTGACGCTGTTGAAGAGCGCGACTTCCACTGCTGCGGAGGCGGGCATCTCTTCGAGGGATATCATGCCTGCCCAGTAGATCTGCTTGGCGGCGCTGCCGACGGCCATGCCGAGTAGTGCGAGCCGGTACGGGCTTAGCCCGAAGGAGTCGATGACCGCGAGCCCGGTGGTTGTGGGGAGCCCCGGCGTGTGCGTCCGTAGGCCCAGCGCGTGTGGGATGCTGGATAGTGTGCCGTGCGCTAGGATGCTGTATTGCAGCAGTGGGTCGAGCGCGCGCAGCACGATGAATATGCTCCGTCCTACTGGGGTCGGCCGCCGCGTGCCTCGCGATATGAGATCGACGTTGCGGGAGTGGAACCAGCCGGGGAGGGAGAGGGAGGGGAGCGGCATTGCTGCTGTTGTTTGCTGTTGTTTGCTGTTGGAGTTGCTGCGGTGGATGAGGAGGAAGAGCTACGTCAGGTACGGTAGGCCTTGAGCAGGCAGGTAGGTAGGTAGGCGTCGGAGCAAGCAGCTAGAGTAGGAGCAGCTCTCTCCAGCTTGAGCGCGCGGGCAGGCGCGCCCATTTTGAGTGCGCAAAAAGCCAAAGCCAAAGCACGGCTCCTGACGTAAGGACGATTGCGCGGTCTATCCGCTTAGGGGTAGTTTGTAGAACGCGACGCAAAGGTAAATCGGATGCGGATGCGGTGCTACCCGCGATGCGCTTGATCGCCGGCCATTGGCGCGATGCGGGCCTCCCCTGCGCGTATCCGATCGCGCCCGCCGAATCAGAGCAAGGCTGTCACCGGTCAGGTGAAGCGGCTGCTGCTGCTGTAGTGGCCCGCTTTTTGCGCGCTGCTTGCTGCGAGAAGGATTGCGTCTGTGCGAAAAACACCACGTTTTCCCTGCAGAGTGACTGTTGTATGGTTTGTGTAGAGGTGTTTTTGGGAGTCGCTCTATCTGCTTGTCGCGGCACGTGATGGCGTGTGGCACTTGGACAAAGCACGCGTGATGCCCCGCCGCTTTGTTCTTTGCTACCGAATACTACCAACATACTACCAACATACTACCAACTTACTACCAACTTACTACTGTTCATCCCAATCGCTAACAACCTATCGCTAACATTGCGCACACTTTCAATTATGGCTTGCGCTTGCCTTCTCTAGTATATATATCCACCACCTCTTCTGCTCAGCTGCTGCCATGACACCCGCCCATTTCCTATCCCTATACTCCAATTGCTTGCTCAACTACGTCTCTATATACCCATAATGCCTCTCAGCTTCACCACCATATGCGACCTTTTCCAATCCCTGGAAGACATTGAATGCAGAGACCCGCCCTACTTGCGGGACCGCAAGCTAACGCGCACGCGCGCAGCTGTCGAGACGTGGTTCCGCAAGCACCGGGCGACACTGGACAAAGAAAGCACCGACGGGGCCGCCGTCCTCTCGACGCTCTTCCCTGAGCGCCGCACCGACCGCGTATACGACATAGGGGCGGCGCGATTGCAAGGCCTGGTCGCCCGCTGCCTGAACTTCACCCTGGTCAAGACAAACGAGCTCAAAGCTTGGCAGTCGCCCGGCAATGGCGACCTCAGCGCCTGCCTCGAGCGCTTGCAGAGGGTCCATGATGCTGCGCCGCTGCCGGGGCCGACGCCCTCGGTTGAGGAGATTGACGCCGCGCTGCAGGCCGTGGCGTCCCGCTGCAGGTTTTCGAGCCCTGAGGTGCGGAGACACAAGGCTGCTGAGACCCCTGTGGAGATTCTTAGCCCGGTATTCAAACGGCTTCACTCGAGGGAAGCTAAGTAGCTGGTAAGAGTTATATTGAAGGACTTTGGGCGCGTCGTCCTCGACGAGAAGCTCGTCCTCAGCCAATTCCATTTTATGCTCCCGTCTTTGCTTTGCTTTCAAAACGACTACGCTGCTACAATGACTTTGCTTAGAGGGAAACTAAAGCACTACCCCCCTAATCCCGATCCTCAATCACGAAAGGTTTTTCTGAAAGATGCGGCGCAACACCTGAAGCCTCAGATCGGTGTCAAGATCGGACGGCCCACTTGGCACAAAGCTCGTTCAATTGACAACTGTCTCCAAATGGCTGGCAGGCAAGAATGGGTCATTGAGCGCAAGTACGACGGAGAGTTTTGCGAAATTCATGTTGACCTCACAAAGCACGCTTCCGCAGACCAGTCAAACGCGCAATACATCAAGATTTTTTCCAAGAACGGGAGAGACTCTACGCAGGATAGAAGCGCCCTCGAGAAAGTAATTCGTTCTTGTCTAAGGATCGGAAAGCCTGACTGCAGGTTCCGGGAGAAGTGCATCTTGCTCGGGGAAATGGTCGTATATAGCGATCGGGAGAGAAAGGTGCTCGAGTTCCACAAGCTCCGAAGGCACGTTTCCCGAGCTGGCTCCTTCTTAGGCGCCAACAAGGCCTCTCAGGACGATCCGGACGAGCACCTTGCCATTTTCTTCTTCGACGTCCTGCTCCTGGATGACGAGGTCACGATGGGTATGCCGCACACCAAGCGAAGAGCACGCCTTGCGGAGGTCCTCACCAAGATTCCCGGCAGAGCCTTGACTACAGAGTGGATGAAGTTCGATTTCTCTGACCGCGAGGCTAAGAATAAACTCATTACGCAGTTCGCTGCTGCCCTCAGCTACCGCTGCGAAGGCCTCATCCTCAAACCAAATGCCCCTTTCTTCTCTCTTTCTGAACACGGACCAGACGACTGGCACAATGCATTCATCAAGCTCAAAAAGGACTACATGACGGAAATGGGCGGAGAGCGCGATGTAGCTGACTTTGCAATCGTCGGAGCTAGCTATGAGGTGAAACAAGCCCAGAAGTGCATTTTATCCAAAACTCGCTGGACAAATTTCTATCTAGGCTGCCTGGTCAACAAAGAAGAAGTTTTTCGTTTCCAGAATCGACCGACCTTCAAGCTCGTGGGGATAATTAAAAAAGACCGCTGCATCCCGGACAGAGAGCTCAAGTACCTTAATGACCACGGCGTTTTCCGCTCCGAGGATTACAACCCTGCCATGTCCTGCGATGCGTTTCACCTCGAACTAGGCAGCAATTCTGCGCCGAAGGTCCTTTTCAAGAAACCTTTCGTGGCTGAAGTCGGCAGCGCGTACGAGAAGCCCCCGAATGAGGATTTCTTCATGTTGCGCCACCCTCGCATACTCAGAATCCATGCCGATCGTACGTGGAAGGAGTGCATCACCATGGATGAGCTGCGCCAGATGGCCGACGAGGCGAGGAATGCTCCGCCGGAGGGCGAGTCGCAGCACATGAAGGCGACAGTGGAGATGCTGGTGGGGAAGTTGCGGAAGAAAGCTGAGCGAAGGGGAGGAGACAGCTTACGAATGACGACACCGCGAAGCTCGTCCATTGCCATCAGCCCGCTCCTGGTGCAGAAATCGGGCAAGGAGAACGCATCGGTTGCAGAGCGGGAGAATGGCAACAGTTCGAAACTGACGACGCCCAGAAGCGCGCTTAACAGCACTAGTAGCCCGTTCCTGGTGCGGAAAGCGGTGCCCCTCACATCGCCCGTGGCAAGGCTTCCTACCAAAAGGAAGTATGCGTCCGATGAGACGCAAGACTCGCGGCAGACGACGCCGCGGTCCGTCGCTACTACTGTCAGTCCGTCTGCGCTGAGGATCATGGACGAGAACCATATTTGGGCTTGCTCGCCGCTGGATTTGGTAGGCAGGGCTGCGCTGGCGGAGGTGCGCACGCAGAAAGAGGTAACGCCCATGTCAGACTTATCGACGCAGTTCACCAGCACTATTGTGACTCCGCGGAGTGGCGCGAGGATACCGCTGGCGAGTATATCGCCCCCGAGAGTGGCAGCGAGGGAGCGCCGCGGTCCGCTACGCCAGAAGTCGCCGCTGGGTGAACCTGTCCAACCCCTTACAAGTGTGCGAAGGTCTTCGGCTCGCCCAGCTCTAGTGCGAGTAGACACAGTTAAGCCCACGGACGAAGCCGTAAGTAAGCCAGCCACATCAGCGCCAGGGAAAGAAACTACGACCGCAGCAGCAGCACGGCCCGCAGTCTGGAAAATGCAGCGCATAGACACGATGGACCCGTTAGACGCACAAGACGAAGACCGCGTGCGCGTGCTCACTAAGAGACGGGGACCGAGGACTTCGCAAGCGGACACGGCACCCGGGGACGGAGCCATTCGGCCTGCACGGCAGGACGTTTCTGGTGGTGTAGTTCCTGCGGAGCCGGAGCTGGTGCATGTGAATTGGTGCCCGTTGCCCACTCCTCCTAGTCCGGATGATCAGCGTAAACGCGTGCCTCGCGCGCAGCTTGCAGAAGCACATATGCCCAAACCTGTTCTCAAGCCCGCTGCGATCTCGACTCCGCCCATGTCTTCACCACAAGACGCAGATGCAGACGCAGACGCAGACGCTGCGAACCAGGCGCCAGTATCCTCCACAGCGCTGCCGCCGCCGCCGACTTACCCGCGCGCAAGGGGGGCGCGCCCAAACTCTCTCAAGCACCGCGCCATTGACGATTTCGACGTCGGCCTCTCACCGCGCAGGAAACTGTTCTGCTACGAGCCTGGCGCTGTAGAGCAACAAGCCGCCTTCTCCTGCCTCCCATCCGCCCACCCACCGTCCCACCACCCGCCCCAACTCCGCCAAACCCTTTCCTTCAGCGCGATTCTCTCCCTCTCCTCCGCACCAGACCCGTCCCCACTTCCCACGACCACAACCACCACAGCAACAACGACCAACCTCAACGTCCGTCCCAAGCTGCTCACCACCCCCTCAGCACGCACCTATGACCTCGCGTCCAACAGTCTTCCTCGCGCCCTCGCTCCGTCAACACACGCGCCTAACGACGCTCCTGCACGCCGCCGGCGCGGCGCTCGTGCCTAGTCTTGCGCACTGGTCGCACGAGACGAGAGAGCGCCTGCCCGGCTTCGAGACGCAGGGGAGCGTCGTCCCTGAGAGTCAGGCGTGGAAGGGGGCGGGGCGGGTCGTGCTTGTTGAGTCGGAGGTTGCGGCTGGGAGGGGGAGGGGGGTGATGGTGATGTTTTTTTCGTTACGAATTTATCAGCCCCTCACTGTCCCCCCCCGCAATAGGAAGCCTATACAGGCTCCTGTTGCGGGGGGGGGGGTGAGGGGGTAGGGGGGAGGAGAGATGGCGTTGTGGTGGAGTTTTTTGATTGGAGGGTTTTGGAGGATTTGGAGGGGGTGGATTTGCAGGGTGAGGGGGAGGGGACGACGTGCTGGGAGAGGAGGTTTTGGGGCGCGGTTTAGGTGGGTTGGGTTGGTTGGGTTGGTTAGATGGGTTGGATTGGGTGCGTGGGAGTTTGGTGACGGGAGGGGTTGGAAATTCCTTTTATTTTCTTATAGCTGTTTATTTTTTCTTCTCAGTTTATACCTTCTTCTAAGTTTAAATTTATTGCTTTTTCAGTGAGGTTCTACCACGAGGCTGCGAGGCGAGGATTTTGTTGGTGTTATTATACTATTACTTCATTGTTTTGGTAGCAGATATCTCGACGTGTGCCTACTTGAATTCTTAAACCATAGCTGGAATTGATGGAGTATGTGTCTATGTTAACTTGTCGTTCGTGACTTATTAAATAGGTAGGCTGAAGTTGGGAGGGAATATGGCTTGCTTGTTGGTGCTGAGTATTGTGGTGGTGACGGGGGTGGTTTGGATTTGTTGTGCGTTGATAGTGAGGTTTAGAATAGTGCTGGTGCAGAGGATGCTCCTCCATGCCCGTGAGAGAGGCGGAGGGACGGGAGACGGGAGACGGGGGTCCGTCTGCTCCGTAGGTACGAGGAGCAGCAGCTATTGGCCGCAAGTTCCCCGAAACCGACGCTCAAGCCCTCGAAAGCCGTAGAAAGCCGTAGAAACGCAAAGAAGGTGCACGGGCGTCTCCCCAGGCTCTCACGCGCGCGTAAACCCCATCCCACCCGCGCGAACATCTCAGCACGCCAAGGCTCGCTTGTTCTCGCTTGCGCACGCCTTCCCACCAGACACGTATATAAACCCCTCCGACCCGCGCCCCAGACGCAGTCCTTTTTCCGATCATACTTACCTTGTTGGAATCACCGTGATCAAGAAGACGGTCGATTTATCGGACTGCCCTGCATTGCACAGCGCGGTGGCGGGCCGGTATGAATCTCCTTCGGGGGCTTCACCGGCGCAATTTTTGTTGTTCTTCTTTTCCTCTTGTGAGGGAAAAGGCTTTTCATTAGGGTGCTCGCCTTGTTTTGCGGGCCTTTGAGGAAGAGTGCGTGACGTGTTGTGGGTTGCTGTATTGTCTGATGGGCCGAGTGGAGCTGGGTTGACACGTGTTGCCGGCATGCTTGGACGGCTTGCGTGGGGTGCTGCAAGGCCATGTCTGCTTGTTTGTTTGATGGCTTGCGAGAGAGCTTTGCGAGACGTGCCTGGCTGCTGGCTGCTTGTTGCATGCACGCATCCAAGGCTGCGGCCTCGTCCTGTCCCGTTTGTATTTTCACCCAGGAACGCGTTATCGCCAGTCCAGCCATCTCAACCTCACCAACCCTACCATCCTCCAGCACCACGACTAGACTAGCGCTCAAGCAAGCTTGCCTGCTCCCGCAAACGTAGACCAAACGGACCTATCACACGTACGGCCGTCTTCCGCCTCCACGCGTCTCGCACCTGCCGCTCTCGTCCTTGTGTACGGAGTAGGAAGGGGTAGGTGCAAGGGAAGCAGCGACCACGCTCATACCCCAACGCCAGAGCCAACGCCAGAGCCAGAGCAAGAGCTAACGCGCCTCGCTCGCGCTTTCCTGTGTCCGCGGATGAGGGGGCTTGCAAGAGTTGGCATGGAGGCTTGACGCAGTTGCGGTAGAAGCGCGTGGTGAAGGCTTGAGGATGCGGTCTCCGGGTCGGTTGGCGGTGGGTTGTAACAACCTAGTAGCTCATCTTCCACACAGGCGTTAGTGGTTGCGTGCGTGGGCTGGTGGCTTGCTGGCGTGATGGATAGGATGTCTTCTATGACTGTCTGGCGGGAAACGTTTGGGTCTTCGTCTTGAGTCCTCGGGTGTGTGAGAGCTTAGAGATTTGGCAGATACCGACTTCTGCTGCTTGAGCCTACGCCGTGGGTACGCATAGGCTTTCGAGAAGAAGGGAGGTTCGGCTTCCTGCTTAGAGAGACGTCACTACGTTTCTTGGACGCAGTGTCTTGAGTACTGCTAGGTATGTGGTGTTGCTTCCGTTTGTCAAATTTCTGCATTATGGCTACCCGGAATCTAGCAAAGACAACGCGGAAAAGCTTCAACACTAGATTGCGGACTGGGAATTTCAGGGCAGCACGTGGCTTGGAATCGCTACTGTTCGAATACACTGCGGTACAACAGCTCCCACTGGCTTGGTGTTGGTGGCTGCGGCCGCGTTTCTTCTCTCGTCAAACAATTCGCCGAGCAATGCAGCCACGCATGTACCAATCCCACAACGGATGCAGCTGGATGGGAAACCTGCTTCTAGGCTCTCTCTTGGCCTACCGGTCACGATGTGGGAGCCTCGCTTACTCCGTTTTCAGGACGCGTGGATGCATGCAGTGAGATGCATTGCAACCCGAGGCTGCAAGCCATTCTCAACTACCATGGATTTTATTCGCCAGTCTAATGTTATTGTACTTGATCAGCTTGTGCCACTTTTTTGGTTTAGCCAAGGTTGGTACTTTGCCTTCTTGCCTTCTTTTCCTTTTCACCCCACTTCCAAGAGAAAGAGCCCAATAGTTACGTTTCGGCGGCTGCATATTCAGCTGACACCTTCAAAGCACTGCAGCTTAGGGCTAGTATTCCCGTATGAGTATCACGCGACTACATACAGTGCAGTCGAATCGCGGGGCTGTGCTCAGCATAGGCTATATATGCTTATATGAATCCTTCATAGTCCTACTGACTTGATTGTCCTCCACTATTCATTGCAGCCTGGTCACGTGGATTCATTCAAAATTGATTATGATCATTGTACGACAACACAGCTTTGACTCGGATTCATCCTGTACCCACCTCAAATTTGGATCCACAGCCCTTGTGGGAACCTCCTACAAAGATTCAGTCGACATCGCCGTGATTCTACCATGGATCTTCCGCCAAGCTCTACTTTGCCGCCATACGAATACACCGAGCTCGAAGACGCAGCATCGTATCTGCGAATACTTCGGATTTATCCAAGCAACCAAAAAGATAGTGATATCAATTGCGAGTTTGTGGAAGTTCCTTTCGACGGCGATCAAGGATATGAGGCCTTGAGCTGGTGCTGGGGCATCCAAAAGCATGACAGACTAATAAGGGTTCATAAAGATGGAAGTGTGTTTGCCCTCAAAGTCACCTATAATTTGGAATCGGCTTTGCGAGCCATGCGCTGTAGATACAGGGAAAGATTCTTATGGGTTGACATGGTGTGCATCAACCAGGCATGCACCGCCGAGCGAAACAAGCAAGTGTCAAAAATGGATCGAATCTATGGCCAAGCCTGGGGCATCTGTATTTGGCTAGGTGAAGAGGACGAAGACAGCAAAATGGCTATATCGTTTATCAGAAACAAAGTTCTTCAGATCGGGAAACACGACGAACTGTGTGAAAACACAAAATACTATCCTCTCTGGGGCGCATTTATCAGACTGATGGGACGTCCCTGGTTCTTTCGCCGCTGGGTCATACAAGAGATTGCTTTGTCTAGGAAAGCGACGATATACTGTGGCAGGAAAAAGACATCCTGGAAAGTGTTTGCCGCGGCGGTATCCCTACTGGTGGAGGCAGAAGCAAGATCGTTCAAGCTGTCCAGATTCATAAACCCCGACAACTCTCCCGGAGGCGTCCAAGGACTGGGAGCGGTCGTCTTAGTGGAAGCCACTAGCAATCTTGTTCGCAGTTCCACGGAAGGCAACAAAGAACCTCAGCTACTCTCAAGCCTGGAGTACTTGGTTTCCAGTCTCCCAATTTTCCAAACTAGTCAACCCCGTGATGCAATATACGCGCTTCTCGCAATTGCCCAAGACACAATGGTTCAAACAAAATACCGGGAATCATCAACATCACTGGTTAGTGCTAAATCAAGCTTAAATGGTTGAACCCCATGAGTCATTAAACCAATTTCTCAGGCCTACCATGTCGACTATACGCAGCCAGTTATTGATGTATACCGGGAGTTTGTCGACTTCTCGATCAGCAATTCGGAAAAATCACGGGCCCTGGACATAATCTGCCGACCATGGGCCCCTAAATTCACTCGGAAACAAGAACGCGTTGGCTTAGAGGAACCTGATGGACAACAACTAGAATCAGAATTGGATGAAGAAGACCTATACGTCACTTTGCCATCGTGGATACGTAGTCTTAGTGAGAGTGCATTCGGAGTTTTGGCGAATCCATGGATTAAAACAGCTCCGGTTTCTACGCGGCGTATAAATGCCAATACGCTCGTGGGACTTCCTATAGCAGGCCATAGGAATTATAGCGCAGCTGGAACAGAACCCGTCACTGAATTGAAACACATGTTCAAAAAGAGGAGTAACCATCACAGCATGTTTGTGGAAGGATTCGTGCTGGACAAGGTAAAACATATGTATGAGCCTTCTAAACTGGGACATATACCACGAGCCTGGCTCAAGCATGGGAAATGGAAGAATCTTCAGAAAGACCCCCCGGAAGCGTTTTGGCGAACACTGGTTGCTGATCGAGCATCGAATGGGAGAAATCCCCCAACGTACTATCCACGGGCGTGCCGAGAATCACTTAGAAAACCGACGGGCGAAGCCTTTGATATACAACAGTTGATCAACGAAGGACCCTCCACCATCGTCGCAGAATTCCTGCGCAGGGTACAGGCCGTCATCTGGAACAGACGTCTCATCGAAACAGAAAACGAACGCTTAGGTCTTGTTCATATCGAAGTCGAAGAAGGCTATGAAATATGCATCCTTTACGGGTGCAGTGTTCCGGTGGTCCTACAAAAAGTCTTGAAGACCCAGGAGGAGATACAACAAGAACTCGATGATGACATAAACGAAGACCAACACCAGGAAAAATTTCAAGGAGCACACCTGCTGAAGCGCGCGTTGGAAAAATGGAGAACAAGAAAGTCACAAGATGAAGAAACACAGAGAGCTGAGAAACAGCACTGGAAAGCCAAAGCAACCATGGCTATGCAATTTATTGCATTGGCTCTTGTTGCATGTCCTTTACTGTACATGCTGATATTTATCCGACGATTCTACACCTTCAACTTGCTACTAGTCGCAAGCAGCATATGCCTATGGTTTGCTACCTCACCGATACAATTCCAAGAACTTCCTTCAGAAGAATCAGGCGGGAGAAGAATCCAAGGCTGGAGTTTGACATTCTCAATAGGGGTTAGGGATGCACTTCAAATTTGCATCCACATAGCCCTAATCATACGGACAAATCCATTACAGCTCATAAGAGCTATGAAAAACCTCTCAGCGACAATAGGGGTTTTCTTCCCGATGGCGCCGACAGCTTTGACCTTAGTCGGTTTGGAATGTATCGGCATACTGTTACTCTTGTTATTGGACCGATCTTGGTTCATAGACATTCGAACAAGTATAGAACCTGCACCGATGGAGGAGCCTGAAGAATCCTACTACCGATTTTGTGGAGAATGCTACGTCCATGGTATGATGAACGGCGAGGCCATCGCCTACCAGAATGAGCATGGAATCAAGGGTCAAGTGTTTGAATTGAGGTAGATGGTTACGAAATGGAGATTTTGGAACACTGAGACGGGAATGGTTTTCTTCGGTTATTGTGCAAGGCAGGGAGTTCGGAATCTCGATCTATTTCCTGACTGTAGTTCGTAGGCAATAGAGCAAAGTTTTACCAAAGACCCCGGATCATTTGCCCACCCTTTCTGGATATCTCTGCCCGCGCCAATGCGAAGTGGTTGCTATCGTGAAAAGAACACTACGAAGTGTTTGTTTTCCCTGAATAGCCAGTCAACTCCTTCCCAAATCCGAATGTGAAGCAACCGTATGGGTTCAAATACGTACAAGGAGGGAAATAGGAGACGTATAATGCGAACCATCAAATAAGAACGGCGTGGGCAAGCGTCATCAGATGCTGGTGTTGATGCACAACACTGAGATATGCTGATGATTTAATAAAATTTGGAGAAATCTGGACTTCTACTTTACTGTTTTTCGTAAATAGCTGATATTAGAGACAAGAGAGCGGGAGCTACCTTACTCCTTGTGTTCGGTGGAGATTTGCACTTTCTCCTTGCTTCTGTGGTTTTCAGTTTTCGACATCAAGCCGCAATCATACCTCTTGTCCGCGAACACTGAGCGACTGGGCCCCGAGAGGAACTGTAAACTACTGCCAAATGGTTGTAAACGTTTCTGTGTTTATCTCTCTTTGCAATGTGAGCTGTAATAGGGTAGTGTAGGAACATGCCCAATCTGCGTAGCCGTGTCATTTGCTTGCCGAGGTGCTACCCGGAGAAACCGAGCTATGAGCATATGGAACAACGTAGATGCCATGGAACATTTTCTTCTATATCCTATAGTCTTTTTCGTTGCTGTGGGCTTCCTTTGTTCTTGCGGAAATATAGTAGAAGTGTGATGGGTGTTGAAAAAGGCGTTGGAGCATGCGGCTTTTCGCACCTCACGAATTCTCTTATCCTTCAGTGCTACGTTGAGCCACCGTAAGACCACTGAAAGACAGAGAAACACAAATGGCAATCTATAGATAGATAGTAGCTGGTTATAACTCAAAATTGACATGATAAACTCTAAAATCTACGCAAAACCCAACCTCACGTATATCTACTCTACACAGCCCTCACCCTGAACCCACACTCGACCCTCCCCGTCACAACACCCGCCGTATTAACCTTGACTAAGCGATGAAACTTGTCGAACTTCGCCCTTACCTCAGGCGTCCCGATCCCCAACTGTTCCAAAATCTCCGCCACAGCCGCGTACAGGATCTCGATGCTGCCATCCTCGACCTTGACCGCGATGCCAATGGCTCCATCAGCGCCTAGCCGCCTTGTCGCCTCCGACTCCCGTATCCCGACGCCATAACACGCGTCGGCGCCCAGCTTGCCGACAACCGCGCCCTCGAACGCTGTCGCCAGCTCAGTGCAGAAACGGCCTTCTCCGCCCACGAGCTCAGAGTGCCGCGCCATAGCGTTGAAGATGCGCGCCATATCACGGGTTTGCGCGTCCAGCGCCTCGGGCACGTCTTCCTTCGCATCCACCACACCCGCTGCCCCTGCCGCCACAGCTTCCCCCGCAGCCACCGCGTCCGCCGCCCCCGCAAACCGCGCATAGCTCCGCGCAAGCGCGTGCAACGGACACGCCGGCGCGGGCAAATTGCAGCCGTCGGTGGCCCAGCTGACCTGGCCCTCGCCCTCGCGCAGCGCGCACACATCCTCAAACGCCCTCTTCACAGCCACCTGCATCGGGCTCCCCGGCAGATGATACTCTGCCTCATTGGCGCCGAGGGCGCGCGTGCCCGCCAGCATCCCCACGTGCTTTCCCGAGCAGTTATTGCACAGCGGGCCGGGCTCGAAATCTGCTTTAATCCAAGCGCGGTTGACGGCGTCGCTGAGCGGTGCGTGGCCACCGCAGCGGAGCGCGGACTCGGGGAGATCGAGCGTTGATAGCATGCGTGCTGCGCGGGCGACGTGCCGGGGCTCGCTGCTGTGTGAGGCGCAGATGAGGGCTAGGTCTGCCGGCTCAAAGTACGTGTCGAAGGCGCCGGTGCGCAGGATCGCGAGCGCTTGCGCGGGCTTGGCGGCTGAGCGGGCGAGCGTTGTCCGGCTGGGGTTGCCGACTGCGAAGAGCGTTTTGCCGGTGCTGGCGCTGACGATGGCCGCGTGGATTTGGTGCCGGTTTTCGATTATCCCGCCTCGGTCTGTGGTGACATAGTCGGTGGGGTAGGGGTTTATTGTCATGGTGACGTGACGGTGGTGGCGTTGGTGCTGATTGTTGTTGTTGTTGGATCGGACTCTGGCGACGGGGGCAGTGTCTTTTATATAAAAGTTCCTGGATTTCGCAAAAGCGCTAGTGTTGTCTCTCCATGGTGTGAAAAAAGCGGTGGCCTGTTTAGAAACAAATCGAAGCAGAAAGAAGTTTTTTATCGCTAAAGAAAAGAGTGACAAAGCCAGCGGTAGTTAAAAGAGAGTGCATTTTGGATGCGCTAATGACATATAGTTATCACCGTGCCCAGAAGTACGCTTGCTCGAAAAGGAAGTAATTTGTAGACCCACTGGCGGCGGCTACGCTAACGACTTGAGCGTTCGGCAGCTAAACCTAACCCGCCAGTATACATCACTACAGGGGCTCCACGCCCGAGTTTTCAACCACATGACACCGATCAAGAGAAGAGTGATGCCTGTATCAACTGCCACACGCTTGCTACATCGTCTTGAGTAAAGCAGAAACGTAACCTTTCCTCATGATGACTGCCATTTCCCCGAAGATTACTTGGAGCACTCACTGAAGCATTGCCACCGCCAAACAACCACAACACACATTTCCCGAATATGAGAGCATGCATTGCGCTTTTTCAAATCTATAGGAAATAGTCGACTCAGCCCCGCTCCGCACACGTCCGACAATATCTTGCATCCAACGGAAGACTCAAAATACGCCTAAGTTCCTGGTAGAAACCGTACGCACGTGGACATGTGGATGATATAGACAAGAGGCCATGCAAGCTAGGCACGATGCAGTATCGCGCTGTCACTCTCACTTCAGTACATCCATCCTGTCCTGCACACACCCAGCCTTTACCATCACATCACCCACCAACAATACAACAATTCTACTCCCTTAAACAAACCCCACGTCACACCTCTCACAGCCAGCTTAAAAAATGCACACTGTTATCTCCCCCAGTGCTCTCGCGCAATCCCAGCAGCTCAGGATACGCACCGCGACTGATTTGGGAACTGAAGCCAGTCTTAAACGAAGACGATGACGCGAAGACGATGACCGGGTGCAGCCTCAGAGATACCACCGGTAGACGCAGCGCTCGGGCTCAACTTCCCGGCTGGATCGCCTCTGGAGCCATGCTGCGCTGCACCATCTCTGAGCAAGGACGTTGGGTATTATAGCTGGTAGTTGGTGCTTGTAATCATCATCATCACCACTGCCGCTACCGTATCTACCGCGTCTGATAACTTGCTGTATCTTTAATGGGCCCGTTGCCCTCTGCGTTAGTGTACCCGTACCCAATTTCGAATTTGTTCTCAATTTCGTTCATAACTGCCCAAAATCAAGGTCTTTGGCCTGTAGACAGCTCTGCTACGAGCTTCGTTGACGGAGTCGTGGATAATACCAATGACCCGAAGTCAGCATTACTGGCATCTCGCCTGACTCCTTGCGAAGTGACGACGGATTTAGTACTCACTATTGGCTCTGATGCTGTGGTAAGTACGGGAGTGGCGGGTTGTGATGTCGATGGAGGCGGGCGTGAGAACTACCTCCCAGTGCGGTAAATGGTGCATGCAAGTGCGAGCTGTTGCTGCGCTTCCTCAGCTGGGAAAGGGGAGTGATCCATTGTTTAAAGCTTCATTTTTTCGTGCTAACTGTTCCAAGGGGAGTAATCACTGTGATGTCTGTTCGAGCCGCGATGTGGTTTTGCGGAGTAGGTGCCAGGATTCGTAGAGTGGTATTAAGGATACTGAAGACTGGAGCGAGGGCAAGGATTTTAAGGAGGAGTAATGACAGGCTAAGTAAGATATGATCTTGGTTGTAAACAGTAAAGTAGTCCTTAAGAGGTGTTGCGGCGGTTTACCTGGAATTTGGTTAGTGAGTAAGTTCCGGGTAGCCATCGGGTTTAGGCTTCTTAAGGCGCCATACCGGATTGCTTGAAGTCGCCAGCAAAGGTTTCGCCCGCCCTCCAACAGAACTTGGGGCTTGAGCCGACAAATTGCGTGGGGGTCGGGTTCCTGTGTCATACGCCAGCATAGGACAAAGCATAGTGAGCCGACTTTGTGGCTGAGCCCAGTGTTGGGTCTACGTATTGTGGAGATGACGATGTCTGTCGTTAGAAGATGGGTGGGGTGGTCAGCCTTTATGGTTAGTGATGATATGTTTCTGGATTTTATGTATAGATGTCCTTCACTTGATTTGTAAAGTGTGTGCACAATAATCCCCGGGTCGCGGTTACGAAATGATGAAGCGCCCAGGTATGAGATGTCTTCCGTTTTCGAAGTTGGAATGCGGCTACCAAATCCTCCGTTTACAGACCATTCACTATGCATTCCATAGGGGAACTTTAAATACTGGTCACAAGACAAATCAGCGCGCGAAATTGCTGAGAATCAATTCGTCCCACGCTATATTCTACTACACTCAGCACCCAGCAACCACCACTGATCCAACCGCACCAATGAAGTCTCCCAAAGCCAAACCAGCAAGTGCACTAGAGCCAGCATTCTTAAAAGTATCCCCGCGTCCATAAATCCGCACAATACCACAGCCCTGCTTTCCGCACGCGCAAGCACAAGCGCGTCCTCACCCTCGGCTCCGCCCTCGCCCAAGCTCAGGTCATATAAAGCGTATGCAGGCTCATAATGTACCCATCTCAACAGCCACCAGCGATCAAGCACAGCACATGCACCAGCAACGCCCTATATGGCGTGAGAATCTCCGTATGAATTTGAGATCTTGTGGAAATCCCACCGAAATTCTTGCAGGAAAGCTCCTGCAACTAAGTTCTCCAGTACGAGTTTGTATGCTTGGGGACGTGGTGGTGTTGAAGATTATTGCTCGCTGAATACGGCATGCATCACTATCTCATGTAGGTGTTGTCCAGCATAATCACGCATAAAGGCTTCTAGTGCAACCCCTCAAACGAGGCGAACGCTGCATGAAACTGTCCGCAAGGCACAGCTGAGCGGAAGCGGCCTTTTCGTGAACCACCTTAATCCGCTTTGACAAAGCGTGGCAAAGTAGCTGATGGAAAAGCTTGGTGCTGCTGGAAACTGTTCTCGACCCCGACGAGGTAGTGGGCTATGTACCTTCACGGTCTGGATTCGGAGAAAGACGGAGAGGCGGCGCCAACAGTGCGACGAGGCGCCATGATGGTGCTGAAGTATTTGCGACGGCGGCGCGGGCGGGCATAGGAGCGAAAGAGCGAGCGAACAGGAGGGCGGAATAGAGCGGAGTGTCGAAAGGTGGCTGGAGCGACGAAGCGGGTGCGCGTGGCAGTGAGTATGACGTTGACATGAAGGGTTTTTGTATACGAGCCTCTGGTACTGATGGCCCAGGCATTCTTGTCTGTCATCGCTGTTATCCGATTCATAAACGCGTTACCTTGTTTGTATACTCACAATAAGTACAAAGCGACAAGAGCAAAGCGTTTGACAGTTCATCAGTGTTAATAGCGCATGGGAAGCTACGTCACACGTGCGGGCAGCCGCAGCGGCAGCAACCTAGGTAACACACCCCAAACCCTACCTATAAAAGCCACAAGCTCCAAAACCCCAAAGAAGAACGGCCACTCGAAATAAGTGCCTCATGCCTCGTGGCGTGGTTGATTTACTCTTCGGAGTGGTCGACGCTAAAGCGGTTCAGAAAAACAAAAACAGATAAAATACCTTCTGCCTTTGCCGTGATAGCTTGGTTAATTATACTCGAGGTTGTTTGTTCGACTTTCTCTTTATTTTTATTTTTTGCTTTTTTGAAATTTTTGATTAGAAATCGGGGTGGGTGAGTGCAGAGGGTAGGGTATGGATAGGCATGCATTAACACAACTCCCCATGACGCTTCACTTCGCACCCACAATATGCTGAAGCTGCCGTTTTGTACTTGAGCCCCAGTTTTGAGCAAGTCGATGTTGGTGTTTTTACAGCTATAAATCTTTCCACTGGCCCACCCACCCTCAAGTTCTCAACTCCACTCACATCTAGAAGAGGCCTCACCGTACTAATTCTGATGTACCAGGCACTGTCATTCTCCGGGACTGTCATATAACCTCTTTCCACTTCTGAGTTCAGCCCAAAACAGTTACACACGCCACCTCACTCACAACTCGATAGGAGTAGTGGAAGCAAGGAACAACATCTATGATAAGCACCACAACAACCTACAAACGCCACCCCTCATCGCCTCCTGCTTTTGGCGATGCTCATCATGCCCTGCATGTAGCGCTACAGAGGCGAAATCACTAAGTTTTGGATTCAGTAACGTACTTCTTGTTTGATGCATGCTTTCTCCCGTGTACATCCAGCACTCTTATCCGAATATCTTGCGCTCTTAGAGCCATACCGACTCTGTAATGCGCAAGATATGGGAGCAAGTTGCTTTGGCTTTGATGGGAACTTTATATACCTGAGCCTGATCCACTGATTTCTAAGAAGTCTCGGTGAGTATCTTCGCTTCGTCAGTTTTCGGTCGAGTGCGGCATGTAGGACAGTATTGCTGCTTCACTGAACAGCCATAACCCAACCCCACGACCTCAGCCTCTTCAAAAGCCGTATAAATGAACAACCGCGCGCTGTCGACAGCATAAGCTATACCAGCGCCAATATAAACACCCACAAAATCCAGCGCACCAACCCGTACATCCCCACACTTCACCTCATTCCGTAAGATAGCAGTCCCAACCATATCTAATCCAGAAACACTTACAACCACATTCGCAACCATCTCGATGGCGAACAGCAAAAAATACGTTGAAAATCCACAAGCGCACTATTTAAGCCCCCCAACTGACCCCAACAGCGCAATCCCAAGCATTTTCTCGTAGAATATTCGCCAGGTTTACAATTAATCAAAACGGATCTGCGATCAAGGCGGCTAACCGCGCACCACCACACCCCACATTCAGCAACAAACAACCTTCAACTCGCAGAGCCCATCTGCAGGTATGCTCGCTCCCATTTCGGTAATAAAAACTACCACATCCAGAAAACGCCGCCCACCACCATCCCCCCACCATCACCACAACAACCACTCCTACCAGCAGCAAGCACACCTCTTCAACCACTAAGCCCTCTACCCGCGTCCATCAAAGCCAAAAACACGAAATCACAAAGCCAGTGCCACCAGCAACCGATTCCGGTTGATTTTCCAGTGGAGTACGCTGCCCCAATCATAGCTGCATTGGTTGGCCTTTGAGACTGCGTTAAGGGCCTGGCGTACAAGGCCGTCTTTTATGCTAGAGGTAGGTTTGGTCGTCTTGCGCTGTTGCACCATCACGCCCACGCCCACACCCATGTCCACGCCCCTCCCCACCACAAAAGCCACAATAACCGTCACCATGTCCACGCTTACGCTCCCGACGCACCGCGCTCCACCACTCTCAACTAAGTTAAAGAGGCAGTCAACGCCGGGGCCCTCACCTCTCCATCTCACACACCACCCCCACCCAACAGTAGCATTAGCAGCAATACCACCGCCGCAACGCATCGCATCGCAATACAGCACACCACCACGTCCAGCAAATGCCCATCTGCACCACTTTCACACAACCGACTCACACCACCACCTCCACCACTACAACAACACCCACAACTACAGCCTAAGCCGCCGTGCATCCGCTTCGTCGCGACCCGGAGGAGACGCAAACTGCGCATAGGTGCTGCATCCCTATTATCTCTTTAACTTGTTCTTGGTAGTGTTTGGGACCCGGCAGTGCTGGTGGTGGTGGAAGCGGCACTGTACTTTCGTGGTTGCATATAGATAAGTAGCCTAGTTCCTCTACACATACCCCCCCTCCCCACCACCCACCGCCCGCCACCACCACCACGACCTACTCCCTCCACCGCAGCGACCACGTCTCCCTGCCCTTCCTAAACGGCACCACCCTCGCCGCCCCCTCCCCCTCCCCCCCAACAACATCCACAACCCTCTCCCCCTCCCACGCAAGCCTAAACCCACTCTCCCTGCTCCCCTCCGGCAGTTTGTAAAACCGCCTCCCCGCCTGACCCAAAAACCCCTCCAACCACTCGACCCCGACCTCCTCCTCGCTTAACCACCCCCGCTCCACCGCCCCCGCCACCGCGTCCAGCACCAACTGCGACGCATACGGCTGGGTGAACACGCCGGCCGGGGCGGCCGTGCCCGCGGGCGCGCTCTTCGCTTCAGCAGCGTGCGGCGCGCTGTCAGTGCCGAGGAAGAACTTGGGCTCGCCGCTGACGACAGCCTTGAGCAGCGCGATGCGGTCGCCTGGCAGCTTGGCGACGGGCTTGCAGAAGTGCAGCGCGTTGCCGACGACGTCGTCGACGGTCAGGATGAGGTGGTGCGGGGTGATGGTGGCCGCGACGGTGGGGCCGCAGTTGCGGACAGCGGCGACGGCGGCGGCTGTCGTGCAGTGTTCGAGGACGATGCGCAGGCGCGGGAAGGCGGCGTGCAGCTCGCGCAGCGTGGGCAGGAAGCGCTCTTCGGCGTTCAGCACCGTGATGTCGCCCCCCTCGCCGTTGGGCCCGCTCGACGCCGGCACCTCCCCGTGCAGGTTCAGCACCAGGTCCTGCCGCTCCATTTCCGCGAACACCGGGTAGAAGGCCTTGTAGTCGAGGACGCCGGCCGCCGAGTTGGTCGTCACGCCCGCGGGGTAGGACTTTACGCCTGCGAGGCCGGCGGCTTTGGCTTCGATGATGGTGGCGGGCGTGATGGAGGGGTGCAGGTAGAGCGACATTAGGAAGGTTACGTTGGGCTCGAGGGCTTGCAGGCGCGCTTTGTAGGCTTGCGCGGCCGCGACTGTCGTGATGGGGGGGACGAGGTTGGGCTGCGTGTGGTGTTAGTTTTGTTTTCTTTCTATCTCTCTCTGAGTGTGTGCACCATAACAAACACAGTGTCGACGCCGCCCTTCCTAATCGTCGGCACCACCGTCTCCATCATGGCCCCATCGCGCAAATGCACATGCATATCCGCCGACGGCGGCAGCTCGAGGCCATTGAACCTGTCGACAAGGGGCGGCGGCATGGCGGAATCGGTCTTGATGTTTCAATTGCGGGGTGAGGATGGATGGAGGTGGGGTTGGTTCCGTCCATAGGTTGGAAGCTCAAATTTCCCCGGCGTTAAGGCCCGGACTTTACGTATTTGTTGCCCGCTGCCGCCGCATCTATCTTCTCCTACTCCTAATCCTACATGCACCACCACCACCTTCTTCAGTCCCGAAAATACTACTACAAGCGCGCGCGCATATGCACAGTCCCTCCCCTGCCTCTCCCAGAAAACTACCTACCTAGCTAGACAGATAGACAACAAACATTCCTCCCCTTTACTCGCGCGACCTCCGCCTCCGCTGCTGGCGCTCCAGCCGCGCCTGCTGGTCCTCCAACGCCCGCCTCTTCTCGTACTCCTCGGCCCTCTTCAAAAAGTCCTTGCTATGGCCCGTCTTCGCCGACGGCTTATCGTCGACCAAGCCAGCGCGCGTCTTTGCGTTCTGGATGCCCTCGCTAATCTCCTTGCTCGTGTTGCGGAAGCTCTTGCGCGCGCCCGAAAGCATGCCGCCGTCCTTGGGCTCGGCCGTGGCCTCGGGCCCCGCCTCCTGCACCGTCGACTTCACCGTCGGCGGCTGGTATCCGAAGCCCGGGCGCGACGTCGCCGTCGTGTTGATGGTCGTGGGCCCGCTGGCCCCGCTGCCGTCGTCGCTGCTGAACGGGTTGACTGGCGCTGCCACAATGGGCGCCAGGCCCAGCTTCTCGCGCACAGCCGGGGTCTGCAGCACGCGCGCCTGCACCATGCCCAGGAACGAGGCCGTCACGAACGAGAGCACCACCGACGCCGGCTGCGCAAACGTGAAGACCACGGCAAGCGACGGCATGATATATAGCAGGAACTTGCGCTGCAGCCCCGTGAGCGTCTGAATGGCGCCCGTTTCGCCGCCGCGCTGTGAAATGCAATCGTCAGCAATCGTGCCCAAATGACAATGGCCTCGCGCTCCAGGCCGCCTCGCCCACTCACCTTAGCCACGAAGTGGATCATGGCACCAAAGCCAAGGGGCAGCAGAAAATAAGGGTCCGAGAGGGTAAGGTCCTTGACCCAGAGGAAGCCGCCAGTCTCAAAGCCCGGGACCGGCAGCGCCGACATGCCGCGCAGCAGCTTCCAGGTGCAATAACCGGTGACAGCCTGCACAACCGGGGCCACAAAAGCCTTGACGGGGTTGATACCGGCGGCCTTGTAGACCTGCATGAGCTCGCTGCGCGCCATCATCATTTCCTCGGTGTTGCCCGCGGCGCGAGCGGCCTGCATGCGCGCGTTGATGGGCGCCACGACCGTCTTCATCGCCCCCTGCCGCGCCCCAATGTCCGACGTCATGGCGAAGATCCTGAATAGGCCGGCGCGCACCACTATCGCCGTCAGCATGATGCTGGCCCACCACGGCGTGCCCGCAAACACGTGCACGTGCTCCAGAAGCCACTGGATGCAGCTTGTCGGGCCCCACCCGTAGTCCAGCCCAATGGCCTTCAGGTATCCAATCTGCTCGGGCATCGTCGAGATCATATTGGAGAGGAACGCGTCCGACACGACGTCCAGGTTCGTCGTCGCCTGCGTGGCTGCGTCGGCGCCAGGCATGCCAGCCGCGGCGCTCGCGGCCGTCGCGTTCTCTGTTGCTGCGGGAGCCGCTGCTGCGGCGGCGGCGGTGGTGGCGGGTGTCGTCGAAGCATACCTCACAGCCGCGGCAGCGGGCGCGAAAGCAAGCGGCTTGCGGAGGCCCAGCGCAGGCGAGGTCGACAGGATGTTCATGCGGGGACGGGTAGCATACTGGCGCGCAGCAGCCGCAACGGGGGAGGTAGAGAACTAGTTGCGCAGCACAGCAGTCAGCAAATCAATTCAAGCAACCAAACATCCAACAACAGCAAGCAAGCAAGCCCGCCCTCCCCCAAAAAGAAGAAAACAACAGCAGCATACAAGCCTGTTACGAGCGCACAGCGAGCGAGCAAGCGCGCAATTGGCGGGCCGCAGCCCTCCTCTGGCAGGAATCATGGTGGCGGGGGTGCTGAGAGTTTGCGCGGGCGCGGACAAAAACGGGCAGACTACGACGACGATAGTTCGAAGTTCAGTCGTGAGTGAGGCCAGAAATTTTGGCGCCTGTCGTCCGCCGTACTGTACCGCCGATCTCCGCGCCGGAGGCTCTCCGCAATCACTAACTGCTATTGCACTGCACTGCTAACTAGTCACTATTGTTACTACTGTTACATACCTACTACAATCAATCAATCAATCATACACACACCCAAAATAAAACCAAACCACAAAAAATAAAAAATAAGAGAAAAGCCAGACCCAAGAAAGAAGCACAAAACGAAACCCCAATCCAATCCCACCCCACTCTCCCACCGCAGCAGCGTCAGCAACAGCAAACAAAGCTTCCATAGTTATAATATGCGCAAAAAGAAGAAGAAGAAGAAGCAGCTTAAGCACAAACCCCCTTATTTTAACCCACGCCATCCCTTCACACCCACCAAGAACAAAGAACAGCAGCAGCAGTAAACAGCAACAAGCAAGCAAGCAAGCACCCCATGTTATCGCCCAATCGCCCATATCGCCGCCGTCCATCCATCCATCCCGTCCGCCCAGCCATCCAGCCATCCAGCCATCCAGCCATGCTTACGTAGTCATACAGCCCGCCCCAACGGCAGCAGCCAGCCAGCCAGCTAATCATCCAGCAAATAATTATGGTATAACAGCATCCGTCCATCCATCCATCCATCCATCCGTCCCTCATCGAGCTCAGTAAGAATATCCACCCAATCAAATCAGGCCAACCCAACCCAACCAACTTCACCCACCCACTTACCCACTCATTCACTCATCACCCCTAGAAAACAGCTCTCCAACCCCCTCTCCCTCTCCCTCCTTCCCATCGCCCTCTCCCCCATCACTCCTCGCCTTCTCCGTCAGCGCCAACGCATCCGCCGCATGGCTCGGCGGCGGCTGATCGTCCCCATCAGCCGTATACTCTGCGAAGAGGTCGCGCATGCCCATGGCTCCCAGGCCTGCGTCGCTGCCCGCGCTCGACTGGAATAGGTTCCTGACCGGGCTGGCTGAGACGCCGCCGTCGACGCCAAAGGACGCGCCTCCGAAGAACGCTGGGTCCATGTTCGGCGGCGGAGGGCTTGCGGGATGGAATGGTGGAGAGGCGACGGCGCGCGCGTGCGGCGCGAATGCCGTGGACGGGTCGAAGGTGCCGAGCGTGCTGCCTGTTGAGGTTGCGAGTGCCGAGGCTGCGTTGTATGCCGATGAGGTTGCGCTTGGGTAGGAGAACGTCGGGTGCGAGGCTGTCGTGTTGGGTGTGTCGCCAATGCTCATGCCATGCGGAAGGCCCGGCGGAGTGTGTGAAGGCTCTTGTGGCCCGAGCCCTGTGCGGCTGCCGATGCTGTTGCGCTTGCTCATGTCTTTGTCTTTGTTCTTGAATTGGTGCGGCCGCGTGCGCAGGTGTTGCGGCAGGTCGTCGGGGTTGTCGATGCCCAACTGGGCCATCATCTTTTGCTGCTTTGTTGGACGAGGTTTGCGCGTGGATAGCGAGACTTCGACCTTTGGTGGCGGCTCTGGCGCGACAGGTGCCCACTTATGCAATTCTTGCCGGAAGAAATTCGTTTCAGGAGCGAGCAGGATATCAGCACCCTCCAGCTTACGAAGGTAGAATCGCTGCGTCGTGAGTTCGTCGGGATTAGAGAGCATGGGATTGACGTAGGTCGAGATGAATTGCCGGAAGTCGGCTGCCGTCTTGATAATGTTAGACAGGCACTCCTCTTCCTCGGGCTGGAAGGGCAAGTTGGGCAGCTCGTCCTGCCAACCCTCGAGCTCTTCCAACTTGGGACGCGTGGCATCGCGGGGAATCTTGACGCGGTAGTCGCAGATAGGGCAGGTATATTTATCGTCCTCCTTGACTTTGCCGCGCGCAATCTTCAAGCATTTGCCGTGGTACCTGTATGACGGTTAACAAACTCCCAAACCTCTCCGAAGCACCATTGATGCAACTTACCATTCGTGGCAGAGCTCGCACTCAATCATCATGCCAGCCTCAGGCTTGCGGCAAATACAGAAGACATCGCGCGTCGACCCTGCTCCGTTGCCATCCTCCGACGTAGGCGTGTGCTCCCTTGACGCCGGCTCAACCGGCATGCGCGGTTGATCGTTCAAGTCAAAACAAGCTTCGTTCCTTGCCGCTACTATGTCCATGTGTTGTTGCAAGATGTGCAAAGGGGCATTGGCCTTACCAAACAACTTTTTACCACGACGCATCCAGTCCTCATGCCGCTTCTGTTCTCTTTCAAGGTCAATAGTGCCAGGCGGCTTGCTGTTGAGCTCACTGAGAGCCTCCATAGCCTCGCGGACTTCTTTGTACATTGGGCGCCTGCGGAAGTCGGGATCTTTGCTGCGTTCGTACAGCGCTTTGATCTGGTCTTGCGCGTCCCGTTGCTTCTTGAGAATGGCTTCGACCTTGGCGAGCGTCTCTGGCGTGACAGGCAGGTGCTTCGCCTGAGCAGAGAGGGCATCCAACTGTTGATAGTTGATGATCTCAGCAGCCATGACTTCGGTCGCTGTCTTTTCCCAGACCTCGCCCTTGGCCATCTCCTCCTTAAGGAAGATCATGTTGACCTCAGCATCTGGAATACCTATGTCGAGACCGCGCTTGATGAAGTCGCTTATGTCTTGTAGCGAGTGCATGCGTTCACGGTAAGAACGTGCCTCGTCGAACCACTTAAGATGCTGCAGCATCTTGTCGAGCTGCTCCACTTCGGGAATGTCCAGATTGAAACTGCGGCCTAGCTCGAGCAGATCATCCAGGTCTTGAGTGGGGCGCACAGCGGTGTGTTGTGACTCCTGGAGAATAGTCTGAGCACGCCCCTGGAAGTCGGCGATGCTGTCGACATGTTCTTGCAACACAGCAATCTCAGGGCATTCAAACGAAATCTCCTCTGCTTCGGCGAGAAGCTTTTTCAAGTTCTCGACCTTGCGCAGCTCTTTCTCCTTCTCCTCCTGTTCTATCGCTGCTCTGTTGCCGATGGATTTACGAGAAGACCGTTCGTTCTTCCGGCGGTTCTGCTGTTTGCGAGTTGTAAATGCTGTAGCCTTATCAACCCACTCATTGCAGCGATCGACGTATCGTTTCAGTTCAGGCAGTGCGGCTAGCGGCCAGGGAATTTTCTCGCCGTCACTGAGAAACTTTCGAAGTTTCTTGAGCTCTGGCTTCGGCTCATCTGCCAGGTACTTGTCGAGCTCTTCGCTCCACTCGTCCGGTTGCCTTGCCTTCTCAACGACCTTTTGCACAATACCGTCAAGTTTTGCGCCGGTCATGCGGTAAAACAAGACGTGGTCGCTATTCGCGCCCGAGAAGCGGTGTTCCTCTGGTGCATCGCAGCAGTCAAACGTCCCTGCATGAAGCAAACATGCCACCTTTCCGGACCTCCTGCAGACGAAGCGTGACAGATAACCGAAAGCCTTGCAGTAACTGCACAAGTAGTCGTCCTCTGAGAGATCCTGCTCGTCAATCTCGAAGCCAATTTCGCAATGTCCCCTTGCGCCCAATTCTATCCTGCAAGGTGACATGCTGACGGCCTTGTGCCGTTCCAAGAAAGTCTCTCGTGCGTTCATTTCTCGTGTTCGCATTCTTTCTAGCGCCGGACCTAGCCATTTAGCGATTTTGATCGATATGTCTCTACTCGCGGCAGCAGTAAGCAAAAGCTCATCATGTGAGAAGCAAGGCTGGCGTCTGAAGTCTTGGAGACGCTGCACGCCTTCCTCGCCCCAGGGCTCCCAATCCGGCGGAGAGAAATTAACAGCTTCATTGAAGTTGAAGCCGTGATTAAATCCGGCATGGTATGCCTGGGGGAAGGTAACGACAAATTGTCCTGCGCGCTGGTCCAACGCGTACACTCTCACTCCAGCCTTCTTCAGATGATCCGGGGTGAGAAGAGTGACCAGTTGGAACAAGAGATCGGGCTGCGTCTCGAATAGCTCAGGAACAGCCTCACGCATTGCATTCTCAAACTTCTCAGCATCCTCTCCTGGAACACCGTACCACGTCTTAGTCGCACCAAAGTGCTGGTAGTTGGCAGAGTAGCTGTAATGGTCTTCATTATGCCAACAGAATGTCGAGAAGCACATCCCGACGTAAAGCCAAGGGACCGTCATGCCAGAGATATCCGACTTGATATGGCGGAAAAGAGATTCCGGATGCAAGGGCAGGATATTAAGGTTCCATGGATCGGTCGCGTACGGATTTCTCGGGTTCTTCTCCAGTGTGGGAAAGCCGCTGCCGTGCGTCGTGACGTGTACATCAGCGCCATATTCAACCTCCGGAACCGACTCTGTGACGTTTTCAACGAGTTTCCAAAACTCGCGCTCGACGTCGTCTTCGTTGACTGGTCTCTGCGAATTGAGCACAGGGTCGTACTGCCTCTTGTCACGGAAATGTTGTTGCCTAAATGCCATATCTTTCTGCTGAAACTCCTTGAGGGAGTAGACGCCACCCTCGTCGAAGCCAAACTCGCCATCGCCGACAAGGCAGCGAGGGCAATGCCAGTCATAGTCCGGTGTGGTCTTGAGCGGAGGCTCGAGACAGTGGCGATGGTATCCCGCATCGCAACTATCGCAGAGAAGAATACTCGTCGGATCGTTGCTTTTGCCGCAGGTCTCGCAAAAGTCTCCGGGCTTTTCCCTGGACCGGTCTCTGACCAGCGGGCGTGTAGACGTTGGTACGCGCGGCTGAGTCATGTGGGAGCCGGCAACAGTCGGCGCCGCATCCTTCCTTAGACGCTTACTGCGTCTGCCTGAAGCATCAGAGTCGCCATTCGTCTGAGACTCGGAGTCTTCAGAGAGCTGGCGCTTCAAGTGGCTAAACTGACCATTGGAGATGGGTGTTGTGAATCCAGGTGGTCGGAAGTCCGGGGTGTTCTTCGCGGATAGCGTCAGCGGGCTCTCGCCTAAGCGTTGCGGTGTCGAACGGGCGGATTCGCTTTGGGGACGCTGGGGGCCATTAGACGCGTTGATCGCTGAGAACGAGCCAGTAGGTGTCGCTGCTGGAGACTGATGATTTACGGCGGTAAATCCACCACTGTTAACAGCCGTGAAACCAGAAGGCTTGATCGGATCCGCTGGCGGCGGCAAGGGGGTTGTGCTTTCATGTATCGAAGCGTTCAGCGCCGCCGAAGCGCGGGCGGTGGGCGACTCAGGCTGCGTGTTGCTCGGGGGCGTCTGTCCCTGCGGTCTCTTCAGTGGTGATGGCGCAGGCGAGGGAGTAAACGGACCGCCGTTCTCTTCGAGGATTGCTCGCTGGACCGCGGGTCCTGCGATGCGCCGGTATTCCTCGTACGGATGGAGCCACTTCTGGTAGGAATTCTTCAGAGATGTCGACAGGGAAGACATAATCTTGCCGCTGTATCCCAAATCCCGCCCAATCTCAGCCCATTTCTTCTGCTTGCAAACTCGCTCAAACCCGCCGCGAGTTTCGACAGCCTTCTTCAGTTTGTATAGATCCAGGGGCCGCTTGTCGACGCTGGGAAAGCGGTTGAGGTTGTTGCCGCGCGATCGATGGAATTTCGACAGCTGGTCTAGGTAGTCGAGATTCGCGCGGGTGCCGCCTTCGACGGTGTTGAGCGCCTGTTTGCGCGTACGGAAATGGAATCGCTGTAGCCCATGTCAGCCCCGATTCCATCAAAGTAGTCACCTCTGCGGCCATCCACGACCCCAGACGGACGTACCTCCGTGTCAATTGCAAAATCCGGGTTCCAGCCCTCTGGCGGGATGATCTTAACAATACCATATTTCCTTCCTTCGGGCGCGATCTTGCGCATGTACTCCATTGGGTCCCTAAACTCGTCCTCTGTGGGTGTGTATGTGGGCGCCTCGTCAAGCCCGAACAATCGGCTGTTCCTCGAAACTTCGCGCGCCATGGTCGGGGTATTGCGGCGCTCGACCGTGTTCAGGTCCAAGGGCGCGGCTTTGCGCGCGCTCAGCGGGAGCAGGCTATTGGCGGCGGAGGTGCCGTTGGAATTCGCAGTGCTCGCGGCGGTCGTGGCGGCGGCGGTCGCAGCGGCGGTGGTGGTCGTAGAACCGCCCATCTTGCCCATCTTGCCGGTGGTGGCGGACGTCGAGGGCTGAGCTGGGCTTGCGCGAAAGGTGTGCATTTGGCCGACGGAGGGACCTGGTGCGGCGGCTGAAGAGACGGCCATGGTGGACCGACAGCAGCCGGAAGCGGCCGTGAGGCGGGGCGTGGATGCAGAGGCCTTTGGGTGGTGTCGGGGCGCTCGCGTGAGGCAGAGGGAGCGGTGGTGAGAAGCTAGGCCGGGGGGGTTCGTGGTGATGCGAGGGCGTGGTGGGCTCACGGGCCGAGCATCTGGGTATTCTGCAGCAGCCAGCGGCAGCAGCTCAGGTCCGGGGCCGGGGGGAACTCGGAGGCGTAAGCGGGAGGTGGAAGAAAGCCACGCAGCGGTGCTACGGGCCTCGTGTGTCTGGTCAGGCGAGAATTGCTTTGTGTATGGCGCGGGAGGGGAGTGCAGGGCAGCAAAGTAAGTCAAGCAAGGTTTGAGGCGGAAAGAATGAATGCCACCCGCGGCATGGCTAAGCCCAACCGGGCCCGGCTAGCTGGCTGATGCATGCAGCGGCAGCAGCAACCTCCACTGTATACCAACAGCAACAGCACTCCCGCAACCCCATGGACAAGCCCATCCCCGCCTTCTACTGCTGCTATTTGCTGCGCTCCACCGTCCGCCCTAGCAGACTCTACGTCGGCTCCACCAACCATCCCGTGCGCCGCCTGAAGCAGCACAACGGCCAGACCATCGGGGGCGCCGCCCGCACCAAACGCAATGACCTGCGTCCGTGGGAGATGACATGCCTGGTCACCGGCTTCCCCTCGCGTCTCGCCGCGCTGCAATTTGAGTGAGTCTGAAGTCACGTGATACCGCATGGTTGCCTCAGGCACTACCAATCATATGTATATATACTATCTAGGAATCCCAGCTGATTGACGCTTCCCTCACTTCCTAGATGGGCCTGGCAAAACACACACACAACCCACCACATCCCTGCTCCCGACCGCATCACCACCCTCACCACCAAATCTCGCTACAACAGACGTACCGGCCGGCACTACAGCCGCCCCGTCCGCCCTAGGCCTACGCTCCCCAACAAGCTCGCAAACTTGCATCTGCTGCTGCGAGTGCCTAGCTTTGCCCGCTGGCCCTTGCATCTCCGCTTTTTCGCCGCAGATGTGCATGCCGCATGGCGCGCCCGTGTCGCGGCCACGCCGTTCCCACTCCGCCGAGGTGTCCGGGTAGTGCTAGAAACGCCCGAGCTGCCGCCTGCGCTGAGGCGACCAGACGTCGCTCCGGAGGAGGTAGAAGAGGCGGCGAAGCCAAAGCCGAAGGGGAAGGCGGCGTCGAAGTCAAAGTCCAAGGCCCCAGATGACGCAGCAGCAAACGCCTCTGAACTCCTCACCGGTCCCGGCCTCCCCGCCATTCCTGTTACCTACGCGCCCCTAAAACCTCATCTCACCAAATCGCTCGCGCTCCTCTCTGCTCCTTGCACTTGCGTTGTTTGTTCCTCTTCTCTGAACACCACAGACGAACTCGCCGTCGTGTGCCCGACGCCTGACTGCAGCATGGCAGCGCACCCAACCTGCCTCGCCCGCGTTTTCCTCGCCGGAGAAGGCAGTGCCGGCGCTGACGCCCTCGTCCCGCTAGAGGGCCACTGTCCAACTTGCGCCGAGCGCGTGGCGTGGTCGGACCTGATGCGTGATTTGAGTCTGCGCTTGCGGGGCGAGAAGGAGGTCGCGGTGCTCTTTAAGCCGAAGAGGAGGAAGAAGGGCGAGGAGGCCGTGGAGGAGGACGAAGATGAAGAGCCGCCGGATGAGGACGAGCCGTTGCCTGAGAACGGGGACGAGAGCGAGAATGCAGAGATGTCGGAGGAGGGTAGCGATGACGGGTTCACCCCGATCGAGGAGCTCGAGGACCCTGCTCCGCCGGCTCCGCGACGCGGGCGTCCCAAGAAGACTCCTGCGTCGCCTGCTGCCAAGAAGACAGCGAAGAAACCGGCGGCGAATAAGCCGACTGCTGCGAAGAAAGCGGCTGCGGAGAAGCCTGCTAAGCAGCCTAAGGCTAAGATACCCTCCCCGCGCCTAAAGCGCAAGAAGGATGTCATATCCGACAGCGACTGGGACGATGCCGAGATCGTGGAGTAGGGCTGTGCAGGTCGGGACAGTGGTGTATGATTAGAAAAATAGGCATTGGCCGTTACAAAGCCAGATAGACGGATGAAATGATGACACGGCCTCGTCTTACTCACCTTCCGCTTTCTTTTGCGCTGGCCGTCGCTAGAAAAAGCATGAAGCGATTGCTTGTCGCGCGCGCTTTGCTGCTGCTGCTGTCGTTATCATTGTCGCCATTGCAACTGGTGCCCACTAGCTCAGAAGCCCAAGCCTATGAGGCTTTGAGACACCAGTGACGCGCCTGAGAACCGCAGCTGGCGCACCGATTGGCCTTACGCGTGGAGGGTCGCTCGCCGCGGCTCGCCGCGCGACGCGAGTCGATTTTCCAGCGTGGTCGAGCCGTGAAGAGGCGTAGCTAGCTGCAGGCCAAAGATGCGCTCTCGTGCAGCAAGACAGCGCATTCCGGCAGATTTGGTGTAGGTGTAGGAAGACGAAGGCAGTGCGAGGCGCGAGGTCGTGTAGCGCGCGCGATGATCGACGCGGCAGGGCGGGCTGGCGGCGCGTCGTGCGTCGTGGTGGGGTCGTGGGGCGTGCGTGCACCCTGGCACGGCTAGGCGTGGGCGGGCCGCGAGCGACGTCGTCTCATGCTTCTTTGCACGGCAGGTCCCCAACTTCTGGCATTTTGTTTGCGCAATTGTTGCTGTGATTGTGGGGGGGTGTACTGGAGCGATCTTGAAGCGGGAGTGTGCTGCGAAGGGCTTGTTTGCGGTTTGTTATTGCTTTCTTTGCGTGTGGTGGGTGGGTTTTTAAAAGTAGGTCTCTGCGCGCGGTTGCTGCTGCTTCTGCTGCTTGGTGGTGTGGTTTTTGTTTTTTGCTCTAGCTTTGGAGTTTGGGATCTATATTCTTGCTCTTCTTATGGTGCTTTTATATGGAATTTCTCGTTATATCTTGGCTGCGCGGGTCCAGGGTAGGTTCAGCATCGCCTTTGAGCTCAGCGCGAGCGATCGCTGCTTTGTTTCACGCTTCCAAGGTATACTCATATTTTTACAGTACTCGCCTCTTCGATTCTCGTAGCGGAAGCTATGTGCGCGATCCGAAGAGGCGTGGTCCTTGTTTGCTCCCTGACGTGGTCACTGTCCATGCTGGCCTTCGTGGAGCTCGCTGTTAGGAAACTTATTGTGGAACGGCGATATATAAGAGATGGCCAGACTTATACTCGCGGGCGGCATCGCCCTTCCGTAGTATTGCTGCGACTATACATCATGGCTGGCAGCCTGGTATGAGCTGCTCCAAGGATAAATGCTCTAGGACGCGCTTGTCGCCCCAGCCCGACAACACCAACTAGATTACTATAAAACAGATACTGATAGACGGGATAGCGCATGGCCACTATAGAGCATAGAGAGGCACCTACCGCGATGGCTCCGGGGTCGGGGACCTCAATGGCAGGCCATGTCGCGCGGCAACTCCCCGAGTTGTTAACATACCTAGCTTTGTCACTCACATAGGTACCTAGAGCTCATTCACTCCGACTTTGCGTCGGTGACGCTATACCTTGCAGCCGCAAGTACCAATTAGGCAGTAACTGCAGAGCTTATACACAGGCGGTCGTGCCTTCCAGACCTATCGGGCAACGCTCAGCGCGTTCACTGTCAAAGCGTTAGTTACATTCACTTCACTTCACTCACCATACCCTGCCGCGCTGCAGCGTCGCCAACGCCACACCTCCTAGAGGGGTGTAGCAACCATTTAACACAGCGCGCCGAAGCTTCCACGCCCTTCTCAACCTGCGCCGTCACTCACTTCCCACGGCCGTACATTCACTTCACTCAACACCGCTTCCCACGCTAGTAGGTATAAATACTCCCTGCCTCCCACCCCTCCAGCACCAACTTTCTTCAACTCTCAACCTCGACCTTTTCTCAAATTCACAATCTCGACTTTTTTTTTTTTTTTCCCTCCCTCACCAATTTCCAAGATGTTTTCCCTCTTCACCGGCATTCTCGGGGGTATCCTCGCGAGCTTTCATTCGGCCATCGACGCCATCGATGAGGTAGACCTCACCGACATTCTCAGCACGACGGTCCTTGGCGTCTCCAAGTTCATCGTCAAGACCACCTTCAAGATCGTCATGTGGGAAGCCCTCCGGATTTACAACGGCCACGGCAACATCGAACTTGCCCTCTCCCTGGCCTTCGCATTCCTCACAATCTGCCAAAGGGAGTTGGTCATGTTCAAGGAGACCGACCAGATGGCAGCTGCCGGCGCGGCTTCGTCGACGTCCGACCACGACGCCGACCACAAAGACGACGATGACGACAACAACGACGGCAACGATGGTGCTCGGAAGGTGCGCAAGCTCATGCTCCCTGAACCTCACTTCTAGTAGACAGTTTCTAACCACTATCAAGGGAATGCCAGGCGGCTTCATCATAAGCCCGCCACCCTCGCCCGCCCCGCAACCTCGTGCCTCGTCGCCGCACACTTCACCTGCGCCTGAGCGCCCAGCTTCACCGACGCCTGTTCCCCGCGTTTCACCCGTGCCTGCGCGCCGCACCCCTTCTACGACTGCGCGCATCACCCCATCCACGCCTGCGCGCCCCACTCCATACACTCTTGCGCGCCATGCTCCGCCCGCACTTGAGCGCCGTGCTTCACCTGCATCTGGGCGCCGTGCCTCGCTCAAGAAGGAATCTGGCGAGAAGTTGGCCGCCACTCCTCCTCCAGATATGCCGACCGTGGCCTTGAAGTTGCGCCTCCGCGTCCAGCAGCAGTAGAAGAAGGAGCAACCACAAGACTCCGTCCCTCCGCCATCCCCCCAACCCCACCAACAACAGCAGGAAGAGCAGCAGCAGCAACAGCAGGTGCATGACACCGTCCCTCCGCCGCCCGTCCAGCAGCAGGAGGAGCAAACCTCCATCCCTCCGCCGCCAGTCCACCAACACCAACACCACCACTACCAGGAGCAGCAAGAGCAGCAGGAGCAGCAGCAGGAGCAAGTCTCCGCCCCTCCGCCGGCCCTTCCCCAACAGCAGCAGCAGGTGCAAGACACCGTCCCTCCTCCGCTCGTCCACCACCAACAACAGCAGCAGGGGCAAGATTCGGTCCCTCCGCCGACCCTCCACCAACAACAACAGCAGCAGCAGCAGCAATCACAGCTGCCTGGCGCCTCCAATGCCGAGCCTGCTGACCCGACTTCTCCTGTCCCTGCGCCTGTGCCTGTTCAGACGCATTTCCTGGCCATCCCGGACTTGACTGTGCGGATGGTCCTTCTGGACATAGAGGAATCGGGAGACATGATGGAGGGCGTTGAGAAGCCCGCTGGTGTGACTGAGGAGATGGTCCCCGTCAATCCGGTGGTCCCCTGGCCTACTTTCTCTCCTCTCGTCCCTCTCCATTTTCCTTTGGACGAGAAGACGATGGAGGCTATTAACCGTGTTCCTCCAGTCAAAAAGCACGACGACGTGGAGATGAAGGACGCTGGTGTGGGTACTGCTGCAGCCAAAGTTCCCGCCGACGATGAGGAGATGGAGGACGCTGTTGCGGATGCTGCTGCAGTTAAAGTGCCCGCCGAGGACCCCATGGGCACCTCCGCTGACTCTACCTCCGCGCAACCTCCTGCTCCGTCTGGCTATGCTGGGTATGCCAATGGTTCATCCTTCCCCGCGCAGCAGACCGCCGGTCCCCAAGCACCAAACACCTCTGCTCCGCCCGCTCACCCCACCACTGGTGGGGCGATGAATGCGAGCATGTGGGCTGCCGCCATCACCACCTTACCCTCCGCTTCCGCCGGCATCCGCGCCCTCGGCATCCGCGCCCTCGGCACACATTCCCTCGGCCCCCACTCCCTCGGTGCCCGCACCCGCACCCGCACCCCAAGCACCGGCCACCCCTATTCTGTCCGCTTGGCAGGCCGTCATCCAGTCCTTGGGCGGTCCGCCGCCGCGCGCCCGCAAAGCGCCCACTCCCCAGGTGTCCACTCCCCAGGCACCCTCTCCGCAGCCTTCGGCTCCGTCTGGTCCCTCTTCACAGGCGGCGAACAATGGTACCTCCGGTGCTAGTCTCGACAAGGGCAAGGGACGCGCGACGACAGAGGCGTCGATGGAGGACGCCGGCAACTCGAGCAACGACCAGTACCAGTTCCCGAACTACAGTCGTTCTCCCCGGCCTGCGGCAGCCGGTAACCCTGCCACTCTTCCGCCTGCGCCCTCCACGGCTGCGCCCCCCACCGCTGGGCCCTCCATGGCTGGGCCCTCCACACCGTCGGCTGGCCCCTCGACTGCCCCATCGACCGCCATCACCTCCGTCCCTTCTTCGAACCCGCTCTTCAGTATGGCCACTGATGAGCAACGGGCCAAGGCGTTGAAGAACGGAATCAAAAAAGTCGATGATGCCTACAACGCAGTGGCCGTCACAAAGAAGAAAGGCTACCACTTCAACAAGGACGAGGTCGATCGCACCACCACCATCCTTGCGGAGTTCTGTCGCCACGCTCTCGAGTATGGCCACGCCGGCGTGAATTGTGGGGATCCGGTCATGTCCAAATGGTGCAGGGAGCTTTGGGCCAAAGCCGAATCGGCAGGTGTGGTAAAACTCCGCCACGACTTTCATGGCTTGCAACAAAACGCCTTGTTGGTGGAGAACCTCAAGCCCATCAAGGAGTTTGTTGGGTGGTTTGGAAGTAACGCATCCAATACGCCTGAGGAGGATATCAAGGCTCGCCCCAAGGCCAAGATTCGCGTCCCTCGCAAGGGCGGTGCTCAGTGAAGTCTCGACAGAAAAGATTCGCTGCGCTTTTCGTTGTGCCTCACTGCTACTGCACAACGCTTTCGCCTACTTCGGGCACTTCTGCTGCATCTCGTTTGGTTTTACTTTTGGATCTGGTTCTACTTTTGCCTCTTTTTCTACTTCGGCTTCAGTGTCTGGTTCTGTTTTCTCTCCGCGTTCTGCGGTTGCACTATACCCTGCTGTTCTTTCAAAATCTCAAAGACTTTGATAGAGCTTCATCGTTCTCTTTGTTTCCTGTAGGTGGGGGTTTTTTTGTAAGTAGTTGGCCGGTGGCTGCAGGACGTTTGCACATGGGTTCATGGTCTGTTGGATGGTCAGCTTTTTCGCCGCACTCGCATTACGCGACTTTTTTGCACGCTTTATTGCACGGTCGGTAACGACTTGTGCACGAGCTGTTGCAAGGTCGCGTAATGGTCCGCGGTGCGGCTGTGGAGGCTTTCGCCAGCAAACCAGGTAACCGACGTATGCAAGGTGCTGTAGCTAACGGCCAACTATAGAGAGTGGTGGTGGTGGTGTTGGTTGTTTGGTAGACGTATTTGATAGGTAGATTGAACGATGGAGCTCTTTCTTGAATATTTTTTTTGTGCTCCGTGATTAAACGCTGACTTGTAAATTCCAATGGTGCTCTGCTCTAGTGCGTCCGCAATATATACAAGATGTATGCAGGAACCTCTATAACTCCCTAAAAACCAATCAAAAGCGCGTCGATCAAGCTGTCAGCGTAGATGGCGCTAAGCCGGAATTAGAAACACCGATCGGTTACATCATAAGCCTCGGCTTTTCGGACGCGCTCGCGCTCCGAGATGACTGAGATGCCCGAACTTGGAGCAACCTCAACTCATCTATTCCGAAGTTCAAGGCTTTGGCCTAGCACAGACAATAGACCCAGGCGTGTCGATGGGTCGCAAGATGACAAACTGCCAGAGCTGCTTCACAAACGGCCAACGGCGGAATGCGAAGAGCGAGACCCTGAAGATTATATAACGGCACACAGAACCAATCAAAGCATCGAGACTCCAGCACGAGACCCTGAATCCAGCCCATCAGCTTGCTCCGCTCCATAATCATACGTCAACTCTACGCTCGGATGGCCTGTCATTTGAACCCCTCCTAACCCCTCCTTTGCCCCTTCTTGGCACATCATGCTTGTCCAGCGTCAACTACTTAAGTCTGGCGCCCGCTGCCTCTTGTCTAGTTCAGTAGCAGCGCGCTCCTCGAGACTTACAATCACACAAAGACCAGGGAAACCCATACCAGCAAGAACAATGGCGACAGCTTCAAAGATTTACCTGGACACGACGGAGCATCCCGTGTTCAGCACGCAGCTCCGCAAAGACTCCGCCGAGACGACCAGTCAGCTGCTCCAGGAAAACCACGAAGAGCACCACATCTTCTTCAACCAGTCCGGCTTCCATGTACACTCCCTTCGCCAAAAACGAACTCCAGAAACTCAAACTAACCCCCATTAGAACCACATAGTCCACCACCTCCTGACCCTCTACTCCCTGTCCGCCCCTCCATCCACCCTCCAAAGCCACTATAAAAACAACGCCTCATACCAGCGCCCCCCGGTCTCTTCTTCTGCAACTACCGTGCACGGCCTCCACGACACCGAGACATTTGCCCAGTTCCTCGGTGATGAGGCCCACTACCACGACTACCTCCTCTTCTTCCAGTCCGAAATCGAAGCCAAAGGATGGAAAGCCGTCGTGAACGAGTACCTCTTCGCAGGCGACGCGCGCGCAGACGACCTGCTCGTGCGCCTATTCGCAGGCTTCCTGCACCCGCTCATCCATCTAGGATTTGGAGTCGAGTTTGCGCAGCCGGCAGTGATAGCGGAGGCGCTAGCGCAGACTGCAGTGCACGATTGCTGGATTGGGGATTTTCTGCTCGAGAGCGAGCGCTTGGCAAGGGAAAAGCGGGATGATGGGCGAGAGGAGACGTTGGTAGGCCTGCTGGATGACATCAGGAAGGACAAGAAGCTTTCTTCCTCGGCGCACTGGGGCGACAGCAACAAGATCCGCGACGGAATCCTCAAGCGCGCGCCCGAGGAGATGTGCAAGCTCGCGAGCAGATACAACGTCTCCCCGACCGCTACACCCGACGAGCTCGAGCAGAAGACCGCCGAAATGATCAACGCCTGCGGTACGTCCTCCACCAAAAACCCCCTCAACAAACAACCCACACAACGCACCAAACTAAACTAACCCCACAACCACAGCCTACTTCACCTTAACAGCGCAGAACCCCCAAGCCAACAAACCGCCCAAATTCGACTTCTTCTACATGCACAGCCTCAACAGCAGCATCTTCTTCCCGCCCCTGCTCGCACAAACGCAATCCTGGCTCCCGCCCTCCGCCTACGCCCGCCTCCTCGCCTGGAAAGCCCGCACAGACCTCGCGCTGTACGTCTCGCGCGGCGCGCCGCCGCTGTACCCTGCCGTGCTCGCCGCCCCGCCCGCCACGCCCCGCAGCGACGGAAGCGACAGCAGCGTTGGCAGTGCCAAGCACGACGACGAGCACGCGCGATGGACGCAAGCGCTGCAGTGCGCGACGCAAATCCATGATGATGGGCACGCGTCGAAGCTGCTGCGCGCGCTGGCTGCGGGAAGAGAGGTGTGTCGCCCCTTTGAGCACAGTGATGAGTTCCCAGTCAAAGGCGACATGTGGGTCCGGGGCGCGGGGCTCGTGCTCGAGAGCGTGGAGGACGTGGTTGAGGGCCGTGGGGCCGAGGGCGAGCCGTCTTGGGTTAGGGGCTGTGGCTTCCCCGAGGCGTGGGAGAAGGTGCCGGAGGCGGAGGAGAGGTTTTGGGAGGGGGTTGGTGTGAACTTAGGTGTGGAGAGGGGTGGTGATGGGAGAGAGGGGAGAGAGGGGAGGGAGGGCAGGGAGGGCAGGCTGTGAGAGGGGTTGGTAGAGGTGTGGGTTTGTGGGTAGGGAGCTGGTCCCGATGGATTCGTCTCGACTAAGACTGTGTGCTGCGGTGTACGATATCATCTCTAATCTCCAATCTCCTTATATCACCAACTAGCTAAACGTTACTATCTCCAACACAACCAACACACCCTCCCCTATCCCCGCACTCCATCCAACCCCTCCCACAACCAACTCACCCTCCCCCATCCCCATCCCCATCCCCACATAACACAGCCTTATACACATACGTATCTAGCCAGCACCAAGCCACACCCCCATAAGCCTCAATTGCCCACACTACACTATATACACTATATACACCACTTATACCGAGCACGCCAGTTTTTTATTTCTCGTTTCTTGTTCCTTGTTTCTTGTTTTCTATGGCTGAACTGCAGTCTTGTACCGTGTTGAGCTAAAGGAAAGGTAAGGGAGGGTAAGGTGAGGTTGCGTATAATTGTTTATTTATTTATTGTTTATTGTTTGGTTTCTTGTCCTGTGTTTTTTTGCTTTGCTATGCTTTTGCTTTTGGGGGCGACGTGTGTATGTGTCTCTGTGAAAGAGAGAGAGAGTGTGTGTGTGTGAAGACGGGGTTCATTAAGGTGGGTGGGTTGTGCTGTGCTGTTGTGGCTGGATAACGTACATGAATAGATGAGGGGGCTGGGCCGGAGGACGGGTGTAAGGAGTTTGAGGCGTGGGCATGGATGTGGATGTGCATGGGAAGGCTGGACTTAATATTTAATGCTTACATAGCACTGCATGTACGCATCGAGGGTGTGCGCATATATGTAGAGCTCGTTGAGTTGAGTTGAGTTGAGTTGTATTCATTTACCCTGACCCATCGCCCTGAGCGATATGCAGGCTACAGACTATTCAAAGGAATACGCTAGGAATTTACACTGGTGATTCAATCTGAGAGTATAAGGAGAAAGGGGAACAGAGATAGGACAAGGAAAGGTAGAAGAATGGGAATAAGATAGGGTTTTACTAGTTGATATCGTCTCTACTCTGGAACCTTTTTATTTGTTGAGCGAATTCAAGTACCCTTTTAAGTTGAGCGGCTGAAATTGTCTATTTCCTCTTTTCCGTGTGCGGCTGGTTCTTGTCTGTTGGTTTACCGCCTAGAAGGCTAGAGAGGCAATTTCTCTAGAGTCCGGTTTCTTAATACATTTTTTGCCGATTTTCCTGGAGTAGTGAATAGTCTAGTAATACGTGGGATATTGATTCTATATCTCCGTATTCGCATTTGTCGTTGTTTATCCGTCCCATTCGTTTTCGGTGCTGGTTGAGCCAGCAGTGGCTAGTTCTCAACTGGGCTAGCAGCCCTGCTAGGTTACGTGGGAGTTTGTCGTAGAGGTGCCTTACGTGTGGTCCAGGGATCGCTGTGTCTACGTTGCGGAGGTGTTGGCCTTTCTCTGACGCTTTCCATTCTTTGTTCCATTGTGTGTGTGCTGTTTCGAGAGATGTTTTGACTTGCAGCGGTATTAAGGGTAGGAAGCTGTGTTCTCTAAGACGTGTTGTAGCTTGTTTAGCTAGCTTATCTGCTTCCTCATTTCCTTGGATACCACAGTGGCTTGGGATCCACTGGATCGTGAAACTTATTTGAAGACTTTCATGGAGAGATTGGGCTGTACTGAGGATAGACCGTGCGATGCTTTGGCCCGATCTTTTTTTATATCTCCTAGTCAGAGCTTGGAGGGCGGCTTTGGAATCGCTATAGATAACGTATTCAGTTAGACTTTGGGGTAGAGCTCGTTGATTGATTGATTTGTCTCGACTATGCTGTACTGTACTGTACTGTACTGTAGCAAAATACGCCACGCCACTGCGCCTTCGAGATGTGCTAGTCCGTCGTTCGCCTACGCAATGCAAAAACGGGAAGGGAAGCAAATGAAGAAAATAAAAACCCAGAGTAGAAGCCCACCATCGAGGTGGAGAAGCAAAAGGCAAATGTGCAAAGCAGTCGTTCATATGAAGCCTTGAACGGGAATGTGCTGAGAAACAAAAATGTGGAAATCTTCAGGGACAACTCAAAAGTGTCACCACAGATACCCAGCCAGCAATCTACCAAGGCCGTGCTTCCATGCCATCCGGCGGGCTCGTCTCCACTTTGCCCTTGCTAACCTCGGCCCAGTTGGTGCTGAGCGACGTGCCGTTGCTCTCCTGGTAACTCTTCATCATGGCTCTCCTCGTGTCCGGGTCCGCGCTCTTGTACAGCTTCTTGAAGAATGCATTGGCCGGGTCGCCGCCCTCGTCTTCCAGATCGTCAAAGTCTTCGTCGCCGTCGCCGCCGCCTTCCTTCTTGTCGCTCTTCTTCTTGGTCATGTCGTCGACTAGCTTGTCCCAGTTCTTGGGGCCAGTGCGCGACGATGTCGGGTATGAGGGAGCGGCAGTGCTGGCTGGTGCTGGGCGTGAGATGGGAGCGGCTTCAGAGGCTGTGGATGTAGCGTCGGGTGTGCCTTCCAAGGCGGGCCACTTTTGGTTGGGTACCGCCTTTCTGAGGATGACTTCCACCTTTGAAGGGAAGAACTTGACGGTAGATTGTTCTTTCGCAATCGGAGCAAATAGAGGATCCAGGTTCATGGCGTATGTTGATCCTGATGCTGTGGGGAAAGATACCTCAAGCTAAATTCTGTTATTCAAACGCCCTTGCCATTTTCAACCAAATTGGACTTACCGAGCGCGAGTCCATCTCAATGTTAGCCGTATTCTCTGCAACACCCTTCGCCAAGATGTTGATGGTGACATCCTGGCCGCCCTGGTACCAATCGTACCTGATTTTGTCGGCCGGGGTTACCTGCATCGTCGGGGTGGAAGTCTGCTTGTTTTCGCTCGCCTTCTGAGCAGGCTTAGGGGCCTCAGTGGGTGCCTCGACGTCTGGGACCTCAGCCACGGTGACGTTCTTCCTCTCGTCGTCTTCAGGCATGTCGCGGAACTTGATGGAGAGCTTCGACTCCCACATGGGGAGCGTCTTCAGCTGCGTGTCCAACTTTTTGACGATGCCAAAGACGAACTGTGCATCTCCGTATCTTCCTAGGGTGAACAGAGTGATGGCCCTGCGGAGTTGTGCGTCGATGATGAGCTCGCGCTTGCCGCGTTTATGCGCGAGAGCGACGGCAAGCTCGGCGTCCTTGAGCGCGGCATCGAGGTTTGGGGGGGCGGTGCGCTGGTAGGCCGTGGAACGACCAATGTAGTAGGCGACAGCGGTCGTGTTCTGCGCGAGCGCTTTGGTGTAGAGGTCAATGGCCTCGTCGTAGTTCTTTGCCTCTAGGGCGGCAGCAGCGGCCTTGGCCTGGTCCATTGTGGTGGTTGAGTGAGGTTTTGCGTGGTTTCTGGGGAGCTGTTAGAGAAAGCTTGGGGTATGGTAAGCTGCGAAGGGCCTTCACGTACTGTCTGGCGCTTCGAGTTGGTGGTGGAAGGAGCAAGACACAGGCAGAAGACCTCGATCGAGTCATGCAGCCCCACCCGCTCACCCCGGCGTTTATCCATTAAATCCGGGGAAGCAGCGCTAGCCAACCTCATCTTTGACATAACACCTGTCTCGAGGCACGAGGGCTTTCTGGATGTCGCCTGCGCAAGGCTCGCTATTCAATGCGCTGGTTCGCACGCATCACATCACGTCCCGCAAAAAGGTTGCCAACCTGAAAAAGGCTGCCGACAACTATGACGTATACGCCCTGCTGCGCAGCGGCGGCTGTCCTGGCATCATGTACTGCTCTGGCAATGAGGATGGTGTGAGGGAATGGGTAGCAGCTGTACACGTATGGAATATTCATTCTATCCTATGACCAAATGCAGTGGGCTGACAGAGCAATGCCTTGAAGCGGCTTCGCTATAAAGACTTTCAATTAGCAGCTCGTCCGGCCCTAGCCGAACCGCAAAATGCAGCAGCTCAAACTGCGCCGAGCAAAAAGACTAAAGAGCCAAGAGGTCTCCATGAGGTTGACACGGTGAAAGAATTTGGAGCCATCATGGAACAGCGCGGCGTCCTCTCATGGTGGAGGAAGGGCATGGGTTATGAAAAGCCCGATGACTGATTACTGCTTGGATGTTTGAGGATGATGCTGTGAAAAAAGAGAGTAGGATCCATCTGCACCCTACATGATACCAAGGACGATAATGTCAGTCAGTACCCTCAGCGCTGCGCACTTTTCTGTGTATTATTTTCTGAAGCTAATTTCCTTCCAGTGTAGGGTAGCATTGCCTAGTCCAGAAAGTGTACAAACAAGAAAGGAGACGTGTAAGTAGCGTTCCAAAAAACAATAATGTAACTCAGTTTCAAACAAATAACTCGCCAAATCGACCAGTCGACAACAACTTGGCCTCACACGCTGAACAAACACCACATAACGCCTACGCAAAGCATAAGAAAACAAACCCAAACACCCACAAAGCAATATCAAGCTTAACCACCATCCCACCTTACCGAAATTCAAAACTCAGCAATCGCTTTCAAGCGCCTTCCAGAACCGCCCCACACCTCCCCCACCTCTCTCGCAGCCCACTTCTCCCTCAAACACCTCACCATAACCTCACCGACGGAGACTCGGCACCTACACGATGAACGCCCTTCACGCCGCTCCGGCACATCGTGGTCCTGCTGCACACCAGTCAGTCATGCCCAGCCAAGACAGCCAAGACAGCATAACGTTTGCCAAATCCCGGCGACTTGATCGTGCAGCTTCGTGTTGAGTTATTAATGCTTTGCGGAGTGGGAAATTCCATGGGTTCATCAAATCCGCCATGGCATAGGCAGGACTGCATCCATAAAAATGGACCCAGCTCCAATGATTCCGCAGCGCCATAAGTTAGAAGAAATAGTTGGTCAAAAATACCATGACCACATCACCGGCTTCTAGGCCCAGCCTCTGCAGCTAATCTGAGTATCTTGACCCATGTCAATAGCTGGCGCGGGAACAGAGACCGTTCCGGGTTGTCGGCATCGATATATACCATGTAGGCGCATCTGAGTGATCTTCGTCTGGAAAGAGACTGCGAGGATGTTACATGCGGGGATGTCGATCTGGAAGGGGATTGGTGGCGATGATTTTCAGACTCTGACTACGTCTTGCCTTTGGAAATTCACTGATAGCTAAGAAATCAGAAACAAGCTGAATGCATATGAATAACCATCTATCGACATGGATAATGCAGGAAGGTCGGTACTACGCTCGGCACCCCGCATCGTGCCTCCCGCTAGGGCTCGCCGTTGACGTCGTCATCGCCGGTTAGGGTCCAGTACGTGGGGAACAGGCGGAGAAGGGCCGTTGCGCTACTCCAAAGATCGGCATATGAGTGATGGGAGGCAGGAAAGACAGACCTCTGCAGGAACAACGACTCACAACCAAGAGCCCGCTAGCGACGATGCGCTTTCTGCAGCTCGACAGCCCGCCCTCCAGAGTGACCCGGAAGCCCGCAGTGGGGCTGAAACATTGTTCCGACGCTCGGGGATCGGCGGCTCTCATGGCTGCGCGAAAGCTTGACCGATCTCACCGCCCAGGCTTCTGTCCACACCTTAACAACCGCTCGCTATTGTTGCGCGAAACAATAGCCCTCCCGCCGAGGATGCCCGCCACCAACCCAGCATGAAGCATCGCGGCATACCAGCACGACGATGGACGACTGGGGCGACCCATGGGCCGACGACTCTCACTCGCACGCGGCGAAGCGGCCCCCGGCCATTGAGACATTAGGGGCTGCAAGCAAGGAGTCTGTCGTGACACCGGTCCTGACCGGCTTCTTCGACAACGACGAGGCGCGCTGGGGTGACAATGACGACACGGTCGACACGTTTTCCGGCTGGGCGGGCGCCCACTCGCCCACCAAGGACCTGGGTGCCGTGGAAGGGGTTGTGCAGATGCCCGAGGACACGTTTGCGGACCCGAAGGCGACGAGACCGCTAACACCCACGTGCCCCGACGACGAGAAGACCGCTCCCGAGCCCGCTGCCCGCTCTCCTGCCCTCCCTGCTGCCCCTGAATTGCAGACCGGCGCCGACGCGCTCGAGGCCAATCCCTTTGCGGATGCTACCTCGCCCTCTACCGAGAACGGAAGCGAAGAGACGGCCATTGCCTCACACCAGCCCCACGAGACGCCAGAGGTGGACTCCTCTGCCTCCGACTCTGCCACTACGATCGCCGCTGAAGGCTCGGGCACCGCTGCCGACGATTTCCTTCCGTCTTCTGCCGCCATTCACTCCGAAGAGTTCGAAGAAAGCGGCGCGTCAACCCGTACTTCGACGGCGCCATCAGATACTAGCCATATTTACTCCGAATCTACGCGCACATCGTTCGACGAGGATAATGGCGTCCGGAAAACAGACGAAAGCGAAGGGAAACCCAATGGGGTTGGAGAACCCGCTACGGATACGAAAGAGGAGGACCAGGGGAACGACAATAACGCAAGTAAGACGGATGAACACGAAGAAAAAACCAACGGGGTTGATGCACCCATGGACGTTCAAGGACATGATCAAGGAAAGGACAATGACACTCATGAAATAATGGAGAGCGATAAGGAAGTCACAGAGGATGAAGGCGATAAGGAGGCCACAGAGGATGAAGCACCCACTTCGGATGCTACGGAAGATGGTCAAGAGGAAGAGGGCAGCGCTTCTGAGACGGTTGAAAGCGAAGAGCAAACCGACTCGGCTGAAACTCCCGCTACGGATTCCAAAGAAGATGACAAGGAGGATGTCCCTGACACTACTCAGCCAACTGAGAGCGTAGAGGAGCCAAATGAGGCTGAACAGCCTCCCACAGATGCACAAGAGGAAGCCCAAGAGGACGATGACGACGATGATTTTGGCGACTTCGAAGAGGAAGTAGAAGACGTTGAAGACGATGCTACAGTTAACGAATCTTCACCAGCAACCCCAATGCCCGCATCAGCAACGGGCTTCCCAGCAACCGGAAGCGGTAATCGCTCAGAGACCCCAGTGCCTCTATCCGAAATTAATTTCCAACCCGACTTGGGCCTTGTTAATAAGTTGTTTCCGCTTCCGGAGTCTACCAGAAAGTTTGAGACAGCGGAAGACACGCCTCTAACTTCAAGGAGTGCCCGCAAAGCATGGTATCGTCTCACAAGAAAGGAAACGATGCGGGAGTTTGAGAGTGGAAGCATGGACAACAGCTACGTTCGGGTAGGCTGGGCGCGGTCAAGAATTCGAGCAGATTTGCTCAAGACCGTGAGCAAATGGCAAACCGAAGAGCGTCTGAACGGCCGGTATGGCAAGCCTGGGGCGCTCTTTGGGTGGGATACTGGCTCAAGTGCCGTTAAACCATTCCCAGACGCGATTGCAGGCCGGCACAAACGCCAGACATCGGCAGCGCCACCTGTCAAGCATCCCGCGGAGGATGAAGCAAAAACGCGACCCCAGTCTCTCGTTCTCCCAAGCAGGCGAAGATCGTCAGTGGTCGAACCGGAACCCGTAGCCCAGTTCAACTGGAGCACTTCGCAAAGCATTGAACCACCCAAGACGAGCCTAAGCTTCAAGCCCACGCTTGACAGCATTGCTGGATCAGCTCCGCCGACGAAGACATCTTTCGAGCAGAATGTCAAATCGCCTCAATCGAGTCCGCTCTTCCCTCCGCCTCAATCGTCCAGTCCCGTGTCAGCGCCACCGGCGCAGACGGCGTTTGGAACTCAATATGGGAATCAACAACATGGTGGCCACATGAGCGACATGGCGTCTATGCTAGAGCCTCCCACAGCATCTGCACCGCCGACAAAGACGACCTTCGATTCTTCGGAAGACCAGACGCGTCCACAAAGGCCTACATCGATGATTCTCCCCAGTACGCCCAAGGTCTCTGCACATGCGAGATCAGTTTCAAGCGGCAGTATTACCGGCGGCGGCAGCGCAGCAAAAATTGCTGAACTACTAGGCGGCGCAAAAGAAAAGGGCACAAAGAGCCCCACGATGACGGTAAAGAACTCTGCCACCAGAGCTGTGCCCACATCGCCCTTGGCTGTCGAGGTTCCGCGCGAGGATCCTATTCCCGCTGCCATGAGCAGCCAGAAATCCAAGCACAAGCCCGAACCACTGGACACAAAGATCTCCGCGCCATCCACCAATGCGTCGGCGACGAACGATAATGGCGGATGGGGAGACATGGTGGAGTCGCCGGGCGCATCGAGCCCTGCGCAGCCGCGCTCCCAGAGTCCGTGGCAGACGGCTACCAGCAGCTCTTCCCCTGACCCTGCTCCTGCCCAAACGAAGCCCACGATTTCGCTCGCTTCGCCCCCGGCGCGGACGACACCGAAGCTGGCATCTCTGGACACAGACGTTGGCCCAAGAGCGTCCGGGTCCGCGTCCGGGTCCGCGACCGCCACCAATGCCAACGCTGCCGACAACGACGACGATGATGAATGGGGCGAGATGGTGCAGTCGCCCGCGCCCACCTCGCCTGCCATGTCCTCGCCCGCCTTCGCCGCCGCGCCATGGAACATCTCGCGCGGCCCCTCTGCGCTCAACACGCCTCTGCGCGTCCCGACGCCGCTGCAGCGTCCGCACCCGCCAAGCCCACTCGTTCCTATCCCCATCCGCTCGACCACTATGCCCAGCACCAGCACGAGTTCGTACTTCTTTCCGCCCGCCTCGGCCAGCACCACGCCCTCAATCGCCCCGTCCCCGAGCCCGAAACCAATGACGCCGTCGCATGCGCCGTCCGCGTCAATGTCAATGTCGATGTCGATGTCCTCGGCGATGTCGTCGGGTTTGCCGCTCCCGCCCCAGCCCGCCACGCCTGCCAACCCGCCGGATCCGTGGGCCGAGGTGGACTTTTCGATTTTCGAGAAGCCGGCCAAGACGGCGTCGCCGGCGTCGTCCTTCCGCTCCCAGGCCCCGAGTCTGGGTGCCTTGTCGATGCCTCGACAAGCGTACTCACCTGCCCACAGCCGCAACGCCTCGAGCCCGGTGTGGTTGTCGTCGCCGCCGCGCGCAGCTGGCTTCGGCAGTCCGCCACCAGCGACTACGGCCGTGACGTTCGATCAGATCCTGCAGCCCGCAGGCAAGATGACAGCGGGGCCGACGTTTGACGCTATTCTGGGACAGGCGAACCCGGCGCCCGTGACTGCGGCTGCAGCACTTGGGTCGCCGGCTTCGAGTGCGAGTGCGGGTAAGGCTGGGCACAGGCGGAATGATAGCGAGGAGAAGGTGCCGAGACGAGCGAGCGATGTTAGCGTGGATGATTTGGAAGAGTTTGGGGCGATGGGGATGAGTGGGTTGGCTAGTCCGCCGCCGTTTGTGAAGGATTTGGATAAGGTGAGGAGTCCGCCGAGGTTTAATGCTGGGAAGGAGGAGGTGGTGCGCAGAGTGGTGAGTGGGTTGCCGGATTTGGAGTATATGTTGAGGTAGGCTGTGCGTGGGATGGGGGTTGTGTGTGTGTGTTTGTGTGTGGATACCATTGGATAAGCGTTTTTTGGCTTTGGTTTGGAGGTGGCGTTGGTTTTGTGCGCGGTGTGTGCTGTACGTACGACTTGTAGATAGGTGGCGTGCGTTGCTTTGGAGAGGGTGAGTGTGGTTGTGTTGTTTGTATAAGAAGGGGGAGATGGCTGAGTTGTATATAGATGGGTATGGATACTATGTCGTGTATGATTGTTGATACTTTGTCTTTGGGTTGTGGGATACTTTGTTTTGAAAGTGTATGTGTATATGCATTGATCTGGGTTGACTAAATTGCCTAGTCTGGTTAGATTGGTAAATGGGCGGGTGACATGAAACTCAGGCAACCACAGCCGAGAGACCACGCAACACCAACCCGGCTCCTCCGCAACCTACCTACCTTCCTTACCTACCTACAGCTCCAGCAAGCACCAGCACCACCACACCCACGCCGCGCAATCGCTCCCAGCCAACAAGATGATGACCTCCACCAGCGACGAGGACCCCTTCCTCCAAGTGCAAGCGTACGTCTCGCACGACGACGCGTCCCACGCACGAGCAACACAGCACACGTACTAACGCGCAGACTCACAGTGACGTCCTCTCCCTGCTAAACACGACGCGACCGCTCTTCAGCTCTTACCTGCGGATCCGCAGCTCCGCGTCCTCGCCCAGCTCGCCGGAGCTGATCGAAGCGCGCGCAGAAGTACAAACAGCGCTCGAGGACCTCGCGACGGACCTGCGCGACCTGGTCGAGAGCGTGCACGCCGTCGAGCAAGACCCGTACCGGTACGGACTCGAGATCGAAGAGGTGCAGCGGCGGCGGCGGCTCGTCGAGGACGTGGGGCGCGAGGTCGAGGCCATGCGCGAGAAGCTGCGTGATGCGGCCGCCGAAGGAGGAGGCGCGGGAGGCCGCTTCAAGGCCAAGGCTGGGCTGCCTGACCCGGATGATTTTGGCGACGAGGACTTTGAGGGCGAGGGCGATGCGTATGCGGCCCTGGAGCAGGAGCGCCAGAGAGAGCTTATGGCGGAGCAGGACGAGCAGCTCGATGGCGTGTTTAGGACGGTGGGGAATCTGCGCCAGCAGGCGGATGATATGGGTAGGGAGTTGGAGGAGCAGGGCGAGATTTTGCGCGATGTGGATACGGTTGCGGATCGTGTGGGTGGGAAGCTCCAGAATGGTATGAAGAGGGTGGGCTGGGTCATTAAGCAGAACGAGGGTAAGTTTGGAGGGAAGCGTAGCGTGCTAGAGGCGTTTGCTAATTGCCGCGCAGACAAGTACTCGAGCTGCTGTATCGCAGTCCTGATCTTCGTCCTTATCGTCCTGCTGGTCCTGCTGCTGGTGCTGTAGCGGCGCCAGAAGTGGCATATCGGGACACAGCTACACGCTAGACGGCCCCGGGCTGGAAGCCACAATGCACACACAGAGACACACGCACGCCCTCAGTCCGCCGTCCCAGGCTACCAAACCACAGAACCACGCCCTACAAGACCACCACAGCAGCAGTACCCGCCATCCCCGCGCACATCCCCCAACGAGCAACAAACGCAGCGGCCTCCAAACGCGCCAATTGCACTCGTAACGAGCCGCCCCCGTCGCTCTCATCGTTCCGTCATATCCTGCGTACCCCGTCAGCATTTCCGGCACATAGGCGCGTTTTTTGGAGATTGCATTTGCTGTTCAGCGCCCGGGCGCGCCATTCTTGGCGGAGGCGTCTGCGCGCATGCATGCTTGTCCATCCATGCTGGTGAGGATGCGAGGCTCGCGTTTGCGCTGTTGTGGAATTTGGAGTATCGTTGAGTGGGTGGCTAAGTGGCTGCGTTCAGCACGCGGTCGATCCCCCGTTGGACGTGGCATGACATGGCATGGCATGCGTGCACGCATGTATTGCGTATGCTGTCATGGACAACCCTACCTACCTACGTACTGGCGCAGAAAGGCGGCGGGGAAGATAGAGGAAGAGCATGGGGGCATGGGGGCATGGGGGCATGGGGGGAGGGGGAGCTAGAGACACGAACACAAACGCGATCAGAAAGAGACAGACCGCCCAGTGCACGCGCGCCTAGAACACGAACAGAAAGAGGTAGAGTTCCTCGGCCCTAGGTAATCAGCCACTCTCTCATCGTGCATTGCGTTGCATTCCTCGCGTCTCGTTCCGCGTGGAATGCCAATGCCTGATGCCTGACCCGCACTCGGTCGCGGGCTGTGGAATGCGGGCTCGTACTTGCACGTACCCACCAGACCAGCCATCTTATCTGCATACCCAACCCAACCCTGGGGTATAGAGCGGCATGCGGCGGGTATGCGGCGAGTATGCGGCGAGTATGCGGCGGGTATGAGCAAGTATGGAAAGAGATAGAGCGAGCGAGAGGCATGTACGTACGTACACGGGCTTTAATGATGGCGGCGTCGAGCTTCTTAGGCAAGCACTCCTCCGGCTGGGTTGGGGGGTTGGGATTTGCTGGCTTTCTGGCTTTTCTTCGCCTCGACTCGTTCGCTCGTTCGCGCTTTTTTGAGTTGAGCTGGTTCGTGAGAGAGTCACTCACTAGGTATATCGATTGCGCTACTCCAGCTTTTGTCGTTTCGTTCCGTTGCTTTCTGCGTCAAGTCAAGTAAAGTCAGGTCAGGAGCAAAGCCAAGCTTCTTGGTCCCGTCCCCGTTTGTCTCGTCCACGCAAGGCACAGCTTGCCCAGGCAGCATGAAACCCCCCGCAGGCAGCACGCTCGACCTGCTGCGCTCGCTCACTACCAGCACCACGACCACCAGCACAACGGGCAAACAACACAACCAAAACAACGCCCACGCTCACAGCCACGCTCACACCAAGCCCGCTCCTGCCCACAAGCTCGCGCTCACCCCAGCTCGCAAGCTCACTCCTCCTCGAGCTAATGCTCGCGTAGACGCTCGCAACCGCTCTCGCCCCCGCAGAACGCACACCCTCCTTGCCATAACAGCATCCCTGCACGCCCTCCTCTGGGCCTCGATCGCTGCGCTCGCGGCTGCCGTCGCGCTGCTCGTTGGCGTTGGCGGTGGGAATGCTGGGGGTGTGGGTGCGAGGTCCCCGGCGCTGGTGCAGGGGCTGGGCGGCGCTGTTGCTGTAGGCTTATCCCCCTCCTCTCTTTTGTTTGTGTGGACTTGCTTTGGGTTTGGGATGTTTGTAAACAGTGCTAACCTCTGGGTTTTTAATACAGGCACTTCTCTCCCTCGCGTACACGGCGCTGCATGCGCTGCTTGCGCGGCGTCAGCGGCTGCATGGCAGCGCAGTGGTGGCCGAGGCTGAGAAGCCCAACGCTGCATCTCGCTCTCACTCCCGCCCAAAGTCGACGTACCTGGCCGTGCGCCTCGCGGGTGCTGTCTGCGCTGCTTGGCTGCTCGCCCTCGGCTGGGACATGATTGTCGTTGCGCGGGCGCCGGTGTGCGCTAAGACTGCGGTTGAAGCGGGGTGGGGTGATTGGCGGAGTGGGCGGGCGTGCGTGGTTGGGAGGGTGGGTGTGGGCGTGGGGGTTGTTGCGCTGTGAGTTTTTGTTTACTTGTTCTATGCGGTTTGCGGCTTGCAGATACGTACTGACATGTGTTTACTCGTACAGCATGGCGGCCAGCGTCCTCTTTGCCGCGCTCGCAGTCGTGCAGCGTCCGTTTGAGGCGGGCCTGTTTGGGCGCGTCGACTGCGGGGGGGGCCATGTTGCGCAACAGCAGCAATATCAACAGCGGGGCAAGACAGGCTCTTCGTCACCGTTATACGCTCCCTCCGAGTCCTTCGACTCGCTTCGCCAGGAGAAAGACCCCCTCGACGACCCCTTCACCTCTTCAACACTCTCTCCCGCCTCGTCTTGGCCCCAGCGCTGCAGCAGCCTCCCGCCACCAACAACAACGATAACGGGCCTAGGCATATCCTGCCTTGCTGCCAGCGGCGGCGGCGAGCAGCAGCAGCAGCCACGGCCACCCCTCCTCCTCGCCTCCGCCTGGCGCGCTATGCATCCCCCGTCTCTGCCACCAGCACATCACCAGCACCAACACCATCAGCAGCAGCGCAGAGCCAGCCTCAGCAAAGCGAGCTTAGCCATGCTAGATAGGGGCAGGTCGTCTTCGCCGCCATTACAGCAGCAACAGCAGTGGCCCCCCTGGCCCCCCACCGCGCTGCAGCTACTGCACCAGCAGGCGCCGCCTGGCCCGCCGCCCGCGCAGCGCGTGAGCGTGCGCCCTGTCGTGGGCGGGCCGGTTGTCGTGTGCGTTGGCGGTGGTGGGGGATGCGGTGGCTATGCCCAGCAGCAGCAGAGGCGGCGCTGGAGCGGTGGGTACGGTGGCGGAAGTGTTGGCGTTGCTGCTGGGGCTAGGCCCGCGGGCGCGGTGTGGGGTGGGGGTATGGGTGTCGGTGTGGGTATGGGCATGAATGCGGCTGGCGCAGCTCGCGGCGCAAGAACGAGCAGCAGTGCTGCTAGTTCATCAACGGCTCGGAGCCCGCTGTGCGTCATGGTAAGGGCGGAGGAGGTGGGTGAGGGTGAGGGTGAGGGTGAGGGTGACAATGGGAGCGAGAGTGACGATGAAGCAGAAGCAGAAGCAGAAGCAGAAGGAGAAGGAGAAGAAGAGGAGGCGGGGAGTGACGGCGTTGACGACGACACCACCACCACCACTACACCCCCCAGCTCTTACACAAAAACACCGCCACACCCCCAAAACCCACCATCCTCAACCCTCCCCCCCACGCCCCCGCGCCCCAACCACCACAGCCAACACAACCCCCTCCCCCACCCCCAACGCAGCTCAGAAACCACAGTCTCGTCCTCATGTCGCAACCGCGGGTCCGGTGACTCGGACGAGCTGTCCCTCGTCTTGGCGATTTTGGAGGGGTATGGTGCTGACGAGGAGGGAGAAGGTCGAGAGGGAGGGGAGGGGGTGGGTTGGAAAGATGGGAGAGAGGGGGTGGGTGAGGGCAGGTCGTTGCAGAGTACGGGGGATGTGATTAAGGGGTATGTTTCTTGTGGGGGGAGGGCGTAGGCCGTTCTGGGGGGTGGTAGAGGATGGGTGGGATATATCTGAGGTGCATGTATGCTCATAGATTGAGGTTGAGATTGTAAAGCTCGCGAGCAATGGACGGGCGGGGTTGGGTGTAGTATAGTATCGTATCGTATCGTATAATAAATAGCCATCTAGCTAGCTATCTCTCTGGCACTTCCCTCTCAATAACCATGACTGACGCTGCATTCGACACTGACGAAGACCTTCTGATCGGTGTGCGGCGCCAACAACGTCATAACCTCGACTTGCAGGTATGGTTTTTTTTTTTTTTTTTTTTTT